ACACAGAGGTACATTGAGGGGAGTGTGGGAGGGTCTGGGAAATTGACACACAGCGCTTGAGGGGTTTAAACCTGGGGAAAGCGGGGGGCGCTCCTCGGGCGTGGGGGTCACCCGGTTTTTTTACAGGGAGGTGTACTCACAGACTCGCACACAGACACCCTCACACAGACTCCACACACACTCACATACCCACGGTGACAGATATGAGTATTTCTCTGTATTAGAATAAGATGCTCGAAATAGAATAAGAAGTTGGACAGATAAGCTTCTGGAGCTAGTGCGGATTGTTTTCCTCACACACACACTCACACACACACATACACAGACACACACACACTCACACACACAGCTACCTTCATGAAAGATGAAGTGGAAAGGGTCCTTACCTTCAACTGGCTCCCGTGTCCCTGCAGTCTGTCCTTCTTCGTGCGTCCACGCTTGCGTTTAAGGTGAGAGGAAGGCGGAGGTCATGCTTAACAAGACACAATGTTGTGTGTGCATTTGAAGCAGAAAATAAACAGTCTCCCGTGACAAAAGTGTTTTATGGAGCTGGGGGCGTGTGCGTGTCTCTCGCCTCAGTCTCACCAGCCCTCGATGAACTGCCCCCAGAAATAGACACACACACACACACACACACACACACACACACACACACACACTGAGGAAGCTGGAGTGAGGGTGGAGTGAGGGTGGAGGTGCGGTCTGGGGTCCATAAATAATACCCAGAGGGTCTCTCCTGTCATCAACTCTGAACCAGGTGAACCAGGACCAGGATCCGGACCAAGACCAGAACCAGGATCCGGACCGATGTTCTTCTTTTTCTTCCGCATCCTCTTCCATTTCTTCGTCTTCCTCTTCTTCCTCATCATCATCTTCGTCTTCTCCCTCCTCTTCTCTCTTGCTGGTTCGAGTGGAGATCAAAGAAGGGGAAGCGACCTCACAACAAACAACGCTGCGCCGAGGCCACAAGTTCACGACCTTTAAGGCGTCGCCGCACGCCAACGGGAAGCCTCGAAGGAGAGACAGATATCCAATCAGAGGGAGGACGCACCTCGGCCTCGACCTCCACAGCGTGTTTGTGTGTTTGTGCGTTTCATGACTAATGGCGGCAGAGATAATCAGCAGCAGAAGGAAACGGAGCGACGAGTCTAAATAAAAACTGAACTCCACTTCCTGTTGAAACATCATCTTTCATCGGACCGTCAGAAACACGGCGGCTTCGTGGACGTACACGTGCCAGCGCAGCGTCACGGAAAACACGCAGAACGCGCTCGCTGTGACACTTCTACAAACACGCATCCAACCTGCAGCTCATCGGTGACTCCGCCCACTTTACCGCACATGGCGAGCATTTAAACGCACACTCGACCCTCACATATACACACACACGTATATGTACACAAAAGGACTTCTCATCATTGTAGTAGATGCGTAGTAGTACTTTTATTAAGAAAGTATTTTGCTTTGTGTACTAGTATTTTTACTGCTAGCTATTTAGGTACATTTAAATTAGAGCAGTTTTTTTCGTGGTGCGTTTTGACCTTATTTCATCCTTGTTGATTACAGAAAATAATTATCAATCATTTCCATTAAACGCACACAGACTAAAAGACTGGATCCTACATTTCCCATAATGCAACAGGACAGCGTCTCCCGGCCTGCTACAGTGTTTTCTGAGCGTTTTAAAATGTCATCAACGTCCTTTCTATGAATTCAAGGATCATAGAACTGATTTACTTCATGGAATGAAAAACAATCAATAAATCAGCCGGATATTAGCCTAGCTTAGCATAAAGCCGGGTAGTCAGGACTATTCCTTTCACGCTGAATTTTTCCGCCTGCACCACTGCTGGTTTAAGATCTGCCACGTGACTTTATTGTGAAGGTCCTTGGGCTCGGCGTATTTCAAAAGAAGAGCGTGACAGTAAGAAGTAAAGGCGTCTGGGTAGAAGCGTAACTGCTCAGAGATCAGTAGATGATTGACGAGCCGCTCTGATAAAAAGAACTTTAGTGGTTCCAAAGTTTTACGTGTCTGTGTGAGCGACGTGAACTGATCTGATCGTCTTTAATCGTTTGTTTACTTAAAAAAGATTAAGATTATTCTTCTGTGATCCATTAGTTTATTTTTTTGTAAACTAAATGCATTGATTATTCCCTTATTGCAATGATCAATTAATCCCTCTAGTTCGTTAATCAGCCACAGCTCAACATTCTTATGCTTGTGTTCTGCTTTCCTGTTTCAAAATAAAAAAGCAGCGTTCTCCTCTTGAAGAGGAACCAGAACTCCCCGGTTCCGGTCCAGCAGTGGGAGGGGAGACCAGGTTCTGTTTGTGTCCCTATGAAGTTACCCAAGCACCTTCGGGTGATGCGTTCAGGTACAGCACCGCAGCGTGGGTCGCCAGTGTTGTCAAAGTCACAGAGAAAATACGTGAGATAATAAAACCGTCTCTGAGGACACAACGAGTTCTTCACAAACCCGGTGAGAGACGTTTGTTAATATTTATCCCTTTGAGAGGTCAAAGGTCGATAGAGACATGCTCTGATGGCTGCTCACACGCTGACTCAGAAGACTGCATATTCCTCAGAGAATGTGTCAGTGAACGCACCGCATTGATAAAACTTTGTCTGTGTACAAATACACTGTCTGAGAACAAATACACTTCCTCTGTGTACAAATACACTGTGAGAGAACAAATACAGTTCCTCTGTGTACAAATACACTTTCTGAGAACAAATACACTGCCTCTGTGTACAAATTCACTGTATGAGAACAAATACACTGCCTCTGTGTACAAATACTCTGTGTGAGAACAAATACACTTCCTCTGTGTACAAATACACTGAGAACAAATACACTGCCTCTGTGTACAAATACACTGTCTGAGAACAAATACACTTCCTCTGTGTACAAATACACTGTCTGAGAACAAATACACTGCCTCTGTGTACAAATACACTGTCTGAGAACAAATACACTTCCTCTTTGTACAAATACACTGTCTGAGAACAAATACACTGCCTCTGTGTACAAATACACCGCTATGTGTACAAATACACTGTCTGAGAACAAATACACTCCCTCTGTGTACAAATACACTGTCTGTGAACAAATACACTGCCTCTGTGTACAAATACACTGTCTGTGAACAAATACACTGCTATGTGTACAAATACACTGCCTCTGTGTACAAATACACTTTACACTAATAAAATGCTGAGATCGCGAGAGACAACCACCATGAAGACATCTATGAGACAATAAGACGCAACCATGAAGACATCTATGAGACAATCACCATGAAGACATCTATGAGACAATCACCATGAAGACATCTATGAGACAATCACCATGAAGACATCTATGAGACAATCACCATGAAGACATCTATGAGACAATCACCATGAAGACATCTATGAGACAATCACCATGAAGACATCTATGAGACAATCACCATGAAGACATCTATGAGACAATCACCATGAAGACATCTATGAGACAATCACCATGAGACGTATCCGGAGACTTTCCGATCTTCATTTCATTATTTAACGTTACTGAAACATAAAAAACGTTCTAATTGAAGTAGAATCCTCAACTTTAATCACTTTTATTACAAATAGTTGATTTATTTCTGTACGTTTTGGGCTTTTAGACGTTTGAACTTTTCACCTTGAGATTCAGAAAACCGACTTTTTCCACTAATATCTCGCATTTGATAAATAACGTAATAAAACCTGCTGCTCACAGCGCGGAGTCATGGCGGAGGAACCAGCGGCTCAATCCCTCATCGCTCTGCGGGCCGACGGGTCACAAGAGGCGGACACGAAGGAGCCGACGGTCCCGGAGAAGAGAAGCGCAGCACCGACCGGTTCACCGGCGTCACGTTAACCGACTCTGCTCCTCTGAGACCCGCAGCCTCGGCACACTAACCGGGGGGGGGGGGGGGGGACCGCGGTGCGTTCAGGTGCGCTCGGACATTTGACAACCCCAAAGCCAGCGACTGGTCTGATGGAGGCGGGTTCATGGGCAGTGGGACTGAATAAAAAGTCACCTTGGTGGAATGTAAACCCAAAGCCGCTTGACGCAGGAGAAGAAGCTTCTCTCAGGATTTATTTGACCTACGATCAGTCACACCATTGATCGTCTTCATCGATCGCCTCCATTGATTCTGGGTCCCTTTCATTTGTACTTTTACTTCACGCCGCCCTTTACAAAGTACACAGTCCCATGAAGTATCGGCTCGATTGTGACTCACCACTTCGTCAAAACGTCTTGAACTTTGTCCGTCTTGCTCCTCTACGTGTGCTGCAAAGCATTGTGGGTAGGAAGATCCTGGTCCTTGTCTCTGTTTGATGGACTAGCTTCTGGGACAGACTGGCCCAGCTGTCCCCATCCTGCTGATGACGAACCGCTCGTGTTCCACTGTGTAATTTACCCAGAATACCACGCGTGTTACACGCAATAGTCACTACTCACATTGGTACTTGGAGTACAACTTTTATTGAGGTGATATTTTAGTGTAACACAGTATTTGTACTCTATGGTGAAAGTACTTTAATCAGAGGCCCTCCAGGAGGAACCAGAGGGTCCCTGACGGGTCCCAGATGGAGAACTACTTCCTGTCTTTAGTCAAGTCTGTCACTCAACGAGGACATAATAACTGTATGTGTGTGTGTGTGTGTGTGTGTGTGTGTGTGTGTGTACATTCCTGCACCTAAAAGTCATCGCTCAGTCAGCTGGTAAACACACACACACACACTCATGCGCACACACACGCCACCACTTACTGACTGGTTTCTTTTGTCTTCATTTACAGATATTTCATCACATGGTCAGTCTGTCCTCGCGTCCCTCACAGAGGACGCATGGTCAGTCTGTCCTCGCGTCCCTCACAGAGGACACATGGTCAGTCTGTCCTCGCGTCCCTCACAGAGGACACATGGTCAGTCTGTCCTCGCGTCCCTCACAGAGGACACATGGTCAGTCTGTCCTCGCGTCCCTCACAGAGGACACATGGAGGTCGTTACGGTCTGATGGGTCTCACTTCTTCAGAGACCGATAACTGAGATGATCCACCACAGACGGTTAATGGACGGTTCCTCTGAAGTTTATTGATCCGTAACGTAAAAACCAACAAGGACAAAACACAGACTACAATACAAGACGTGTCCTAACACAGTCTGATCTGTAAAGACACAAGGGAGGACAATAAAGACACACAGTGGAGGACAGAAAACCTTCTGCATGTCCTCGTCCTGAGTGTGGATTAGATATAGATTACATATTTACTTTACCCAGCATGCACTGGGCTTCATCCGTTCCCATTGAGAGGCTCTTTGATGGAGCAGGACGACACGCTGCTGGTTTAAAAGTACGCTCACGTCTTCTGTCTTTCACGTGTTTCAGATCACTTTCAGTACTGAGGGGCAGTTTAGCTTAGCTTAGCTTAGCTTAGCCTAACAATAGACTAAGTCAATCTTGTTTGTTCTTCAGTTTGCAAAAACACACATAAACATGCGATTGTGATTCATGAAGAAACCAAAGTCTCCACTCAAAGAACACGTCCCACACAGGCGAGTACTTCTGTCTTCCGTTTACACCGGAGGTCTTCAACAGGGGGCGCGCGACCCCCAGGGGGTCCGCGGAGGTACTGCAGGGGGTCGCAAATTTTTTATTATTAAAAAAAAAAAAGTCAACCAATTTTCTTTCCACGAATTCAAATGTCTTGAGAATCAGAATTGTATTTATTGTCTTTAAATACACGTCAACATGAATCCAACATGTCGTAGAAACGGATAAATTGATGGAGGAGACGTCGCCTTCAGTCCACCAGCAGCTCTCACGCTGATACGACGTCACAGCCAATCAGATCCACTCATGCTCACGTCTAAAGAGGGCGGAGCTCAAAGATAAAAGATGGAGGACCAAACTGCGTAGAACAGGGGGTCCCTGCTGCACCTCGCCATCAGTCTGGGGGACCCCTGGTTCACACGGTGCCTTCCTGAGCTCCTCACTCGGACTTTAACCATCACAACTAAATTAACCTCATTAGAATCACAACTTGTCTCTGTGTGCAGGTCCCCACTCTGAGGTAACTACGGGCGCACACACACACACACACACACACACACTCTTATATCACATTCTGGGTAAATTACTTACATTTATTCAGAAGTGATTTATCTTAAACTTAAGATCCCATCCAGCTAACGTGACGTTAGCAGCACCGGCACAGCAAACGTTATCTGGTTCGTATAACTTAAAGATAAACGATGAATGAATTAAATCAACCAAAAAATCAATAAAATGTCCCAATGGCATCAGACACCCAAACAATCAAAGATTAAACATGCAGCTCTTACCTTTCAGTATTTCTGTCAAAGAAAGAAATAATCCTGGATATTTCCTCAAGACTGGGACATCTTCAGCACCGCGTGTGCGTGTGCGTGTGCGTGTGCGTGTGCGTGTGCGTGTGCGCTTCAGGGAGCCGGTTCCTGTTGGTTTGAGCTCCACAGTGAGTAAGTCCTGTGTAACTGTTGCTTTTGTGTTGTGTTCTATTATTGTTCTACAGCTCCACCAGAGGGTTCCACTGGGTTCTCCTGTCCTCAGGTCAGCTCCTTTCTACTGCAGGTTCCGCTGAGGTTCTGTTGGTCGGGTTCTGCTGAGTTCTCACAGTGGTTTCTATCTGACGCGCTCCTCGTCCAGCGCCGAGGGTTCTGCTCCTTGTTTCCTGTTTGTTTTATTTTCTTGCTGCAACAGGAAATGGTCATCTTTTCCTCCCCCCGCCCTCCCTGCCCAGGACCCCCTAACACACACCACACCCAGCCCTTAATGATTGGTCGGGGTTCCGGTTCTACAGCAGCAGCGCCCCCGGTGGCGGTTTAAGAAGGATGTGAAAGTCTCCTTCATTGGTCCCCGCGGGGGGCCGTGTTCTCTGCATGTAAACAGCGGGCTGCCGGGAGTCTTAGCTCACTTCTGGTGAGGCACCGTCGTATCTCTACAGAGCTTGTAACACCTTGTTGTCCTACAAGGAGCTGCGCTCCATAGATGCTGGTTACTTGTTGTTCCTGTGGTTTAGTTCCTGTGGTTTAGTAGTAGGCTGAGGCAGAGCCTTCAAGTATCAAGCTTACCGCACATCACTAATTAAGCTTCTTTCTGGGAGTTTTGTTCTTTCTCCCCTATCAGGTCTCCGTAGATCGTGGTTCCTTCTGGACCCTGGTCCTGACACCTGCCGTGGCCCTGCTGACGCCTGCTGCTGCCATCATCATCATCATCATCATCATCATCATCATCATCATCATCACCATCATCATCATCATCATCATCATCATCATTATTATTTTAGATATTAATCATATTACTGGACTCGTAAACCAACATTACACTCTCCTAAAATCTCTGTGCTCTCCCTCCCCACAGGCTTCTGTGGATGGTGGTTCTATGTGATGGTGGTTCTATCTGATGGTGGTTCTATGTGATGGTGCTTCTATGTGATGGTGCTTCTATGTGATGGTGGTTCTATCTGATGGTGGTTCTATCTGATGGTGCTTCTATGTGATGGTGGTTCTATCGGATGGTGGTTCTATGTGATGGTGCTTCTATGTGATGGTGGTTCTATCTGACGGTGGTTCTATGTGACGGTGGTTCTATCTGACGGTGGTTCTATCTGACGGTGGTTCTATGTGACGGTGGTTCTATGTGATGGTGGTTCTATGTGATGGTGCTTCTACGTGATGGTGGTTCTATCTGATGGTGGTCCTATGTGATGGTGGTCCTATCTGATGGTGGTTCTATCTGATGGTGGTTCTATGTGATGGTGGTTCTATCTGATGGTGGTTCTATGTGATGGTGGTTCTATCTGATGGTGGTTCTATGTGATGGTGGTTCTATGTGATGGTGGTTCTATGTGATGGTGGTTCTATGTGATGGTGGTGGTCCCTGCAGTGGTCCTGCTGTGCGTCTGGTTTACTACTCACAGTTACTTGAATCATTTCTGTCATATAGTCTCATGTATTATACATTGTTCATTCTGTCCTCATGACATCATTGTAGTCGTCCATCAGGAGACGGATCCTCCTCTGACGTTCTCACTGAGGTTTCTTCCCTTTTTTCCCTCTTGTAAAGGTTTTTTCATTGTTGGGGAGTTTCTCTGTGCCGATGGTGGGTTTCTGCACAGAGGATGTCGTATGTGTACAGACTGTAAAGCCCTCTGAGGCTAATTTGTAATTTGTGATTTTGGCCTCTACAAAATAAAATGAATTGAATTGAATCTGAGGTCTGTCGCTTTTGTCTAAAGCAGCAGAAAAAAAACATTCACACAAATTCAGGAAAAATGTATTTACAGCAAAATAAAAACCATCACGGTTTGGAAAATTGTTCCCTCCACAATAAAACTCATTTCGTCAAAAACCATTCAAATTGCTTCAAAGTGCAGAGGGTGGTTTAAGAAGTGGATCCGGTGGGTTTAGACGTAAGCTTTGGAGCTGCCATCGTTTGAGGTCGGAGCCGCTCTGTAGATCTTCTGTCCTTCACGTGTAGATGAGAAGTTGTATGAAAACTGCCTGCAGGAAAAAAAGCTCTCATTTACAGAAAACCCAAACAGTCTTTGGACTGAGAGCTTTAGCATTGATTATCTGAGCTGTTAAATATTGAATTAATATATACCCGACCCATTGAATTACACTTCTTTAAAGAATCAGATTGGAAACACAAGTTAGACATTTCTAGGAATCTGTCAGTGAGCCCGAGGCCCAACGAGCCGCCTGCCTCCTCGTCAGGGACTTGACCCGTACCTTGAGGAGGTGGTGGTCGAGGACCTCCTGCAGGAGCAGCAGAGCAGAGAGCCTCCCACTATGGCCAGACAGGAGGCCGACCAGCCCAGATAGAGACCAGTACCCAGCTCGAACCTGCAGGAAGTCACTCACACATCATTCACTCGAAATAAAGCAACTTAGATAAATACAAGCACCAGAGTGACACTTATTATAAATGAACCCAATTTAAACTGTTACACTATAACAACATCTGTGGAACAAAGATACAGAGCCCAAAAATATTTTCAATATCCGAATCAATTTCCCCTTTGAAACCTGACCCATATAAATCAAGTAAGTCATCAAAGTCATTTAAATTTACTGAATATCTGTGTGAAATGTATTTGGATAAAAATAGAATCTAATATTTCTCCACTGCCGCATTGGAGTTTTAATTGGTTAGAATAATACATAATATTAAATGTAATCACAAGTAAAATACATCAATTTTCGCATCATTTCCCTGATGAAATACAAATAAATCCTCCTCAGTGATTCACAGCCGATTCCATTATTATTAATGAATTAAATATGAATTAACCACAGTTACAGTTGTTACATGATGCTGAAAACAGGCTGACCTGACTCCTCCATAGAGAGGGTTGTAGAAGTCCTGGATCACTCTGGAAGCGTACCAGGAGGTTGCAGTCAGAGTGAAGACACCTGAGGAGGAGACAGACTTTAGGACCTGACAAAACAAAGAACCTCGTGATGAAGTTCAAGGATTTCGTGATAAAGATGAAGAACCTCGTGATAAAGATGAAGAACCTCGTGATAAAGACAAAGAACCTCATGATAAAGATGAAGAACCTTGGGGTAAAGATGAAGAACCTCGTGATAAAGACAAAGAACCTCGTGATAAAGACGAAGAACCTCGTGATAAAGATGAAGAACCTCGTGATAAAGACGAAGATCCCCGTGATAAAGACAAAGAACCTTGTGATAAAGAACCTCGTGATAAAGATGAAGAACCTTGTGATAAAGACAAAGAACCTCGTGATAAAGATGAAGAACCTTGTGATAAAGACAAAGAACCTCATAATAAGGATGGAGAACCTTGTAATGAAGAAGAATCTCATGATAAGGATGAAGAACCTCGTGATAAAGACGAAGAACCTTGGGGTAAAGATGAAGAACGTTGTGATGAAGAAGAAGAACCTTGGGGTAAAGAAGAACCTCGTGATAAGGATGAAGAACCTTGTGATAAAGACGAAGAACCTCATGATAAAGATGAAGAACCTCGTGATGAAGAAGAAGAATCTCCTGATAAAAGACATGAAGAAGAAGAACCGTGTGTTAAAGATGAAGAACCTCCTACCTGACAGGATGAAGAGGACTCCTCCGCTCAGGGCGATCTGGTCCTTCACGTTCTCCGAGGTTCTGCCGATCTTGATGCACTTGAGACCCAGGATGGAGACGACGATGGAAGCCAGGCCGACCAGCAGGGACAAGATCATGAGAGCTCTGCAGGCCTGCAGGTGAGCTGGAGACATTTCATCAAGTTAATGACGTGGAGATGTTTTTAAAAAGGAGATGTATTCATTTGTTTGTGTGTTTGTTTATTTATTTATAGATGTGTTTATGTATGGGTGAGGTCATCTGTTGATGGTTAATTCATTTATAGATGAGGATAATAATTACTGTACAATACTGTAATCCACGGCTTGTAATATACTAATGATACTTTGTAAGTCCGCCCCATCATAAAAGGGTTCACTGTACATTTATTAAGTGATGAATACAGTTTTTATTTTTACTCCTTTTACATAAAATCAAGCGTAAGATTAAGAATCATCAATGATAGAGAATAGGTTTATAGCTGCTACGCTAACAAGATGCATCATGGGATTTTCCTGAGCACAATGTTTTCTGAGCTTTTTATTTAATGTTAGTATTTAGATGTTTTATTCATAAGTAGTATTTGTTATTCTTGATGGTGGATTGTTTGATATGTTCATTGTTTTGTGAATCGTTTCTTTCTTTGCTAGTTGGGTTTTAGGACCAGCATGCAACTGGGCGGGCCTCTGGTTTCAAACGCATTCCTTCTGCGGCCCAGTGAACGAGGTGCATCATGGGAGTGGGCGTGTCCTGACTCACGCGGCAGGCCCAGCAGCGTCTTGAAGCGGCTGCACTGGACGGAGCCCAGCGACGTGGCGGCGCAGCTCATCCACAGACCTTCGTACTGCCACTGGCCGCTGCCCACCGTCCCCTGCTGGCTGCGCACCTTCCACACCTGAGAGGAGGTGCAGCTGGACTGCAGACACCAGGAGACGAGGCCCAGCAGCAGACCCGCCACCTGCAGCCCCGCCGCCATGCCGCGCGCACCTGGACGCACCGGCGTGGTGATCACGGCGGGTTCCTCAGGGCTCTGTTCTGGATGCAAGACGTTTGTGCTTTAAGGCGGAGGTCTTCAACATGGGGTCCGCGACCCCCAAGGGGTCCGCGAAGGTACTGCAGGGGGGTCGCGAAATTTTTGGTTGATAAGACAATTTCTTTCCCCACAAATGTAAATGTCTTAAGAATCAGAATTTTATTTATGGTCTTTAAATACACGTTAACATGAATCCAACATATCGAAGCGAGCGGATAAATCGACGGAGAAGACGTCATCTGTCAGCTTCCCTCAGCAGACCTCGTTGAAGACCTCTGATCTAAATGCTAACGAAGGTTTCACCGTTTATTTAGGAGCCACGAGCCAAACACGCGGTACGAGGCTGAGGACACAACCGCACGTTTACACGCGTGAACGTGTACAAACAGAACCAACACTTTCCCCCCCGGCCCCCCTCCAACGGGAAATATTCCCTCTATCGCCATTTCATATCAAGACTTCTTGGCCGGTATTCAGAGATGAATGAATGATTTGTTCATCATACGATTTACAATACGTACTTGTGTGTTTATCATGACGTACTTCATGATAAACACACAAGTACTCGTTTGTATTCATAAAAGCATAATTACTGCCTCCGTCCTCCACCTTCAACCCAAAGATATTATTAGATCCATATCTATATTCTATGAGAGAAGTTCTTACCCTCTGAGGATGAAGTGAGGTTCTCTGGTTCTCCGTTGCTCTCCTCTGCAGCCGTGTGTCTCATGTGGTCTGGTTGTGGACCTGGTCTCTGGTCTGACCCCTTTGGGAGCGGATGGGGTCAATGACCCAGCGTCCAGGCTGATCACACACAGTTATTGATCCACCTCTGGCTGGTGGGACCTCCTTTCAGGATCCTTCATGTTCACGATATATAGCAGAGGAACCATCACGTGCTGAACGGACCTCTGAGGATTCAAACATTTGTTCCTTTATTTTACCAGAACTACAGATAATTACTACGTCAGTAGTATGTTCCTCCTCTCTTCGTTCTACTGGGTTGAATTAGTATTCGTATGATAGAGAACTACAGCTTCAATGAAGAAACTCTTGCGTTATATTTCATGAGTTCCTTTAAGGATTTCTTTTCTATAAACTAATTTAAACATATCTGAAAGATATGCTAATCACACATTCATTTGTTTAACTTGTCTCCTAAATGCACTTTGTATGTTCTCTATTGAGGTCACTCAGCAGACTCTGCTCTGTGTGCGCTGCTGTTTGTGTGTTTGTGGACTTCAAACCGTTCAGTCAGCTGACTGAGGGGGCGGGGCTTAGATGGAAGACATCGGATCAGGACACAGACTATTAATATAAACAGGAACATGTTTTGGTTTTTTTATTAATTCAGAAATGAAAGTTTGAGGAGCGGATGGAAAATAAATGTCTCGCATGTTTTTACAGTTTTAATCAAAAGAAACATAAATATGCAGGAGGACACACGTGGCTGAAGGGACACGTCTCATGTTCCCTCGTACAATTAGAGCCTTAAATCTCTCGCTTACTTTCTGCACAGACGACATCCTCTTGCACTGTGCAGATGATTTGTTTCTAAATATCAAACACGGGAACAAAACCAGTCAAACACAAACGGATCAGAATCCTTGTCGATGCTTTTGTAGAAACATGATCGCGGGTTACTGGACGTCCTGCGAACCGCCCTCTGTACATTTGATACATCTTTACACCTGGGTTTTTTCCCAGCAGCCCCGGCTGTTCGGCGTCCTACACGGCGCCTCCTCCGTCGGCTCCTCCCCCTCCAGAACCTCCGGTCCTCAGGTCGTGCCAAAGTTTCACGAACGGCTCCCGGTTCTTCCAGATCAACTCGTGGCCGAACAGGATGTACCAGCTGGGAGAGAGAGGAGAGGAACAGAGTGCATGATGGGAAGTTTAGCGTGTCACTGGAAGACGCTCAGAGCGCAGCACTGAGGCCCGGAGGTTCCTTCACTAGAACAGAGCAATGTTCTGTAAACACCCAACAGAACCAATATGAGCTTCAGGGGGCGGTTTTAGTCGTCCTTGATCTCTAGAAGCACCAGACTCCATCGATAAAAAGAGAGATATAAGAGTAGAAGCGCCTCTACTGACACTCAGCGTTTGTTTTATTCTACAACCTTTAAGGGAGTAACGTCAACGGAGAATATATATATATATATATATATATATAATATATATATATATAATATATATATAATATATAAATATATATAATATATATATATATATATATATATATATATATAATATATATATAATATATAATAATATAAAATATAATATATATATTATATATTATATATATATTAATTATATATAGTTCCTTTTATAAAAATGAACGTTTATGAAAATCAACTTCACCAACATCCATTAAACCCCGAACATTTGAATCAAAATAAAAACATTTATCTGAATTTGTCGGAACGATTCACCAGCTTCCCTCCTCATACTTAAATCGGTTTTCCCGTTGCTGAGCAACGCGGTTAAATGACTCACACGCCGAACAGGGCTCCTCCCAGATGAGCGGCGTGGTCGAAGAACTTCCATCCCAGCACCACGCCGGCTGTATCCATGGCGATGATGGCCTTCAGAGCCTGGAGGAAGTAGAGATGGAGATCAATGATGTCAATGGGACAGGTGGAGCAGGTGGAGCAGGTGCAGCGGGCGGAGCGGCGCTCACGTTGGCGGCGGTGAAGGTGAACATGGGGAGGAAGATGATGGCCAGTTTGGCTTCTGGCATCTTGGTGCAGACGGCAGCCAGGACGGTCATGATGGCTCCGGACTGAGGAGACACACAGAGACCAGGTGGGGGTCCGGGTCAGAACCACGACAAACCCTCTCAGCGCCTCCGGGAGGAGGGAACATATTACATACATATTTTAGGGACATTGGTTGGATTTTCAGTTTAATTTAGAACTCTTTGGGACAATATTCATGTAGCTTCAGAATTTTCACTCATATTTTTAAAGGATTTGAAGATTAGAACTTTTTGGTTGATTCTTTTTACAGAATTAATATATATTTCATATATAATATCCAACTTTTTATAAACTACAGCTGCTAAACCCGCTGTGGGGGTGGCAGTGGGGGTCTAGATGGACCAGGGAGGCAGATGCTGGCTCTGGGGACCTCTCTGGGGGGGAAGGAGGCGGAGCTTGTGTGGGAGGCGGAGCGTTGTCAGTTGGATCTGGTGGGGCTTCCCTCTTCCCACCGCCTTCGGGAGGTCGGGGGGGGGACGGTTGTCTGTGCGTTTGCACCAAACAGCAGCTCAGAGTATTCGGCCTTTTTGGAGACCCTGAATGGAGTCCTGCATGGGGCTCCAGTAGGGGACTCCATGGTCCTACTGGCAGACTTCAATGCGCATGTGGGTGACGATGGAGATCACTGGAGAGGCGTGATTGGGAGGAACGGCCTCACTGATCTGAACCCGAGCGGCTGTTTGTTACTGGACTTCTGTGTCACTGATCCATAACAAACACCGTGTTGGAACTTAAGGAGGTTCATAAGTGTACGTGGTACCAGAGCACCTGAGGCCAAAGGTCAATGATCCATTCTGCAACCGCATCGTCTGATCTGAGGCAGCATGTTCTGGACACTCGGGTGAAGAGGGGCAGAGCTGGGTCAGACCCGGTAACCCAAGCGTGTGGTGAGGGTGAACTGGGAACGTCTGGACGAGGCCCCGGTCCAAAGGTTCAACTCACACCTCCGGCGGAGCTTCTCACATTCCTGTGGAGGTAGGGGGCATTCAACCAGAGTGGTGTATGTGCGCCCCCTTATGGAGGTGTTCCAGACACGGCCAGCTGGGAAGAGGCCCGGGGAAGACCAGGACCAGGAGGCGAGGTTATATCTCTGCACTGGCCTGGGACCCCCAGCCAGACCTGCTAGATGTGGCCCGGGACGTTTGGGGTCCCCTGCTGGAGCTGTTGCCCCCACGACCCGACCCCGGATGGACGCTAAACAGACACTCAGGTTTGAAATAAAACAGTCTTTACTTTGTTACAATCCACGTTGTTATTGATTATTATTATTGATCAGTTGTCTCGTTGTTACTTACGGCTCCCAGAGACGGGCCGAAGCGCCCGGTGGCCGTCTTACACGCGTAACTGAAGAACGTAGAAACAACACCTGAAAAAGACATCGACAACAGTGTGAATCAGTCCAGCGTTATATGACATATACACGTCCATCAGGTCTCACCTGCAGACAGGTAGACGGCCATGAACTGCTCTCTGCCCAGCATGGACACGGCGCTGGACGAGAAGCTCCACAGGACGTACATGTTGGCAGCCAAGTGGAAGAAAGAGAAGTGGCTGAAGGTGGAGAGGAGCATCGGAGAGCACCGAGTCTCTGCAGGGACACCAGTAAACAACAGTCACAAACAAGCCTCTCCGAGAGGTAAACAACAGTCACAAACAAGCCTCTCCAAGAGGTAAACAACAGTCACAAACAAGCCTCTCCAAGAGGTAAACAGCCACAAACAAGCATCTGTAAGAGGTAAACAACAGCCACAAACAAGCATCTGTAAGAGGTAAACAACAGCCACAAACAAGCATCTGTAAGAGGTAAACAACAGTCACAAACAAGCATCTCCAAGAGGTAAACAACAGCCACAAACAAGCATCTGTAAGAGGTAAACAACAGCCACAAACAAACAACAGTTCCAGACTTTAATAATCTGTATCACCATTCACATATTTGCTGTTTCTCGTACCATTAACAGCCCCCCCTGAAAAAATATGCAATTAAAAATATATATATATTTTCTAAAAGAATGATAAATGTTTCTGTTGTTGAAAGAATCGGGGCCACTGGAGTGACTCCCCCGGTCAGCCGAACCCACTGCCCCCCCCGAGGTGAAAGCTGGGGAAACTCTTGGACGAGGGTCCTCAGAGAGGGGTGCTGGGACTCACTGGAGGCCGGGTTGGAGGTGAAGTATTTCATCATGGAGCGCTGCAGGGACGGAACCCTCCAGCAGCAGAACACGATGGCATTCGCTGCAATGATCCCTGGGAAACAAGACCAGCAGCGGTATCATCATAACCTTCAGCAGACTGAAGCGATTTGTCCGGACGTCGTCTCACCTGTGACCGTCCTCTGACCCTCACTCAAGCTGTTCCACCATTGGTTGACCTGAAACACAACTGGCCAATCAGGACCGAGAGCGGTGATCTGAGCCGGAACGAGTTAATCAGACTAAAACCTTCAGCTGGTCAAAGACGGACAGCAGACAACATCTACCTCATGCACACGCCCCCCGCCTCCCTCCCTCTCGTGCCCCCCCCCCCCCCCGTCATGCCGCCCCCTCACCTCTTTGCGGACATCCCCTCGCTTCTGAGGCCTGAGCTTCTCCAGCCAGTCGGCCCTGACCTCGTTGAAGTAGCTCTGGACTCGGGACTTGAGCGACTCGTACTGCCAGACGGCTGCCGAGCCGAAGCAGCAGCCTGTGAACTAACACGGGGTCAGCCGCTGTCCGATGATGACGTCACCGATGACATCACTTCCGAGGGACAACAACTTACCCCCACGGTGAAGACCAGCGGTCGGACGAGCCGGCCGAAGGCCCGGTGGGATCTCAGCGGAGCGCGGTGCTCCACTTGGGGAGCGGGGGTCCGGCGTTGGGGCGCGACCTCCGAGGCCTCGGCGTGGGGGGGCGCGAGCTCCTCCTCCGCCTTCTTGGATTCTGGTTTCTTGAAAACTTTCCTGAAGCCACATCTCTGCTGGATGCCGTGAGGCCACCTGGTTGGTATTTACAGGGTAAAAACACGTAAAATAGACAGTACGTAATAACAGTACCAACAGCTATATTCTGTGTATTTGAAAAGAAACGATTAAAGTCTGTTGGCAAATTTAAGCTAGAAGGTACAAGGGTGTTGTTGGCAAACCCTTGTACTGTTATAACGTCACATTATTGACGATAAAGTATCTCGTTGCTTTTATAACACGGTTACCAGCGACACTGTAAATAGTAAATAAATAGCTGCTTCCATCACACGTTGTGTGTCGCAGTTCAGGAGCCTAGAAAAAGTAACGTTAGTCCCTTTAGGTTCGGTGTTCGTCTGGCGTCACAAGTTGATGATCAGTTATTTGTGTTGTTGTCTGAAAACATCGCTGAAGCGTGTACAGCACACCACGTGACTCCTTCTCAACCAACCAGGACGCTGGATTTCATCTACCCGTATTATAAAAACGTAGCCAAAGAAAACAGCTCAGTTAGCTACCCAGCTAACATTAGCCGGGTAAACAACTAGCATTGGAGAGCTACATCCCCGATAGTGAACTGCCCTTGAGCGCTAACGGAGCTAACGGGGCTAACGTTAGCTCTAAAAAGCTGTTGGCCGGAGCCGACCGTCCTCCTCCGGATGATGTGACCGACCTGCCTCCTCTCGCGGAGCTCCGTAGAACATCTTCCCCGCTGAGTCTGAGCAGAGCCGCGCAGCTCCTCCACGCCATACTGGAGCCCGGTGACCCGGGTCCGCCGACCCCGGCATGTCGTTCACTACCGGGTCACCGCGTCGCCTCCGGAGGCGCGAACGGAAGAAGAACAGCGACACTTGGAGGACCGAGATGAACACTGCACACCGGGATTGATTAAAACCTTCGGGTGGCGTTTACGTCAAAAAACATATAACCGCTTCCGCCCATGACTTTCAAAATAAAGTCGAGTCAAAAATACATTTAAATTACGTTTTTCAAAATTCCTATTTATTGTATATCAAACTTTTAAATTTTTCACTCAATTTTCTATTTGTTATTGTCACTTTTCTTTGTTGATTTAAAACAAATATACAAACAGTTTTTTAGTTTAGGCTTATTTCATTAAAAACACATGTTTTTCTTATATTTTCAGGATGATTTTTAACATGTAAAATACATTTAAATTAATTTTCTTCCCCCAAAAATGATGTAGAATATTTTTAGTCTAATATGTAATTCTCAATAAACTGCAAACCTTTGCACAAAATAAAAACTGAAAAATAAAGTTGATTTTTCGTCCAAAGTGAAAATAATGCTTCAAATGTTAGTCAGAAGTTTCAGTTACAAATGTTTATTTATATGGAGGAAACACATAAGATGTTACTGACCATTTAGTTCAGGGCTGTTGTATTACATGACGCTGCATTAGCTTTAGAATGGGTTCATAAGTAAGGGAAGGTTGGATACAATAACAACAATAAACAGTATATATTTCACTGAACGGGGCTACATTCCAAATACACACCTACTGGACCTTGAGTCTGAAATGAAAGTTGATGATGATGTTATCTCTACTGTCTCCTTGTTACTCAAACACCAAGAGGCCGACAGTTAATTGTACAAACATAACTACAAGTTAATTAAAAATGTACCTGAACCTCATCTGCGTCTACATTAATAGTGATCAACCTCATAGTATTTTCTGTATGTAGTATAGTGATCAATGAGGCTACAGTTCGATAGGTAAACTCTTATATCTTCAAACAATGAAATGAATAGAAACCATTTCAAGCATGTCAGCAGGCAGCTGACCACACATGAAATATCGTATAGAGAAATATACAATAATTCATGTGTGGAAAATGTTCATTTATTGTTGTTACAATTCAGTCCCTTTGGAGCTGAAGTCCTGCTGCCAGTTTAGAGTCCCGATGCCGGTCTCCTCATGTCCTTTAATCTAAAATAGTTTTTTTTAATGCACAAGCCTCAGACACGACGATACAGACAAGACGTTTAAGTTCAATTTAAACATGAAGTTAAGAATCTAAACTCTGCCCTCAAACAAACGTGACATAACCGGTGAACCAACATCAGTCTCTACCAGCAGAGCATTTCTCCCCAGGACAGGCTGCTCTCTGCGGGCTGAGAGGAGCTGCCGCCCGATGTGGAGGTCTGATGGTCCCGTTAACTACACCTCACATCTCCAACATCCTGAGGGCTCCTGCACGAAACCAGGATAAGGGATTAAGTCGGGATATTCACGTTATCCTGGATGAATTTAGCTCTGACTTGGTTGCACGAAAGCAGGTTGAATTAAACCAGGTAACCATGGCGATGTATTCTTTGCAGCTGGCCTGCTACATAAAAATATGCTGCGCGCGTCTTCTCCATCTGTGCATCAGTAGATGTGTGATGGACACCTTCTACTTAAAGCCGTGAACGTGCACTGATCCAGCTGTGTGCATCTGGATGGACTAAGCTCCTCCTCCTCATCCCGTGCAACCGATTAAGATCAAACTAAGTCAAGCTGAACCTTTTCACTTAAACTGGATTTCTTTATTCTATTCTGTGTTCTTCTGGAGCTCATTGAGAAGACGGCTCAATGTTGACAAACCGACCACACAAATGTTGATTAAACAACAGAACAAAGTTCTAACCTGAAAAAATCCTAAGATTACAATCCGTGACTTAAATATAAAGTTAGTAATATTGATTAGCTTCAACTTACAGTTGTGTTTATTTTCCTCTATCGTTGATGCCCGTTGCTGAGGTGAAATGCATTCTGGGATATTTGGCAGACGACGCGTGCCCGGTCAAATGGGCGGGGCGAGTCACATCCGGGTATTATGACCGTTCTCGGCGGGACGCGGACTTTAGAATTGGAACAGTAGTCGGGCAGTGAATGATGAGTCCACGAGACGAAGACGTCAGTCAGCAGGAGAGTCGCGCGTCCTGCGTTAGAAGGGTTCTCTAACAGCACAATGTCTTATGTCGTGTGAATTGTTGTACATCTTTTACGTTGTTCATTCTGTACGTCCTCCTCTGTCTCTCTAAAGCAGAACGTAACCCCTCGTCACTCTAATCAATCCGATTATCGTTCTTATTCATAATCAGACATTTGATCAATTGAAGCAGTGAAACATGGAACATCCAGAAGTTTATTAAGCGACAAAACAGGATGAGAGACAGTGTGTGAGACAGAGTGTGTGAGACAGAGTGTGTGAGACAGAGTGTGTGAGACAGAGTTCAAGTTTTTGGTCAAGTTTTGTGTTGCTTTGGTGATTTTGCCAAATTGGCTTCGGGAACCGAAAAGTCTCCTGGTCCTGGTTCTGGTCCTGGTTCTGGTTCTGGTTCTGGTCCTGGTCCTGGTCCTGGTGCATCCGGTTTCCACTCAGAGTAACAGATGTTTTTACACTCAAACCGAAGAACATTTTTAAGGAGAGAAACTCTCAAACTGAATCTGACCTTAAAGAAAATGGGATCAAAAACATACTTCAAGGCTTAATGTCAACTAGATTCACAGCTTCCCCCCTGAAAGGGCACCGACGCCCGGGTGTCCAACGCCACTAACCAATCAGTTGGTCCATCACATTATTTTCATAGTAATAATAATAATAATAATATGAGGTTTTTTAGTATGACCTTTATTGATTGGTTGGTTGGTGGCGTGACAGTTAACAGGACAGTCTCTTATCAGAGAGACAAAGCAAAAAGTCTCTTCCTCTCGGTCCTGTTTGACTCTGCAAACACTGCAGGAAGTGAAGGAGGGAGGAGGTAGTGGAGGAGGAGAAGGAGGAGGTGGAAGAATAGGAGGCGAGGTGAAGATGAGGAGGAGGAAGAAGAAAAGGGCAGGAAGAAGTAGAGGAGGAGGAGGAGTTGGTGGAGCAGGCGTAGGTGGGAGAAGAGTGACAGTGTTGAGTAAAGAGGTGGAGAAGGACGAGGTGGAGGAGGTGAAGGAAAAGGGGGTGGTGCTCCTCCGCCTTACTTCCTCATGCAGACGCTGCACCTCCCTATGCTCTCCCTCTGCTGCCAGCTGTTCGTCAGGGTGGTGGAGGAGCCCTGCTCATGGGCCGGGGCGGTGGCCTCCACCCTGGTCAGCCAGAAGCTGTAGATGTTGGCGAAGTAGTGGCAGGTTCCTCGAGGGCCCTGACACTCCACGAAGGGCTGGGCCCGGAAGTCCGTCAGGCAGCTTCCTGATGATGTCAGAGACTGACCGCCGCCCTCGTCGCCGGCTCCCGTGTGCTGCAACGCACCCCGATCAGATAAGAGACGAGAACCCGTTTCCCAGTGACGGTTAAATGACACACATCTTGGTAGACTACAGTGTCTCCCCCAGGTTTACTACTTCATGGGGGGAGGGGTCGAACCTTTTCCGGGGTGTGGGGGGGCACGCCTGTTATAATGGTGGGAAACACTGAACTGGCAGCAGTCGGTTATCACATTGGCCAAATAACCCATTTTTTTAGGCTTTGTTTCCCTTTGTGGCAAACCCACAGCCATGAAGATACTCATTTAACGTGACATGGAATCTGCATGTCGCTAAATACCCAACTGAGATCGGCTTGTGCTGTTCTGAAAAGGGATCCTACCACGGACCACCGGAGGAACCGACCACCCAACCTGCCGTTCTGACAAAGGAACCACTTTTCGCACCCGGGTCATCTGCAGGTGCATCGCAGAGGGAACCAATAGCGTGTCTGGATGATATATGTTTATACTTCTCATCCAACCATAATCAAATGGAGTCTACCCGGATGGCGTGGTTTATCTGGACAGGTTGCGTGTGTGTGTTTGAACGACGAAAAGCCGGAATGAAAAGAAGCCAAAATGAAATAAGACTACAAGGCTATTTTTAAACTCTGGAGTAGGAGTAGAAGTAAAAAGTCGTCTGAAAAATAAATACTCCAGTAAAGTATAGATACACCAAAATTCTACTTAAGTAAGGTACTTGACACCTCTGGTCATTGTAATCATCATCGTCGTCAGGTGTTAGACAACAGTTATCAAATACTACGAAGCGGAAGTAATGATTACAGAAAATTCTGCAGTAATATAAGTAGTACAAGAGTGATAGAAGTAATTGTAGTAGAAGTAATATAACAGTAGTTGTAGTAGAATACTCAGTAGCAGCATCAGCACCCGTAGTACTACTGGCACTGCTGTATTATAGTAGTATTTGTACCCACCATTAGGAAAGAGTATCCGGTCCACAGGCTCCTCCAGTCGGGGGGGCAGTCTGGCTGGTTTGCGGTCTGGCTGTGCAGAGTGACGGGTGAGGAGGGGGCTTCGCACACTATACAGCGGCTGATGTGCTCCTTGATGGAGGCTCCGCCCACAGGCAGGCTGGGGATGGCCGCCGTTGTGGACAGCCAATAGGATTTGTCGTTGCGACTAGCATAGGAGCAGGTTCCCATGTTGCAGGAGGAGAACGGCATGGTGGAGAAGACCCGCATGCAAGAACCCGCCTGACCTGGGAACAGGTAACACATGGAGTAGATTTAATGTGTGTATATATATACATACATGTAAATATATATGTATTTACATACCCAGGTCTTGAGTGTGAGCTTTCTCCTGACCTTCCAGGTACAGCAGACTGTATCCGACCCACAGAACCCTCATGTCTACTGGACAGGATGGAATTGCATTTGATTGGCTGTGCAACACCAGCAAGAAGCCCGAGTTCAGGTTCTTCATGGATCCAGGAGGCCCACGGTCCCCCATTGGTCCAGAATAACCTGAGACACAGAGACCACAGAATGTAACACCAACAAGTCCACAAGGACTGTGACTCAAATACAGAGAAGTTGACGGGACAGGGTCTCACCTTTGGCTCCCGTGACTCCATTTTCCCCTGGCCGGCCCGGCTCTCCTCGGCCTCCATCTAGACCCGGGACCCCTTCGACACCTATCGGCCCCTCAGACCCAAAATCCCCCTTCCTACCTGAAATGCATCGTCAACAACCATCATGATCAGCAGCAAAGAGGAGGAACCCGATGGTTGAGGTTTCACATCAGAAGATACTTTAGGACTTTTTGGTTGGTCTCTCCTTAAATTAATCTGAAGAGGTTCTGGATTTGGTTTTATTGGGTCCACTTTGTTGGAGCACCAACCTTTGGGTCCGATATGGCCGAACACTCCCTCGATGCCAATATCTCCGTCTGGGCCAGGAGGGCCAGGGTTCCCCGGCAGACCTGGCGGCGCTGGGGAATGAGGGAGGCAGGACAAGACCCGTCCCGGCTCCCCCTTTGGACCCGTCAGGCCGGTGGAACCCTTTGGTCCAGTAGTTCCACTAGGACCAGTGCAGCCTTTAGGACCCCGATTCCCAGACACTCCCATCAGACCGGTGGACCCCCGTGTACCTGAGGACCCATAGATGTAAGACTATAAGACAGTTCATCATAGGACTTTATGAGTAAAGGTTTATTGGTTACTCAGTTCTAAAGTTCTGATATCCTCTCTTCCAGGTTTACAGATAAACACTTTGAGCATTATTAGCTGTTGAGAGCTGGGTGGAGACAAAACATTTTTTCTGGGTATTGTATTTATCACCTTCAAAGATGGAAAGAAGAAACAGTCTGACCTTTCTCTCCTGGACCTCCGGGCTGTCCCGGCAGTCCTCTGGGCCCCTGAGGTCCCTGTGGGCCTCCAGGCCCCTCGCATCCTGGGTTCCCGTTGTCCCCGACGTCACCAGATAGCGGAGTGTTCGGCCCTGGGTCCCCAACTTCACCGGCACACCCTGGAAGACCAAACAAATGTTGGAGGTCGTCAAAAGGGATTTATCTATTGAAGTTGAAGCGTCACCATAACGTGGTTGAGGAGTGGCTCAGTGATCCTATGAGCGATGTTGTCCAGGGGATCAGCCCAGGGTAGGGTTTGCCCTGGCAAACAGGTGTCAATGGAGGGACCCCAGTTGGAGCAGTTTAACACCCTGAACTTGCAATGGAAAAAATTTATGTGGAGGCAACGGTGGCGTATGGAGGAGAGTGGGTGCGGTGGGAAACCGCAGGGTTGGCGGTTCGAACCCTGGCTGCTCCATGTCCCATGTCAAATTGTCCCTGAGCAAGACATCCAACCCCTAACTGTTCCCCCGGCACATATAAAACCTTGGGTCAAAAATGTATTGTAAGTCGCTTTGGATAAAAGTGTCAGGTAAATGAAATTTAATGTAATGTATGTTATCCTTCAAAATGTTTCATTGAACGTGCTGGGATCGGGCGGCCAAGAAAAATAATTGAGCTGGAGTGTCTCACAGTGATAAGATGACAGTCTCCTGTCTATAGAGACACAACAAGATGGTTTGGAGGCCACCTGTAGGTATAAGAACTACTAGTCAACTGAGCAGGAAGCTGTTGTGACCTTTCTTCCCTTGCAAGGAAATAAACAGAGAAAGACATATTTGATTCAGAGCCTTCATTCTTATGTACCAATTGTCTGTGCAAAATCTTACATCACAATCTTTACGGCCCTCAGGAAGGGAACTTGCCGGAGAGCATCTGGTGGCCACGCCTTTGCCTATTGGGCCCGATCAGATTCAGCCCAAAGGAAAAATGTGGGGCAGCCATCCTGTGGACTCACTACTTGCAGGGTTAAGCATCAGGGTCGGGTCCTATGTGGCTTGGGCGGCGGGCAGGGGTCCTGGTCTAGGTGGCAGCTTAGACAAGCTCTTAAGGGACATGTTAAGGGGCACCTCGCTAGCGAGGAAAGACCCGGAGCTGGGGCAGTAGGGGGAGCCGTACCAGCTAGGTATAGTATGCACAGTACTGGCTCTGGAACCAAACTCCTGGAGAAGTGTTAGAGTTTGTTCTTTTCTGGAGTTGCACGGATCTCTGCCTGTCTGACGGACATCTCTCAGTTGATGTCCGCTCACCATTTGAAAATCAACCCCAACAAGTCTGAACTACTTCTCTTTCTGGGAAAAGATTCTCTGACCCAGAACTTGACGGTTAACTTTGGCAACTCCGTGCTAACGTCCACTTTGACTGCTAGGAACCTGACCACGGATAAGCGGAGGAAAATGGATGGACGGATGGATGGATGTAAACCCAGAAGTTAAAGTCTTACCTGTCTCTCCGTCTTTTCCAGTAGGACCAGGATCTCCACGAGGCCCCGGGATCAGAACTTTGCAGTCCGGTCCAGGTTTACCCGGAGGTCCTAAATTCCCAGGTGGTCCTGCAACAGGTTGAAGACCCATCAGTCAAACCGCCATATACCAACCCCTTGTGAGAAATCCCACTACAGACCTGTGGGTCCTGGGGGGCCTTTTGGTCCTGGTGGGCCGGGTGGGGATGAACCACCGTATCCCGGTGGACCAGGAGGACCTTTTTCCCCCGGAAGACCAATAAAACCAGGAGGCCCCGGTTCACCCAAACCTGAACGAACAGATGGATGTTACTATTGCAATAACAATGACAAAACAAAAGCCTCAGAAAGTTTCAGACAGACAGGATTCTTAAACCTTTATTGATTCTTAAGATTGGCTGTAAAAAACCCTTAAAAAAGCACAGACATGGAAGGATGAATAGATTATTGAGATTATTATTGGTCAGTAATAAGAGACAGCAAACTAACCCTGATAGTTTCAATAGTTTTCAGCCCTGTTCTGCCTCTCAATGAAGTCAATAAACTCAAAAAAGTTTTGTCCAAATCTGCTCCCCCCTCAACAATCAAGGACTTTGAGTTCGGAAGGGTCTGTCTCCTTGTGAACGTTACGGATAATGAAGCAGACACGTCCACAGTGAGACCAAAACTTTGAAACCCAAAAGTTCTGGTGCGTTTGGGCCAATTGAACCTAGTGGCTTTGCTCTCCTGTTTCCTGTTTCCCAGCAGCTATTGCGTCTTTTACTCACAACACAGATATTCACATTTCAAGTCTGAAGCTTGTGATCTATTGTCAGAACCATCAGTTTATTTCAATTTGTCACATGACACTTGCACACAAGGAGAGAAGGAGCCTTTGTTTCAATATTGAATTGTATCAAATACTTGTACCTCTGATCCCCATGTCCCCCTTGACTCCTTTCAGTCCGTCTAGTCCGTGGAGGCCGAGCGGTCCGGGAGGACCTGACGCAAAAAAAACCCTGTGTAAATGTCTTTTGACAAAATCAAACTCATGTGCTCTGAGATATGTGAGTAGATAAATTAAACAACAAACTATCATAAAAAAGTGTGAAAATCCCATTTTTGTAAAATTATGTGGAGCTCTTATTTTGAAAGACATCTTTAGCTTGGAAGAAGAGGAAGGGTCACCAGACAGAGTTATCTACTGATTGCACAAAAGCAGAATAAAGAAATCCAGTTTAAGTGAAAAGGTTCAGCTTGACTTAGTTTGATCTTAATCGGTTGCACGGGATGAGGAGGAGGAGCTTAGTCCATCCAGATGCACACAGCTGGATCAGTGCACGTTCACGCTTTCTTAAGTAGACCACGGTGTCCATCACACATCTACTGATGCACAGATGGAGAAGACGCGCGCAGCATATTTTTAACCCGCTGAGCAGCAACTAATTATGGAAACTTCTGAGGAGGTGAAGCCTCTAATATGCAAAAAGGGAAAAACGCAGCTGTAATTAAACAGAGAAAAGCCTGTTAGACAATCGCTGACCGACGGAATGACGAAGGGTCTAAAAATATCTACTTACAGGAAAGTTGTAGACTGTTTTAATATGCTTGTTTTATGTGTCGGTTTTATTGCTGTATTTGTGTTTATGTGCTAATGAGCCTACCATGTAAAGCACTATATAAATAAAATGTATTATTATTTAGCATACTTTGTCTTAAAAGTGAGCAGAGGGAATTAATCTTCCTCTGGAAATTTACCCTAAAGACTAATTTCAAACCCTTATTCACAATGAGAGAAGTTTTACATTTACAAATCTCTGTAAACTGTGTCTAATTCTAAATATATTTCTACAATTAATGTCCATACCGAATGAAGAAGACTAGACAAAAAAGATATTGGCAACAGGCTGATAAGTGCCTTAACAGTTTGCAAATGGTGTATTAGTGACTTACAAGACGCCTGCTCACATATTTTATCTAAAGACGAAGGCTCATTTGGGGGGGGGGGGCACCAGGCTTCACCCCAGCTGAGGGATTGGTCCTTGTTTTAAACCAAGGCAGCCTGTGATGGGGGGATTCAGGGTGGGACAGACACTGACTGTGTCCCACCTGCAGAAAATCCTGGAAATCCTCTTTGATGTAACACATTCTTCTGTGCAGGGAAGGTAATAAAGATGTGAGCCAAGGACTTCAGTGCCAAACACACACACTGACAGTACCACAAATAGTGCCTTTATTTACAGTTTCGGCATATAAAAACATGCCGTTTGCAAAAAAGCGCAGTGCCATACAGACATCTGTGGGATGGTGAGATCATGGATTCACGCTCTGCGTTGCTGAATTTTGGGACCCAGCAGTCTGCACAAATAATGGATTCCATTTCCAGTAAATCTATACCTCTCATGCAGGTAATTAATTCAAAGCTAAATCCATCCAGGATAACGTGAATATCCCGACTTAATCCCTTATTCTGGTTTCGTGAAATAGCCCTCAAGTCTCAATGGGATCCGGCTTAATGTGTCAATGATGTAACATGTGTCACATCACAGCCACTACAGGTTGCGGTTCTGACCTGGGAGACCATGGAAGCCTGGAGGTCCCGGAGGACCATCAGCACCGGCTTTACCAGGTAGACCTGGAAAACCTAAACGACCTCTGGGACCAGTGGGACCGACCACACCTGGAATAATGCAGACAGACAAAGAATAAGACAGACAGTCCTCATTTTGCTTAGTGGTGGACGTGAAGTCATGTGACTTCAATTGAGTTCTTTTATAGCCTAACCGTGAGGTCATGTGACTGTAGCAAGGTTATTATAACTAACAAAAAAACGAAAACGAGGTGTGATTTTTTTTTCGGCAACTGAAATAAAAATAAAAACGAGCCTTTATAAAAAAACGATAACTAACTCAAACTGTATTGTGTCTTTACCAAACTAACTAAAATAAAATAGAATTATAGAGAAAATGTCTTTAGTTTTCGTCTTGTCAATGCTATAGAACAGCGCTTCCCCAAACTCGAGCAAAAGTCCGTCTCCGCGAGGTATTTGCTCGCTTGCGAAACGTGAGCTTCGTTGCTCGCGAGGAGAATCTCTGCTCGCGCTCCACCTTAAACCAAGGCAGGTCTCCACCTTACCGTCTCCACGGTAAGGTGGAGACGGTGCGTTCAGGGTCCGATCGATGCCGCGAGGTGCGTCCGCTCCCGCCGCCCCCCTCGCCATCCACGCCTTAAATCTTCGGCTGCTTTTAGAATAACTTATGTTCCCCGTTAAGATGGTTCAGCTCCTGTAGAGAAAAGGGCGCCGTCTCTCGCTCTCTTATCTCATGAAGTGCTCGGCGAGAACGACAGCTTCGTTTCTCCGACGCGCCCTGAAAGCAGCTCCGTATCTCAGCGTCTCGCCGTCGTAGACGAGCTTTGGCGTGTTTGGCAGAGTGAACAACCAGTACGGATCCACCGATTAACCAATTGATCCGTGTATATAAGGCGCTCCGGATTATAAGACTCACTGTCGTTTTGTGAGGAAGTTAAAGCCTTTTAAATGCGCCTTGGAGTGCGGACAATGCGGTATATTGACGTTAATACCACAAGAGGGCGCCGCGTTTGTTGAACAACGACAGGCGGACAAGAGCAGCCGTTTGGAGCGAGAGCCTTATTGTTTTATTAATCTGTCCGTTTAAATTGTTTGTGCTTCATCAACTAATGTTCCACATACCTAATGTGCCGCATCATAAATATTTTTATATTAATTTCAAACTTTTAAAAATGAAAAATGAAAAAACTTTATTTATTTATTGTAAATGACCTCTCGGTCCACACTTTGGGAATCGCTGCTCTAGAGTTTTTATTGGGTTTTAGATTTTTTTCAGATTGAGCTCCCTGAGACTCCCGGCTCCCAAGCAATGTCCTGTGTGGCTCATTAATGGGTTTAGTACATGCTGTTCACGTGTGTCTTTAGTCTATTGGCTGTTGCATCTTCTGACTGTTTACATATTTGTACCCATATCGACATTTTATGTTCTGTTGTTGATATTTTTGTGTCCAGTGGAATTTTTCTGGTTAATGACACAAACACACTGACTGACACATATTCCATAGTTGTCTCTTGTGGATGGCTGTTCATCTGTCCTAAATACATTTTTTAAATGGTATGTTGTGTTGAGTTTGTATCACTTATTATAGCTTGTATCTACAATTCATTTTGAGCATTTCGTTTTGCAAGCAAAAAATGAAGCTTCCCTGATTGCCCCCCCCACCTAATACTGAAACTAATAAAAACTAAAAATATAAAAATATAAAACTATAAACTAAAACTAAGCATTTTCAAAAAATAAAAACTAAACTAGCAAACCCGCTTTAAAAACTAATTAAAACTAAACTGAAATTGAAAACAAAAAGTCAAAACTAAATAAAAATAAAAACTAGTGAAAAATTCAAAACTATAATAACCTTGGACTGTAGTGGAGAAGTTTTGTACCTGTTGGGCCCAGTTGCCCTTGATCTCCTGGATCTCCTTTGCATCCTCTCAGCCCCGGAGACCCAATGAAACCAACTCTACCTGGTTCTCCTGGAGGTCCAGGAGGTCCTGAGAGAGACAAACAGCATCTAAAACGCACATGCTGGTTTCTCCCAGAATGTCAATCAACAAACAAGTTCCTCTAACTTCAACAGATTTCATATTAATAGTTTTTGAAACATTAAAACCAAAGTGTTGTTAATTATCTTTATTTTCCCAGTCACTGCAGCTGAACCAAAACCAGATAATCACCTAAGGACCCGAAGTCTCCAGGAGGCCCTTTGTCTCCAGGTGGACCAATACCACTGATGGAGTCTCCTTTATCACCTGAAAGGAAAATAAAAAAATGCAATAAGTAGGAAAAATAAAGTAAACCCAACTGGTGAAAAGAAACCCGTTTGGTGTGGGGTTAGTAGTAAAGTAAAATTAAAGGGAAGTAAAAGTAATGTAAAATTAAGTTGTTAAGTAGAGCAAAGATACGCAAAGGAATTAAAGTAAAGTAATACACAATAAACTAAAGTAAAGAAAAGGTAAAGTAAGAGTCCGTGCTCGGTGGATACCTTTAGGTCCAGCACATCCTGGGTGACCGGATGCTCCTAATTTCCCCGGACATCCCAGGTCACCCTGCAACAGAAATACAAGATATTTCTGAATACTTAACAAACACTAGCAAACAGGTTTGGGTTCTTTGGATCTCATCTTTAAACCTCGTCCTCGGGTTCTCTTACCGGATCTCCGGTTCCTCCTGGGAAGCCGATGAATCCAGGTGGTCCATTGCGTCCGGGTGATCCTGGAGGTCCTGGTGGCCCGAACGGACCTTCGGGTCCTGGGAGTCCTGCGATGCCCATGGGTCCGTTGATGCCCCGATAACCTGGCTTACCAGCAGCTCCTTGCACACCTTTACTTCCTGCAGAGAGTGAATGTAATGTAAAATTCACGATCTGGTCATGTAACCTCATCACAGACACGCACAACATCTTGGTAAAATCCCAGCTGTCAGCAATTCAATTTGGCCACAGTTCTGCTGGTATTGTTGTTATCGTTGGCTTCTGTGAGCCAAACAAACATTCGTGTAAACTCTGTAGTGACCACTAGGGGGCAACTCCTCTGGTTCCATAGAAGTCTATGAGAAGATGACACTTCTCTCTTGATTTATTCCCTCAGTAAACATTTAAAACATTGAATTTATGGTTTCCATCTAGCTTCAAGTCTTCTTCAATACAGCATGATATCAATTTAGTAAATTAGGGTCCATTTCGAGTCAAACAGACCATAAGTGGGGGGAGCTACACACTGATTCACAGGTCCCTTACAGACCATAACGCAGGGGGTGCTTTAGGGCGGGCTAATGGATAATTGTTAGCATATGGCATCTCAACTTCCTTCTCAGTCCTAATATGGTCACTTCCTGTTCACTGGTTGAAAACTTGACTGCAGCCTCTGACCTCTGATCTGGAAACGTTGTGACTCTACCATGTCCTGTGTGACATCACACCCTGACAACAGTCTCTACGGTAACAGCTCTGACCTCGTGCTCCAGGAAAACCGTTGATGCCAGGCGTTCCTTGTTTTCCTCTCCTTCCCTTGATTGGGACCACCTCGGTCTCTCCCGGAGGCCCCGGGACCCCTTTAAAGCCTGGGACACACACACACACACACATAGGGCAGTGTTACGGGTGGTCTCTCTCTCTCTAACAGGCAGTTATTCTATATGTTTACACTAGTGGTTTATCACAGTACAGTAGCATAACTATAGTGGTACAATAATGATTTTGAAGAGTACCCTTCTCTCCTTTCTGGCCCTCACATCCAGGACTTCCGTCTCGTCCGTTGAACCCTCTCTCACCCATCCTACCCGGAGCTCCGAGGATCCCGGTCCGACCAGGGCCCCCCAGGCCTCCGTCATGGCCTACCGGCCCCGTAAGACCTGACACAAACAGTCAATATTCCTGGGCATAATTGGGATACATTTAAACTCAGATGTGCTGGTCTGTGGCATCTCACCTTTTGGACCATCCAGCCCTGGAAGTCCAGAGTCTCCACAAGGACCGGGGGAGCCCTGTGGCCCCTGGTAACCAGGTAAACCCAGATAACCCGGTGTACCTGGAGGGCCTTGAGGGCCAAAACCCGGAGGACCCCCCTCGCCGATCTCACCCTTCTCCCCACAGAAACCTGAGCACAGATATGATAACGTTGAGTACGGAGAAGTAAAGTAAAGCTAAAAGTGAAGAAAAAATGAATTAAAGTAAAGTGTAGTAAGTGAAAAGTGAAGTGAGTGTTCTTTACCTGGAGGTCCTACTGGTCCTTGAGGGCCAGGAAGGCCCCTGGAACCAGGCTTCCCTGCGTCACAGGAGCTGTATGTGGGCCCCCGGGGGCCTGTTATACCTGGGGCCCCTTCCCGTCCTCTCTGGCCCTTGACACCGGGGCCCCCTGCCAGACCGGGGAGTCCTGGAGAAACACAGGAAAACATTCAGTTTTAAATTTAAATTGTATTTGTTATTTAATTAATTTGTTGATAATAATGTATAACTTGACCTTCTAGTCCGTTGATCCCGGGGGGGCCGGGGACCCCTTTAGGTCCCTGAGGGCCCGGTCGTCCCGGGAAGCCAATGGGTCCTGAGGGCCCAACAGTAGAGTCCCCCGCTGGGCCCCTGAGTCCAGAAGAGCCAGGGAGCCCCGGAACACCTGGTGAACATAATGACCACACAGCTCATTATTCATTTTAACCATTTACATCCTCTGACGGAGTTCTCTGGTCCTCTCAGAAAGGGTGAGTCACATCCCAGACTGTCCCCACCTGGATCTCCACTAAAGCTGATGCCTTCACGTCCTTCTTCTCCAGTGTCACCAACGCAACCTTGAAGTCCTGCAGGAGGTAAATTCAAGGACAATGTAAAGAACAAGTGTGGTACCAATGTTGGTGTGGGACAGGTCTTGGTGTGGTTCAATTGGGTGCGGTACACATGTTGGGGTGGTACAGATGTTTGAGTGACACTCGTGTGGTACAGATCTTTGTGTGGTACAGATGTGGTAGAGATGTTGGTGTAATACAAGTGCGCCCTGGTACCTTCACGACCACGTGGTCCAGGCAGTCCAGGCTGACCTCTGTCACCTTTAGGTCCATCAGGTCCACTAAGGCCACGAAACCCTGGAGGACCTGGCAGCCCTCTGTAACCTGGAGCGAAGAAGGTCAGACAGACAGGTAAACAGGGAGATAGGCAGACAGGTGAGCAGGAGACAAGTGTTGTGGATGGTGTATACCTTCATCTCCAGTGTCTCCTTTCTCTCCCGGGGGGCCTGGGTTTCTGGGCACACAGGGCAGATTATCCCCTGCAAAATTAGGTGTATTCAAAGAAAGGTAGGAGTCAGGAAGTGGGAGAAGTCAAGTCTGACGTGACGAGGAGTTAGTTTCACAGAATCTGCAGTCTTTTAGTGCAAATCCTAATTCAATTCAGATTTTTACCTCTAACACCCTTTGGCCCTGGGGCTCCGGGGAAGCCCGTTGGTCCCGGGTCCCCGGGACCCCCACGCTGTCCCACTGCTCCAACTACACCCCGACCCGGGGGCCCGGGAGCTCCTGACAAGCCCTTTGGCCCTGGGAGTCCAGGGAGGCCTCTATCTCCAGGAGAACTATTAATACTTTCTCCCTGAAAAGAAACAAAAAAAAGGTTTAAAGATGGATGTCAGACCAGCAGTAACATCATCAGAGTCTGAGGCGGCAGTGTAAATTACCGTGACAATTATTTATATTAGAGTCTTATTGGTTTTCCAAGGTGTACGGAGTCTGACAGTGAATTCACCCTGACTGACCTCAGGGCCAGGGTTTCCAGGGCCCCCCTGGGGCCCGTCCAGTCCTCTTCTCCCTAAAAAACCCTGTTGGCCTAGAGGGCCTGACTGGCCCCGGTTTCCTTTCTCACCTGGAGACAAATGTCCAATCAGGGGACGGGACATCATGATGCGACTGTTGGGAGTTGAGTAAGTTTCTATTCGTTCTAACTCACCTTTAAAATCCACCACACTGAAATCCCCCTTTTGACCTTTGAACCCTTTGACACCTGGAAATCCACCCAGACCCTGCAAACAAAACAACCATCCAGTGAATTACACCCAACAACAAGTCCTGACCCCAGATTTATTTCTGAGGTGGTGTGATTGTGATTAACGTTCTCTGTGGTTTCTCTTCAGGTCCGGCTGTTTCCCAGGGGACTAACCTGCGGTCCACGTTCTCCCGCGTCTCCAGGAAAACCATTGTCTCCTCTCAGCCCTGGGGCCCCCGGAGGTCCCGGAGACCCTGGAGACCCGGGATCACCCACACGGCCGGGAGGGCCCATCAGTTTGTCCGGTGGACCACAAGAACAGTCGCCGCGGCTACCTGGAACACAAGCAGATTCAAAGCATGCAGCATTTCCTCAAGGAAATGTCCCGGAGCCTCTACTCTTTCTACTGAACCTCATGTCAGTGACAATGACACTGACCTTTGATCCCTTGAAAGCCTTGGACCCCCGTGGGCCCCCGATCGCCTTTATCCCCATATTCTCCCGGGGCCCCGGGCACACAGTAACTACCTAAGGAACGAAAACAGGAAGTCAGTGGGATGACAACGTAAGATGAATCTACACGGCGTTCCCTAGGTACCTGGAATCCCCTGTTGTCCTTTCAGTCCTTTTGTGCCGGGACTTCCAGGTTTTCCAGGTTCTCCGGGTGTGGGTACGCCTTCGTACACCTGGCCCGGATCTCCTTTGTCCCCTCTGCATCCTTGAGCTCCCCTCGAACCCACGACGCCTGCCGAACCTGAAGAGGAACAACGGACGTTATTCACCGTTGTCACCATCTGGGCCGCACGGCCATGACAACAAGGAGGGGACACCACAAGCAAGTAGTCAGAATGGAGTTTTATTTGACCTAGTGGCGCGTGGACTCGTCGTTTCAGTGGTGAAGGTCGAGTGGAAGGTGTGTGTGTGTGTGTAGTGTTGTATTGTGTCAGAACAAACCATACTCTTTTGAATAGCAACGTCTCAAGGCAGAGAGAGAGACCACCTGAGACCACAGGGCCTTTTATCAGCAGCACTGGCACACAAAGCCCATGTGTTGCCAGTGCTGCTGATTACCTTAAGATTTCCCACTCCCCTGACCCTCTGCCCGCCCACCAGGCACGCCAGCCACAGGTGGAGAGGGTCATCACACCGTCACGCCACCTCAGACGTGGGCAGAGCTGTCAACGGCACTGCAGGTACTGACCGGGTATAGACCTGCCGCGAGCTCCGGGGGGGCCGTGCGCTCCCATCGTCCCGACGTCTCCGGGAGGGCCCCTTGGTCCGGGGGCCCCGGGATCTCCGAAGTCACCTGTAAGACAGGAGGAGTTCAGCTGACATCAGACCACAGTGATGACATCATCCAGCTGACCCAATGTAATGATTTGTACCTTTGTGTGTTACTTTCACGTCCCTGGGGAGGCCTTTGGCACCTGGATTTCCCAGCATGCCCTTAACATAGAGGTCCATTAATTAACTATATCAGGAACGAGATGGACAGACAGCCTTGTTCTTTGATCTAATAGTATTGAATTTGATAAAGACGTTAAGGATGAGGCGCTAATTATTCATTTTCAAAAATCGTGGAGTAGGGTTGACCCCAAGGTGTGCGCCGTGTTTCCCCGGTGTCCAAAAGCGTTGCCCCACTACGCCTGCAGGTTGCGAAGAGTAAGGCTCTTGTGTGTATGCACCAAACAGCAGTTCAGAGTATACAGCCTTATTGAAATCGATGATAGAGGTCCTGGAAAGGCCTCCTGCCGACTCTATAGTTCTCTTGGACTTTAGTACTAATCATGGTTTGTCGATAACGAACACCAATTCTAAACATGGTGCTCACGTACCATGCTGTGAATGGATGGGGTCCAGCTTACATCCAGGACCTGGTCCATCCCGACATCCCGACCCGCACTCTCCGCTCTGCATGTGATAAACTGCTTGTTCCTCCTCACTGAGAGCAAAACACTCGACTAGATCTCCACTCTTTGCTGTCCTGCTCCTAAATGGTGGAAGGAGGTCTCTGAAGACATCAGGACCACAGAGAGCCTTCACATCTTCAGACTAAAGACACACCTCTTCAGACTCTACCTCCACTAACACACTAACTGCAGCACTTACATTGGACTTATAATGGCTCTTATCTAAATCAAGTTGTAGATCGGCTTATTTAATGAAATTGTACTTTCTTGTGTCTGTACCCATATGGTTGAATGTACTTATTGTAAGTCGCTTTGGATAAAAGCGTCAGCTAAATGTAGCTTAAGCGCAAGTTCAGTCACGAAAGACAATCTGTCTGACTCTGGTTGCCTCCCAGGGAATTACTCAATCAGTGGATTGAGGGGCGGGCACATTTTAGCAACCAATCAGATTCTATACACGGTTCAGGGAGCCAATCACGTAGTGGCCGTCAAACTTGTAAAAACTCTCTGTTGCCTGTCAGCTGTCATTTCAGTGTGTAGCGGATGCGAATGCATATGGAGAAATTGTTTATCATCTGTAGTTTAGCCATGTGGGTCAGGATCATGTCAGATTCTGAGGTGGATCCGTTGCCAGGAGAGGCAGGTCACGGGATTCCAGCCCGCAGGGCGCCCAGCGCAGAAGCTCTCGCCTGCCGCTGCGCAGCAGCTCCCCCCCAGCCGATCGAGCGACACTCTTGGCTCAGCTTGCGGATCGGGGCGTGATTCCATCACCAGGCCTGCCGTTATCCGAGCTACAAGAGCTAATCGGGCTTACAGCTAGCAGTAACCGGGCTGAGCCCCAACCCGCGGCTGCAGCGGGTGCGGAAAAGAGAGAGGAAAGCCGGCTCGTCTCCAGCACCACAGGCGAGGAAGAAAGCGGGTACGTCGCATACGCTCGCTCCACCAGCAACTCCTGGCTCATCCACCGCCGACAACATAGTTCTCACTACCCTGCAGTCCCTGGTGAGTTCTCTGCACACCATTGATGCTCGGCTGCAGTCCTTGGAAGACGCGACGAGTCAGTCCACAGCAGCAGCCACCGTCGCCGCCAACCAGGGCTCCATGCGGCAGGCAGCCGCTTTGCGCACTCAGCCTTCCACGTCAGCACAAATAGAAGTCACCCAACATTCGCTGGCTTTTGCATTCCCGGCTCCAGCAATGGGTAGGCCGTACATCCCACAGGCAGCAAACATCACTCCTCGGCTGAGGTCTAAAATACTACAAGGTAGAGACATCAATCCCGTTAGCATCATGTTGCCATCCCCTGAGTGTGAGACTAGCGTAGCCTCCGGTGGTAACATTGCTGCTGTGTTTAAGTCGGCAGATCCACGGCTGCTCAGAGATCTGTCGATCGAACAGTTCCTGGTTGCGTTTGGCGTATTTCGGGACGTGTTATGTGCGGTCTTCCCTGACAGAAGACAGGAGTTAGATGCGTACATGGCACTGATCGGTGATCTACATCTGAAGTATGGAAGGAACATATTTTACATTACATGTCATTTAGCTGACGCTTTTATCCAAAGCAACTTACAATAAGTGCATTCAACCATAGGGTACAAACTCAGACCAGTACCATAAGGCTTTTTCCAGCAAAGCCGCCCTGTATATCACGCAATACAACTCCCGGGTGAACTGGTCCGTGCTGGATACGGAGTAATTGCTCATGGTCGCGGGTGGCACGCAAACCGTGTCGTGCAGTTCCTGCGGGAATCCGGGCCACCTGGATCAGTTGTGTCCCGCGGCTCTGTTTCCGCCTACATTCTCTGCCCGTGAGGTGCCTAAACTGGATAAAACACTCATTTGTAGGAGCTTCAATGAAAGCGTATGCACGTATCAAAACTGTTGTTTTCTTCACATATGCATCTTCTGCAAGGATGCGCATCCCTGGTCAGTCTGACCCCGGCGCACGTCCAGATTATCTCCACGGGGAGGGAAACGTCGTGGGCCAAAGACATTTTGATGCAGCATCCGTCTACACCAATAAATCTGCAAGCGCTATCTGTTGAACAGTCTTCTCATCCTGATTCTGTGTTTGTAGACCATCTGTTAACCGGGTTGTCACAAGGGTTCCGTGTCGGAGTCATGGCTTTGCCTGCTGTAACGTATGTGGCAAAAAATGTGCAGTCTGCGGTTAATGATCCCAATACCGTTTGTCAGCTGATTGAGAAAGAGATCAGGAGGAAGTATGTGATCGGACCGTTCAAGTCCTCTCCCCTCACGGTGTTTCGCACCAGTCCGATAGGAGTAGCCACTGGCAAATACCCTGGTAAGAAATAGTTCCGATCTATCCTTCCCAGTGGCATCTATTCAGAATCAAGTTCTATTTCGGGGTACGGTTAACTTTTGGGTGCAGGAGCAGCCCTGGTATCTTTGATCAAGTTGCCAAAGCACTTTGCTGGATACTGCTGAATAGAATAAGGGTTCCAGCTGTTCTTCACTGGATGATTTCCTGTTGGTACACGTAGGGGCAGGCGCATCGCTGGATACATTGAGAAAGTGTTTCCACTCACTCGGCGTTCCCCTCTCAGAGGAGAAGACCATGGGGCCAGACACACGTCTTGAGTTCCTGGGTATTATGCTGGATACTGTTGACATGAAAGCGGCCCTACCAGTGGCAAAATTGCAGCGCATTCGCGAGATGTCCAAGTCGTATGTTGCGGGGGGAAACATAACAGAGCGACAGTTACTCTCTACTGGGGCATCTTAATTTTGCCATGCGCGTCATTCCACAGCGGCGCTCGTTCATCTCTCGGTTGTTGGACAGGGCTTCTTCCGTGGACAAATTGCACGAATTGGTGTGTCTTGATGAAGGGTGTCGTTCAGACTTAAGGTTCTGGTCTCATCTGCTCGATAAGTGGAATGGGCTCACATTCTTTTATGATGATCTGGTGTATTCGTCGGACTCTTTAAGGTTCTACACAGATGCTGCTCCATCAGTGGGTTTTGGGGGTCATTTTCAAGGGCAGTGGTTTGCGGACCGCTGGCCTCCGCCTTTCGCAGAGTTTGAAGCGTCCTCAGCATTGTAGGAAATTGAGCCCGTTGCCGTGGCCTTCTATGTCTGGGGGCGGCACTGGAAATGCAAGCGCATCTCCGACCTGTGCGATAACCAAGCAGTAGTTGACATTATTAGAGGGCGCTCCTCTTCTAAAGATATCATGCCTTTCATGAGAAGCATCACCGGGTCAGCCGTCACACATGACTTCATAATCACCGCCCGGCATGTGCCCGGTCATCTGAATACACTGGCTGATTCGCTTTCCCGTTTTAAATTCCAGGCTTTCCGGAACAGGGTTAGCATGCCTCTTAAACCTGTTCTCATCAACACAGTTTGTGCCTTTATTTGTTATTGCGTGGAGGTGCGGCATTTCAAACCTCCATATATCTGCAGTTTACTTGCAGGCATTCAATTTAATGTTAGATAATACGATCCTGCCGCAACCAGTTTATTTTCTAATGCGGCTGTCAAACTACTGCTAAAAGGCATCGCTAAATCAGTGCCTCAGGATTTAGACCGCAGGCAGCCTATTACACTTCCTATTTTTCACAGGATGCTGAATGTTCTCAGAGCAGGTGTGTTTGCCCCCTATGTTGATGCCTTGCTCGAAGCTGTGTTTTCCTTAGCTTTCTATGCTTTTCTCAGGTGTGGTGAATTTACTACCTCAACTAAATCCTTCAACTCTCAAACAGACATCGCCTTTGGCGATTTGACCTTTCATACTAGTCATTATAACTTACGCCTTAAACACTCCAAATGTGGAGGTGCTTGCGCCGTAATTGTGGCTCGGGTAGACTCCGGGTTTTCCCCGTTTATGTCCATGGTAAAGTTCCTACAGTTGAGACCCCAGTTTATGACCCCAGGCAATGTTCCATTATCCAAGACTTGGTTTAACCATCATTTTAAGGTTATCCTCTCACTACTACATTTATCACCTCAGCTATACTCCGGGCACTCCTTTAGGATAGGGGCTGCTACTTCTGCTGCTAACCAAGGTGTCTCTGCTACATCCCTTCAAAAAATGGGACGGTGGTCTTCCTCTGCTTTCACATCGTATATCCGCCCAGACGTAAACATGATACTAGAGATTCAAAGATCATTGAAGCCTTAAAATCCTTTACGGATGCATATAACTGGTGGTGGTGGCGTTCCCGTGGCACTTGGGTACGCAGGTTGTCAGGAGTTCGCTCTGTATCTTGACGTTTCTTACCCTAACATGTAGTTGTTGAATCGGGTATGCTATTGGTATATTCTCTCTCATGTTAGCTGCCATTCCGGCTGCTGTTTACTGTTCACTGGTCTTTGTGTTCATGTTCTCCATTACTGGTCAAGATTTCATCTTTACTACGGCGGGGGCCCGACTGCGTAAGACCCATCAGATGACATCATTCTAGTGAGGGCCGTGGGTGTTAAGGCCGGCGCATGTTTCTGCGTTTGCGTCGTCGCGTCGACGCACTGGTTTCACTTCCTGGTTGTAAAGTCTCGCGTGTGTTGCAGAGCGATTCACCTCCAGAACAACAGGCGGAGTCACGTGTTTTGTTGAAGACGACCTAGAGAGTCACGTCTATTTATTTATTTGTTTATTTGTTTATCATAGACTTTATTGCCCCGTGCATCCACACTGCTGCTTTTCATCACGGACACATTTGTCCCGTATTTTCCTCCACAACTTTGTTCCTCTCGACCGGCAAACCGGCGTTTGCGGCGATCTCCCTCCGTGAATCCAACCCGCTTCTAAACCCGCCAATGACGGCTCGTATAAGCGCTCATATTTACGCATTTCTTCCAAAAAAAGTTCTTCAATCTGATCCGTTCTCTCGTAAACAGTCTTTATTTTAATAATGGCAGTATCGGGCTATGAAAGCAGAAATGTGAGACTACCTAAAGGAAGTACTTAGCGGACCAATCACAGCCTGGTGCGCTGCGGGAGGCTTGCGTTGCTTTCGACACAAGCCTATAAAAATGGGTCGACCACGCAAGGACGCAAGGAGGTGTGAAAAGCGACGCAAGGGACACGCAAGGGGGACCTGCATCGGCGTCGCTCTGAAAACGCAGAAGCATAAACTAGCCTTAAGGCCCATCAAGGTGTCATCTGTGCCATGTCGGGGGCCAAAGGTGTAAGTCCCATCAAGATGACATCATCCTATGGTCTGGGGCCGATTTTGTAAGACCCATCCAGGTAACGTTCTTTCTAGGTCTCCGTCGGATAAACCCGGGTTGTGATTGGCTCTTCTGGGCTGTGACTTACCAGGTCTCTTACCTGGTTTGACTTTAACCCCTGGACGTTTAACTTCTGTCATGTCTAACCTCTGTGGTGGCTTAGGGATTTCACTACGGCACGATGTGAGGTAGTACTTTATGATGGAGTCCAATCGGCAAAGACGTTGCACAATTCATATTTTATGCATGTGTAATAAAGTATTTTCTATTTAATGAGTTGAAATTGAAATGGCATGTGATGTAATGTGATGTTCGAACGTAAGGTGGCTCAAAGGTCTACCTGGTACCAGAGCACCATAGGCCAGAGATCAATGATCAACTTTGAAATCGTATAATCTAATCTGCAGATGCATGTCTTGGATACTTGGGGGAACCTGCTGGACCTGCTGCTAACCTCGAATATGCGGAGAAAAATGGATGGATGGATTTTGTATCGATGCAAACTGATGTTCGATCCTTGTGTCTTAATGCGACCAATCAGAGGAGTTAATTCCCTCCCTGCATGTGGTCCTCAGAGAAGAGCTCAAGAAAAGACTGACCTTTGGACCATCTCGCCCAATTAGACCCGGCAGACCTGGACTCCCTTGAATCCCCTGAAATAAAATAGGTTAAAAAGCTTGTTTCAGATAAGCTCGACGGGTCAATGATCAAACAACCAGTAAGTCGTATAATTAGTAAGAAGTTATTAATAGAGCAGCTTTTAGATTACTGTTGTTAGCTCACCTTGAATCCTCTTTCTCCGGGACGACCAGGGTTACCTGAAAACCCCTGGGGCACAAGAGTGTTTAATTATTGATCTGAATGGAGCATATACCAATCAACAAGAAGGTTACTCACCCTGGAACCAGGAAATCCCACAATCCCTTTCTCTCCTTTGATCCCGGTGAGACTGTCCAAACCCTTAAATCCCAAAAAAATCATCGCCTTCGAGGTCAACAGATATGCGTTCAATAACTTGATGTTCTCACTTGATGACAACATTAACAAAGTGAATGACAATGAATGTTTTTTTCTTTCATAGCATCATCTCATCCTGTGTTTACAGAAGCTTATTTTCAGTAGAACACTGTGTTCAGAGGAACCCAATGCTCCTTTGGCCAGATGTTCCAGAGATTAGTCAGATGTCTGAACTTACCGACATTCCTTGCCGTCCACAGACTCCTTTAGGCCCCTGAGAACCCTGACGAACCCCAAAAAGAAGAGTCCCAGGACATTAGAACCATAGCAGAACAGTATAATAATCTGATTGGTGGTGGTCGGCTTAGGTTCCGGCCACCTTATCTCCTTTGAGGTATAGGTCTTCTGGAGGGTCGACGTACTCAAATGGACCCGGTTGACCCTGGAGGCCCTGATCCCCCTGTGGAGAACACACATTACTGCAATACTGCCACAGTACCACAATACTACCACACACTACTACAATACTACCACATACATACATACTACCAATACTACCACAGTACTACACAGTAGCACAGTAGTAGTCTATGTTGTTCTCGAAGATGTTGTCTTATGTGTCTTGTCGTCCATCGTCGTACTGTCTGATGTTACGCACCAACCACCAAGTAAAATTCCTTGTATGTCTGACATATTTGGTAATAAATGTTCCTGATTCCTGATTCCTGATCCTGAATACTACCACACAGTTCTACAATACTACCACAGTACAAGATATAACCAAAATACTACCAACAAACAACAGTACAATACCACCACAGTGCTGCTAAAGTTGATAAATAAATGTGAATATTTGTACCTCGTCTCCTTTCTGTCCTGGCAGAGAACGACCTCTTTCTCCCTGAAACATAAACAAGTATGAATATTACATTATTGATCGATAATCAAAAACCCAGAAACTCCCTGTCAAATACAAGTATTATGATCAATAATCAGTAATGTGATTGTTCTACGTGTGTTTTTTCACACTAATCAATAATAATAATCTTTATTTAAGTGAGGTAGAAATACAACATTCTAAAAATATTACACATTATTATTATAAATGGAGTTCTTTACTGAAGTACAACTACCGTGTAGATTAATTTTGTTGTTGTTGTTTACTCTATGCTATGCTACTTTTTAATTCATGAATCATCTTTTCCTTAATTTAATAACTAAATGTATATAATATATAAGGATTTCCTTGATGTAGCAGAATATGAAGTAGCACAAAATAGAAGTCAACAATTTAAGTCAGTCATCAGAGTACTTAAGTACTTGAGTAAATGTACTTATATTACTTACAGGTGGACCCCTGGAACCCTGCTGACCCGGGAAACCCTGTAGAGACAAACGTGCACCTGTACAATCAGCCCAGTCATAAAAAAATAAAATACATTTATAAACGCATTGTTTACAGTATCTTCATATTGATAAAGTAATAATTATTTAAAGTAGTATTCATATTTATTGGGATTATGTTCTACGGTACTCACGTTGGTTCCATCTGGTCCCGATGGACCCAGATCCCCAGCCGGCCCAGGGAGACCTGGTTCCCCCTGCGGACAAAACCTCCTCTCAGTACACATAGAGAAGTAAAAGTACTCACAAAGCAGAAGAATTGCTCATTTAATGTGTTTAAATAAAAATAATCCTACAATGTATTTCCCCGATCATGAACAAAAAACACTAACAATCGTTATATAAATGTAGCAATATGAATTATTTAACTTCTTACTAAGTTAAACGTGACATAAATGTGAAATAAATCATATAAACTTGTTGCATCTCTTCTCCAAGGCCATCAGACATCCAGGCGACCTGAAATTGGACTAAGTATCTTTTTCTTTAAACCAAGCTAGTCTGCTAAATTTGGTGTTGATTCTAGTGTTAAATTAAAGTTAATTTGATTGCTGGTTTGCTTTAGTTCTTGCCGTTTTACTGCCAGTTCTCTCTGTTTGAGTTTATCTTGGCTGCTAGTTTGCTTAAACTCTTTCACTCGTTGAGCCAGTTGGCGCTGTAGACTGTAGTATTAAGTTAACTACCAGTGTGCCCTCCTAACTCTGCTGGTTTTCACCTGATCTAAGTCTGTTTTGCCTTGTTTTCTGAATCAAATAAGACTTGAATCCTTAAACTCTCAGTTTGTCAAAACACCACATGGTGATTGTTCACTGATTAGGGTGTCAAGCTATTGGTGTTTTGCATTTTGAGAAGTTTCTGTCGAGGCCAATCGACCTTTTGTCTCCTAAACGTCGGGGGAGTGGTCAGCGCAGCTGTAGCCGACTTCCACTAACGAGGGAGTATTTAACTACAGATCGAGCTTATCCTCGCAGCATGAAGACGAGCAGGACAAAGACTAAGGAGTCTTTCGTGGAGTCAAGACGAGCAGGACAAAGACTAAGGAGTCTTTCGTGGAGTCAAGACGAGCAGGACAAAGACTAAGGAGTCTTTCGTGGAGTCAAGACGAGCAGGACAAAGACTAAGGAGTCTTTCGTGGAGTCTTCGGGGCGGCTGAATGCGGCGCCTTCTTCTTCTAGTTTTAATTATGTGTTTGACCCCTTTACCCGTGCCTGTCCGAACCTCTTCCCACAGATACTACAGGCCTCGGGCCAGATCCGCTCTCTATCGTATCCTCTCTCACCGATCCCACCCGCTCCACACACGTCCAGCACCTCGTCACAGGAGGCCTCTGGAACTGCCAGTCAGCTACTCGCAAGGCTGACTTCATCTCCCTCTCACCGAGACCTGGGTCACACCTGAGAACACATCCACCCCAGCCGCTCTCTCCTCCGCCTTCTCCTTCAGCCACACACCCAGGCCCACTGGTAGGGGTGGTGGCACCGGTCTACTCATCTCACCCAAATGGAGCTTTTCTCTTTACCCTCTTCCACCATCCACCCCATTGTCCTTTGAATTCCATGCTGTAACAGTTACTCACACGGTACAATTAACCATTGTGGTACTTTACCGTCCGCCAGGCTCCTTGGGTCATTTCTTGGAAGAACTGGACATTCTCCTGTCCAACTTCCCTGAAAATGTCCCTCCGCTCATCCTCCTGGGTGACTTCAACATCCAGACAGAGAAGTCATCTGACCTCTTACACCTACTTTCTTCCTTCGCTCTGTCACTCAGTCCCTCTCCTCCTCCTCACAAAGCCGGCAATCACCATGACTACATCTTCACTAGAAACTGCTCCACCACTCACCTCTCTGTAACTCCACTTCATGTGTCTGACCACTTCTTCATCTCCCACTCTCTATAACTAACAACCCCATTGACTGACTCTGTACCCGTTCGTCGCAACATTCGCTCCCTCTCTCCCTCCTCTCTGGCCTCCTCTGTTCTATCAGCTCTCCCTTCAACTGACTCCTTCTCACTCTTGCATCTGAACGCTGCTGCAGAGACTCTCCTCAACTCTTTCCTCCTCTCTAGACTCTCTCTGCCCTCTTACGACACGACGGACTGGCAAATCCCCTCCGGCTCCGTGGCTGTCTCAACCGGTCCGTGCCATGAGAGCCACCATGCGAGCGTCGGAAAGGAGATGGCGTAAATATAAACGACCTGACGACCTGCTTGAATTTCAATCTCTTCTCTCCTCTTTTTCTTCTTCTATCTCTGCTGCCAAAAGCTCTTTATCAACTACTTTACCAAGAAAATAGCTGACATACGCTCCTCTTTCTCAAACCCACCTCCTACTACTTGCGTCCCACTGGGTTCACCTCAATCGCCCTCACTTTCCTCTTTCACCCCCCTGTCTCCTAACCAAATTCTTACCCTAGTAACCTCTGCCCGTCGACCACCTGCCCTCTTGACCCAATTCCATCACATCTTCTACAATCTATCGCTCCTGACCTTCTCCGTTCCTCACCTGTCTCATCAACAATGCTCTGTTATCTGGCTGTTTTCTCTGAAGGAGGCAAGAGTCAACCCTCTCCTGAAGAAACCCACCCTCAACCCTTCTGAAGAAAACACAGACGGTCTCTCTTCTTCCCTTTTTGTCCAAAACTCTTGAATGTGCGATCTTTAACCAACTCTCCTCCTATCTCCACTATAACAACCTCCTTGACCCCCACCAGTCAGGCTTCAAGGCCGTTCCACAGAGACTGCTCTCCTTGCTGTCTCAGAGCAGCTCCACACTGCTAGAGCTCCTCTCTGTCCTCATCCTTCTGCACCCCTCTGCTGCATTTGACACAGTCAATCACCAGATCCTTATCTCCTCCCTTCAGGAACTTGGTGTCACAGGCTCTGCTCTCTCCCTTCTCTCGTCCTACCTCAACGGCCGCACCTACCGGGTAACCTGGCGAGGATCTGTGATGGAACCTTGTCCTCTTACTACGGGAGTTCCTCAGGGTTCCATCCTGGGTCCCCTTCTCTTCTCGCACTACACCAACTCTCTTGGCGCTGTCATTCGCTCGCATGGCTTCTCCTACCACAGCTATGCCGATGACACCCAACTAATCCTCTCCTTCTCTCATTCGGACACCCAGGTGGCGGCACGGATCTCTGCCTGTCTGACTGACATCTCTCAGTGGATCCGCCCACCATCTGAAAATCAACCCCGACAAGACTGAACTACTTTCCAGGAAAAGACTCTCCGACCCAGGACTCGACTGTCAACTTTGGCAACTCTGTGTTAACACCCACTTTAACCGCTAGGAACCTCGGCGTCACAATCGACAGCCAACTCTTCCTGACTCCCAACATTACTGATTATGCAGGCTGTTGTCGTCTCCCTCCTGGACTACTGTAACTCTCTCCTGCAGGACTCCTGCTACCTCCATTCCACCTCTGCAGCTCATCCAGAATGCAGCAGCTCCACTGGTCTTTAACCTTCCTAAGTTCTCCCTCACTCCTCCACTCCTCCGCTCTCTTCACTGGTACCGGTGGCTCATCCAGTTCAAAACATTGGTTCTCACTTACCATGCTGTGAATGGATGGGGTCCAGCTTACATCCAGGACCTGGTCCTACCCGACATCCCGATGCGCACTCTCCACTCTGCATCTGCAGAACTACTCGTCCCTCCCTCACTGAGAGCAAAACACTCGACTAGATCTCGACTCTTCGCTGTCCTTGTTCCGAAATGGTGGAACGAGCTCTCTGAAGACACTAGGACCGCAGAGAGCCTTCACATCTTCCACCCCAAACTAAAGACACACCTCTTCAGACTCTACCTCCACTAAAGACTAACAAATTGTAGCACTTAAATTGTACTTATAACGCCATTTATAGAAAGTTGTAAATTGGCTTATTTGAGGAAATTGCACTCTTGTGCATAAAAGCTCCTTTTATCTTGGATAAAAGCGTCAGCTAAATCACATGTGATGTAATGAATCCAGGATCAGATGTCTGTTCTCACCTGACGACCCGGAAGTCCAACGGAACCGGCGTCTCCCTGAGAAACATGAACAATGTACAAATACTACGTTGTTAGTACATTCTGTGACAGAGAAGTATCACGAATGCATTAACAGATTCAGATGTTTAGACAAGACAAGGTTACACATGTACTTGTACTTCTCAGAGGTACATGTTATACTTTTTACCGTACTACATCTCAGTGGTACATACAGTATAGTACTTTTTGCCGTTCTACATCTTGTAAGTAAATAGGGGCTGAAACAACGAATTGATGAAATCGATTGTTAAGTGTTGGAAATCAATTTCATCATTGATTTGTTGTGTTGCGATATTATTACGTCAAACGAGCCGCAAAGATGAGCACGGAGAGGATTATCAAAATAATTGTTAGTTGCAGCACTATTAAAGTAAATTATTTGAGTACTTCTTCCGCCAAAGTGATCCTAATATATGAATCTGCAGCTATTTTAATAATCAATCAATCATCTAAACATCTAAACTGTGTATACGTGTACTCACAGGTACTCCAGGGTACTGTACAAAGTAGACGGCTGGATCTCCTGGGAACCCTTTCAGTCCTTCAGAACCCTTCAGAATAAAAGTCTTTTACCACATTGATCATATCACATTGCGTATACTACTGCTCTGTAAACGATTGGTTCCAGTTATTGATCAATTGGTGGCTCTGACCGGTTCTCCGTCGGGTCCAGTTCCTCCGGGAAGCCCAGGGTCTCCTCTCACTCCTCTGGTCCCGTTACACCCATCCAGACCGGGAAAACCAGGACCTCCAGCCGGACCCGGGTGACCCTGAAAATACAAAACACAGGCTCATAGTTTGATCTTTGACTTTACCACGTCTGAGCCAATCAGAGCGGTAGAGATGTTGGAGTGGGCGGGGCTTCTTACCGGGATTCCTTCCAAACCGGAAAACCGGAACGCCACCGTTTCCCTTGAATAAAAGAAAAGAAAAGCGTCAAACTGGAGCTCTGGTTCTGAGCCAAATGGAGGCTTCTGTTTGATCAGTAGACGTCAGCGTGTCGACCATCTTGTTCCTTTGGCTCAGAATAAAACAGAACCGTCCCAACAGGTTTATTCACCGCGTCTCCTTTCGTTCCACCGTCGCCCGGCAGTCCCTCGTCTCCTCGGTGGCCCTTCTGTCCCAGAGCCCCCAGAGGGCCTGGGAAGCCCGGAGGCCCCTGAGGCCCCTGCTTCCCCAGAGGGCCCGGAGAACCCTACACACATAAATAACTCTGTTAGAACCGGAGGAACCTGGTTAGATAGAACCTGGAGGAACGTGGTTGAGTACACGCAGACTACACGTAGACCACATCCAGACAACACAGAGACTACACGCAGACTACACGCAGACCACATCCAGACCACATCCAGACAACACGCAGACTACATCAGACAACACGCAGACTACATCAGACAATTTCTTTAAAAAAGCTCTTATAAATCTCTTAAGCCTCTCCAGCTGATTCAGAATGCTGCAGCACGTGTATTAACAAGAACTAAGAAAAGGGATCATATCACTCCTGTATTAACTTCTCTGCACTGGTTCCCTGTTAAATCAAGAATAGATTTTAAGGTACTTCTCCTCACCTACAAGGCACTTGCTGGTGAGGCACCGTCGTATCTTAAAGAGCTTGTAACACCTTATTGCACTACAAGGCAGCTGCGCTCCATAGATGCTGGTTACTTGTTGTTCCTATGGTTTTAAAAAGTAGGCTGGGGGCCAGAGCCTTCAGTTATCAAGCTCCTCTTTTGTGGAACCAGGCACTTTCAGTCCGGGGGGCAGATTCGGTCAGCTCTTTTAAAGTAAAACTTAAAACTTTCCTCTTTTGATTGTGCCTATAGTTAGGGCTGGCTCAGGTTAGCCCGGACCAGCCCTTAGTTAAGCTGCTATAGGCTTAGAATGCCGGGGGAATTCTTAGGACACACCGAGCTCCTCTCTCACGCTCTCGTTCTACCATAATTCAAGTTTTATTAATGCACATGACTAATTCAGCTTCTTTCCGGGAGTTTTTTTGTGTGCTTTCTCCCCTATCAGGTCTCCGTAGATCGTGGTTCCTTCGGGACCCTGGTCCTGACACCTACCGTGGCCATGCTGACGCCTGCTGCTGCCATCATCATCATTATTTTAGATATTAATCATATTACTTTACTCATAAACCAACATTACCCTCTCCTAAAATCTCTGTGCTCTCCCTCCCCACAGGATTCTGTGGATGGTGGTTCTATGTGATGGTGGTTGCCCCTGCAGTGGTCCTGCTGTGTGCCTGGCTTACTACTCACAATTACTTGAATCATTTCTGTCATAGGAATTGCATGTATTATACATTGTTCATTCTGTACACATGGCATCCATTGTAGTCTGTCCATCCCGGGAGTGGGATCCTCCTCTGACGTTCTCCCTAAGGTTTCTTCCCTTTTTTCCCTCTTGTAAGGGTTTTTTCATTTTTTGGGGAGTTTTTCCTGTGCCGATGGTGGGTTTCGGGGCAGAGGATGTTGTATGTGTACAGACTGTAAAGCCCTCTGAGGCAAATTTGTAATTTGCGATTTTGGGCTACACAAAATAAAATGACTTGACTTGACATCCAGACAACACGCAGACTACGTAAGACTAAGACTAGACTAAGATCTCTATTTCTCTTCATAAATATTTATTTTCTCCACTAGCTGACAAAGCTGAACAGATTTGTGTTTCTATATTGTTTGAGTTGTGTGAATAAATGGGATCATCTAAGATGTTGTGTGTGTTATTGATCATGAACAAGAAAACATGAATAAAGACATTGTAGTATGTATCTACGTGAGTATATCCACCTGCTAGTGCGTGTCCTTTCTGGTGTGTGTCCTTTCTGGTGTGTGTCCTTTCTAGTGCGTGTCCTTTCTGGTGTGTGTCCTTTCTGGTGTGTGCGTCCCTGTGTGCATGTGTGTATGTGTGATGAGATGTGACAGCTGTGATCTCTCTTAGTCCGCTCTCTGTCCTCCTTTCTCTGAAACCAACAAACTGTGAAATCACTCAGACCTCTCTGGCTGTCTGCTGCCCCCAGCTGTACAAACGCAGACACACACACACACACACACACACATACACACACACACACACACACACACACACATACACATTGTGGTTTCCTTTGGTCACATTAAAGGGACATGTGATGCTTTCCGAGCTCTCTGCATGCCATCTGGATCCAACTGACTAAGTTAGAAACATCTGGACAAAAGGACTCAGGATAGAAACATCTGGATCACACTGATGGAGTTATAAACATCTGGATTGCAGTGACTGAGTCAGAAACATCTGGATCACACTGTGACTATGTAACCATGTTACCGCGACAACGGCTTTTGGACTCAGAGGGACTGGATCACTTGTGTTGATCTGGTCACAGACGGATGAGTTTAGGAAGGGAGATAAAATACAGCGGCATCCCACAGTGTGTGTGTGTGTCTGTGTGTATGTGTGTGTCCGTGTGTGTGTGTGTCTGTGTGTATGTGTGTGTGTCTGTGTGTGTCTGTGTGCATGTGTGTGTGTCTGTGTGTGTGTGTCTGTGTGCATGTGTGTGTGTGTGTCTGTGTGTGTGTGTGTGCGTGTGTCTGTGTGTGTGTGTGTGTGTGTGTCTGTGTGTGTGTGTGTGATCTGCTGCTAATGTAACACCAGCGCATTCCTCCTCCAGCAGCTCATCATCACACAGTGAGTCTGTGGTTTACGAGTGGACAGTGCAGGTGTGATGGTCCCGTGCTGCAGCGGTGCACTAATTGGCGTCTGTGAGCGAGTAGGCGGAGTCTCACCCTTGCTCCTTTGGCGGGGAAACACTGACAGGTGGAGCAGTCCCTGCCGGCGCACATCTCGTTGTGGTCGCCCTGCAGTCCGAGAGAGAACAAATACATCACCATCAGTGTGACACCACCCTGACATCCCCATGACACCACCCTGACTTCCCCGTGACACCACCCTGACATCCCCATGACACCACCCTGACATCCCCGTGACACCACCCTGACATCCCCATGACACCACCCTGACTTCCCCGTGACACCACCCTGACATCCCCATGACACCACCCTGACATCCCCGTGACACCACCCTGACATCCCCATGACACCACCCTAACTTCCACCCTGACATCCCCATGACACCACCCTGACATCCCCGTGACACCACCCTGACTTCCCTGTGACACCACCCTGACATCCCCGTGACACCACCCTGACATCCCCATGACACCACCCTGACTTCCACCCTGACATCCCCATGACACCACCCTGACTTCCCCATGACACCAACCTGACTTCCACCCTGACATCCCCATGACACCACCCTGACTTCCCTGTGACACCACCCTGACATCCCCATGACACCACCCTGACTTCCACCCTGACATCCCCATGACACCACCCTGACTTCCACCCTGACATCCCCATGACACCACCCTGACTTCCCTGTGACACCACCCTGACATCCCCATGACACCACCCTGACTTCCACCCTGACATCCCCATGACACCACCCTGACTTCCCCATGACACCACCCTGACTTCCACCCTGACTTCCCCGTGACACCACCCTGACATCCCCATGACACCACCCTGACTTCCCCATGACACCACCCTGACTTCCCCGTGACACCACCCTGACATCCCCATGACACCACCCTCACATACCCATGACACCACCCTGACTTCCCCGTGACACCACCCTGACATCCCCATGACACCACCCTGACTTCCCTGTGACACCACCCTGACTTCCACCCTGACATCCCCATGACACCACCCTGACATCCCCATGACACCACCCTGACTTCCACCCTGACATCCCCATGACACCACCCTGACTTCCCCGTGACACCACCCTGACTTCCACCCTGACATCCCCATGACACCACCCTGACATCCCCATGACACCACCCTGACATCCCCATGACACCACCCTGACTTCCACCCTGACATCCCCATGACACCACCCTGACTTCCCTGTGACACCACCCTGACTTCCACCCTGACATCCCCATGACACCACCCTGACTTCCCCGTGACACCACCCTGACATCCCCATGACACCACCCTGACATCCCCATGACACCACCCTGACATCCCCATGACACCACCCTGACATCCCCATGACACCACCCTGACTTCCCTGTGACACCACCCTGACTTCCACCCTGACATCCCCATGACACCACCCTGACTTCCCCGTGACACCACCCTGACATCCCCATGACACCACCCTGACATCCCCATGACACATGCTAACAATGAGCCAATCAGTCATTCAGCTTTGTACTGATAACCGTGACGGTTCAGAACGAGGGAAGCAACAGTGTTTTAAACCTTATGAAGTAGTTTGTTGGTCTTCTCGACTGCAGTTGAGAAATGGACAACCTGAAGGTGCTGTAGAGTATCCATGAATGCATGAATGCATGAATGCATGGGTGCATGGGTGCATGCTGTGTTCTGCTGTGTGCATGCACCTTCTCCTTCATCCACCTTCTTCAGCAGATGTGACCATGGAGAAGCACGTCTGAGCTACCTGAACATGCAGGACGCGTCCAAAGCTTCTGATTGTTACCAAGGAGACAGATCCATGTTTCTCTCAACACGGTGCAGAGAGAGTGTGTGCGTGTGTGTGTGCGATAACATCAGTGACAATCCCGCATCCACTTCTTCTGACCCACAGCATCTTTGAACCTTCTGAATGAGGACAGATGCTCAGATAGGAGGAAGCATACACTGTAACATCTGAGAGGTGTGCACGTTAACATGTGCTCTAAAGTCTAACATGTTTCTTCACATGCTCCAAATAATGAATCAACAAAAAGTGCATGTGACGATGCAGTGGAGCTCCGTCAGAGACAAAAAGGCTGGGAGAACCCCGAGCGCCCCCCACCCTCTGGGTGTTTTTTTTGCTCCGTGGGCCCCCGGCGGCCGGTTTCCCAGCATGCATCAGTGTTTGTTTAGCAGCCACATTCCTGCAGCGTTGTCTAAACCAGGTTATCATTGAGGCGTGTTTATCAGCAGCAGGAATTTGAAGCTCTCAATCTGTTGTCTCCATCGCTGCTCCATCAGTCCTCCATCAGCGCTTCATCTGCTGTCACCATCTTGTGTCCCCGTCAGTCCTCCATCTGCTGTCCCCATCATTACTGCATCAGACCTCCATCAGTTCTTCAACACTCCTTCATCCTGCCTCCATTGGTCCTCATTCATTCCTCCATCTTCTGAGCTGAGCTTCTTTAAACTGATCTCCTGCGTTTCCATAGTAGTCATCAATAATCCCCCGGAGGACCCAGGTCTGGTCCCTGAGGGACAGCAGAGACCTGAACCTGTCACTAATCATCTAAGTGTGTCTGAGACATTCCGAGGTCCTTCAAAATAAGAATACAAGAAGCTCAAAGGGAAGTTACAACATGCATCCAAACCCTTTCTCATAAGGATTGATTCTGTTGGATCAATAAGGATGAAGTTGTTTGGGTTTATTGGACTGAAAAGACTTAAAGTTGTCTTCTCAAATATGAATAAGAGGGGAAAACACATGAAGCTGGGATTCCAGAGAAAGGAACCTTGTCACCTTTAAGAATAAAAGCAAAAAGGAGAGAGATAAAGAACACACCCCGAGAGAAGGGGGCGGAGCCGTCAGGACCATCAGGAGGCACCTGGAGGAGGAGACACACAGGTGAGTAGAGCTGGACGGCTGATCACTGACCGATCAGGCCTGAGGTTAGTTTGGTTTACCAGAGCCAGGTGGAGCAGCAGGGGGGAGAGCAGGAAGTCAGCAGCATCTTGTCCACCACTTAGAGGAAGTCCCGCCCACTATACGGCCACTTCTCACGCCGCCTCCGCCTCCGTCTGTCTCTCAGCCAATGATGACGCTCTGACACGGCTGGTTGTCCTGCAGTGACGCAGAGTGAAAAACAACATGCAGAAAATGTTAAGATTTCAAATCGAGACAGGGAGAGAGACAGGTAGAGCAAGGGGGACAGACAGGTAGAGAAAAGGTAGAGAAAGACAGGCAGAGAAACAGAAGGACAGACAGGTAGAAAGACACAGGTAGAGCGACGGGCCGGAATAAGGACAGACAGGTAGAGAGACAGACAGATGGAGAGACAGACAGGGAGACAGAAGGACAGGTAGCCAGTGAGAGAGGCACAGGGAGAGTGAGACAGGAAGACAGAGAGACGGAAAGAGAGACAGGTAGAGAGAGACAGAGGGACGGCAGAGTCTTTTCTTTATACTTATACTACTCATTTAGACTTTACATCCCAATCATCAATAATCGATTCATCATCAATAGGAACCCTCTTCAATGGAAGTATACTTGTACATCGTCCATCGCAGTACTTTGATCATTAATCACGTTTCTAAGTGAACGAGCACGCGCACGCAGCATCGGCCTCGTCGATAAAGTGATCGATGAAACTGTCTCGTTTACAGAATAAACCGTTAAGCAGCCCGCTGACGTCACTGTTGATTGGAGCCTAGTTAGCGCGTGAAAGGACAGGTGAGGCTTACCTGGAGGTCTCGCGCTCGGTCCCACAACTTCGTGCGGTTTTCAAAACTCCGCTACAGCTGAAGCCGCGCCGCGCGCACTGATGGGTCGTCTGTCCACCGACGGGAGCGCGCAAACTCGCTCTTCCGGCCACGGGTTCCAAAATAAAAGAGGAGGAAGACAGGAGCTGAGCAATGAGGAAACAAGAACAGCACATCTGATAAGGAATATTAAATAGTTTGTGATTGATGGTCAGCGCAGCAGAGAAGCCTCGGCTAGCCCCGATGAATCACCAGTGGTGTATTCACATGTATGTATAACATACATGCATGTATATTTATATATACATATACAGTACATATATATTGACTTATACATACACCTTATATTCATATAGACGAAATACAAGTGAGGAATAAGGGACCAGAAAGGGCAGTACTATGTCTATCCAGAGATTCACATCACAGTGGGACAGAAATATCAGTAAAGAGAGAATGAAAGATCATCATTCATATCTGTGTGTTTTCGGGCGGTTCTGATACGGTTGATTTGGTTTAAGACTCCTGATGATCTACTGAGAGACACTTCCTCTTTCTATAAAGGAGCTCAAGTTGGGCATGATGTCATGTTTTATTAATTATGTTTAATACTGTTTTATTAAATATGTTCTTCTCTCTCTCTGTGATGTAAAATGTAGGTAATCTGAGTAAAATAATATGATGTTATTTAAATCAAAAGTACAATTCAGAGAAGCAAGAAGCTTTTATTTTGAAGGGTTGAGTCGGAGGTCCCGTGCAGAGAGTCGCGGGTTTGATGCACCCGTGTGTCTTCGTCTATGTCTCCATCCCGCAGCAGGACCAGCCGCACGGACACCCCCTGGACTCACCGAGCCGAGCCGAGCCGAGCCGAGCCTGCTGGAGGAGCCAAGTCCTTCGGCCCAGATGGAGGTTCCCCTCCCGCTGGCTGCTTCTGATGCTCTGCAGCACCGCGGCTCCGGGGACACGCGGGAAAGGGCGGCGTGACCAACGCTGAGGCACGACAACCCAGACACCCACGCGGTAGGTTAATTAAATGTTTTATGGGAAACTGATAAGATATTTGGATTTAATCATTTATTAATTCTTTAAAAGTCGCGTGATCAGTGTGTTTGTGAGGGTTCTCAGTGTGTGTGTGTGTGTGTGCGTGCGTGTGCGTGTGTGTGTGTGTGTGTGTGTGTGTGTGTGTGTGTGTGTGTGTGTCTGCTGCTACTCAATTAGTATTCAATTAGTAAGGTTGTAATAGTTGTAATAGTAGAAATAGTGGTACGATTACTACGATTACCACTGCTACTCGTATGTGTAGTAGTACAAGCTGGCAGTAACAGTAGTACATAGTGATGGTCCAGCAGATGATGTCGTAGATATTAGAGAAATAAAAGAATGTGGACAGAATGTCAGACAGGAAATAAAAGCTGTCTGTCTCAGGTTGTTTTAGTGTGTCTGTGTGAGCCTTTTGTTCTACTGTGCTGTTATTACTGCCCCAACACACACACACACACACACACACACACACACACACACACACACACACACACACTGATCTGATAAAAGAAGTTTGCCCGACTAAAAGCAGCTACCTAGCTTGCATATATATATATGTATTGTATATATGTAAATATATAGTTATATAATAGACTTATTGTATATACATATACACTGTGTATATACTGTACATATGCACAGCACGTGACATTTGTGCTCACTAGCCTCTGTGGCTTGTGGTTTTCCTACTACCAGCCATTCAACACTTTCATTAGCCACAATTCTGTTGTTGGGAAATTGAGTTCAATTTGATAAAAGTTGTTTGCTACAATTTACTTGAAGAACTAGATTTGCAATCCTTTCAAATATAACCGACCATTGTAAACACCCAAATCCAGACTACATCAAATGTGTACGTACAGGCAGTGTGTAAAGTGTGTAAAGCTCCTTTTGTATGAAAACATGTGCAACTGACAAAAAGAGTAGCTCATCGTTCTTCATCCGTTTAGTCTCAAATCTTTTGACGAGGGCTGCGATTAACGATTATTTTGATAATCGATGAATCGGACGATTATTTCTTCGAAAGCTTGATCAGCTGGATGACGAGGAAACAGCAGAGCTGCTGGAGGCTCCTTAAGTTCCTCACGTCCAAACGGGACAACGTGGTGCTTCGTGCCGGGTTACGTCGACGTTGCATATTTTGCCATTGACACACAGTCAGGGCTCTGACGTGGGACGCATTGAGCGGGACAGTCACTCATTTCGGTCTTCGGTAACGCACTCCCCGTCGGCCATAGCGTCCACATTCCCCCCCGATGCTCGCACACTTCTCAGTGACGTCTCCGCCTGCGTCATGTGACTCACAACAACTGCCGGCTGCTCTGTCCTCTACGTCGGCCAATGCTTTTAATAATAGAATTAATAGAATTTTATCAATTTCATCGATTTGTTGTTGCAGTCCTACTTTTGACGTGGCCAACAGAATCTTCATGGTCCTTTTCTTGTTTCCACTGCACTTGTCCCAACTACTAAGAGACATGTGTCATCCAGGTTTTCCTTCACCTGCTCTGTGCCGCCACATCCTCGTCTTGCGCTGAGCAGGTCTCCTCACGTTATGCGCGCGATACATTGTCAGCAGGACACTTGGTTGGCGTTTCCTTCTCAAGGTGTGACGGGGTTTGGCCCGTATTTTCCGAGTTGTCGTCAATGCAGCATCACATGCAGATAATCCCACCCGACTCGTCCTACAAACCATTCAGAGGAAGGTGGGTCTCTTGGTGGAGGGTTGATTTGAAAGAATGGCGGAGGCAGCTCCAGATACCCAGAATATCCAGATATTGTTGTATCTTTAGTATTTTATGGAGTATATTTATTCATTTAGTGTGAGTCTGCAGCTCCAGATACCCAGAATATCCAGATATTGTTGTATCTTTAGTATTTTATGGAGTATATTTATTCATTTAGTGTGAGTCTGCAGCTCCAGATACCCAGAATATCCAGATATTGTTGTATCTTTAGTATTTTATGGAGTATATTTATTCATTTAGTGTGAGTCTGCAGCTCCAATTCTGTCTCTAAGAAGAGCTTGAACCTTTCCAGTAAAGTTAGCAAAGACCGCAATGCTTTGCTGTAGGACGTGTCGAGGCATCATCGTGAGACAGGAATGGAGATAAGAGGACATCAAACCCTGTCTGCCTGGTTATCTTCCAGGAGCTCCACTGTTACACCTGCAGGGGTCACCGATCTGTTTGGGTTAAAGCACCCAAATATGCAGACGTGTAAAGAGAAGAAGAAACAGCTGAGACTCAAAAGGCCCCCCCTTTCGTCTCGTCACAGCAACCAAACCCCCATGTGTCCCTTTGAATGTTGAGGCCTATCAAAGGCCGTCCTGTTGCGTACAGGACCTGGTGCCATCTAGGGGCGAGCATTACATTACATTACATTACATAAGTGCATTCAACCATAGGACACAAACTCAGAAGAACAAGAAACAAGAAAGTTCAATTTGCTCAAAGAAGCCAATTTACAATTTGCTATAGATGAGTGGCGTTATAAGTACAATTTAAGTGCTACAATTTGTTAGTCTTTAGTCGAGGTAGAGTGTGAAGAGGTGTGTCTTTAGTTTGCGACGGAAGATGTGAAGGCTCTCAGTGGTCCTGGTGTCTTCAGAGAGCTCGTTCCACCATTTAGGAGCAGGACAGGAAAGAGTCGAGATCTAGTCGAGTGTTTTGCTCTCAGTGAGGGAGGGACGAGTAGTTTATCACATGCATGTTCGAGTCCTGACTGCCTCATGTTCCATGTCGAAAGTGTCCCTAAGCAAGACACCTAACCTCTAATTGGTCCCTGGGAAAAATGTAAAAACCCATGGGATAAAAATGTAATGTAAGTCGCTTTGGATAAAAGAGTCAGCTAAATGACCTGTAATGTCCCGATCCATTCACAGCATGGTAGGTGAGCACCAATGCTTTGAACTGGATGCGGGCGGCCACCGGTAGCCAGTGAAGAGAGCGGAGTAGTGGAGGAGTGTGGGAGAAAGACCAGTGGAGCTGCTGCATTCTGGATGAGCTGCAGAGGTCGAATGGTGGTAGCAGGAGACCTGCGAGGAGGGAGTTGCAGTAGTCCAGGCGGGAGATGACAAGAGCCTGAATCAGTACCTGCGCTGCCTTCTGAGTGAGAAGGGGACGTATTCTCCTGATGTTGTAGAGCGAGTATCTACAGGATGGTGTTGTCAGTGATGTTGGGAGTCAGGGAGAGTTGGCTGTCGATTGTGACGCCGAGGTTCTTAGCGGTTAAAGTGGGCGTTAACACAGAGTTGCCAAAGTTGACCGTCAAGTCCTGGGTCGGAGTAGTTCAGTCTTGTCGGGGTTGATTTTGATTTTCAGATGGTGGGCGGTGTAATGGGAAAATGATATGTGACCCTTTTAAATGCTTCATTTGTATAACCAGTTTATTAGTTGCAAGTGGTTAGATCACAAAGGCCCTGACAGAAGAACTGATGTCTCCCACTTGGATTAGATGTTTCCAGCGTCATAGCTGTAGAGATTGAACAAAGTGTTTGTTATGTCTATGACCACCTTTGTTTAAGCATGTTGGGAGAGCAAGGATACGGTCAAAGAGCTGACGTGTCTTACATGGATAAGATGTTCCCAGTACCCTGGCTGTAGATACTCAACAAGATGGTCAAAAGTTTCTGTTGACGCCACCGATATCTAAACTTAGGTATAAGAACTGCCTCGATGTGTTGGGAAGAAAAAGGAGGTTCTTGACAGTCTACTGACCACGTAGCTGTTGTGACCCTTTTTCCCTTGCAAGGAAATAAACAGAGAAAAGACATACTTGACTTGCCAAGAGAGTTGGTGTAAAGCGAGAAGAGAAGGGGACCCGGGATGGAACCCTGAGGAACTTCCATTGTAAGAAGACAAGGTTCCGACACAGATCCTCTCCAGGTTACCCGGTAGGTGCGTCCGTCGAGGTAGGACGAGAGAAGGGAGAGAGCAGAGCCTGAGACACCAAGTTCCTGAAGGGAGGAGATAAGGATCTGGTGGTTGACCGTGTCAAATGCAGCAGAGAGGTCCAGAAGGACGAGGACAGAGGACAGAGAGGAGCTCTAGCAGTGTGGAGTTGCTCTGAGACAGCGAGGAGAGCAGTCTCTGTGGAACGGCCTTGAAGCCTGACTGGTGGGGGTCAAGGAGGTTGTTATGGTGGAGATAGGAGGAGAGTTGGTTAAAGATAGCACGTGATCTTTAGAGTTTAGAGTCTGAAGAGTTTTGGACAAAAAGGGAAGAAGAGACCGGTCTGTAGTTGTTTTCTTCAGAAGGGTTGAGGGTAGGTTTCTTCAGGAGGGGGTTGACTCTTGCCTCCTTCAGAGAATTGGGAAAACAGCCAGATAACAGAGCATTGTTGATGAGCCAGGTGAGGAAAGGAAGGTCAGGAGCAATAGATTGTAGAAGATGTGATGGAATTGGGTCAAGAGGGCAGGTGGTCGGACGGGCAGAGGTTACTAGGGTAAGAACTTGGTTAGGAGACAGCGGGGTGAAAGAGGAAAGTGAGGGCGATTGAGGTGAAGCCAGTAGGATGCAAGAAGTAGGAGGTGGGTTTGAGAAAGAGGAGCGTATGTCAGCTATGTTCTTGGTAAAGTAATTGATGAAGTCACCCGGAAGAAGAGTGGAGGGGGGAGGAGGACTAGGGGGTTCGAGGAGGTTGGAGAAGATCGAAAAGAGTTTTTTGGGGTTAGAAAATGAAGATTCGATTCTGGATTGGTAGAAAGAGCTTTTGGCAGCAGAGAGTGAAGCAGAAAAAGAGGAGATAAGAGATTGAAATTTAAGCAGGTCGTCAGGTCGTTTATATTTACGCCATCTCCTTTCCGACGCTCGCATGGTGGCTCTCATGGCACCGGTTGAGACAGCCACGGAGGCGGAGGGGATTTGCCAGTCCGTCGTGTCGTAAGAGGGCAGAGAGAGTCTAGAGAGGAGGAAAGAGTTGAGGAGTGTCTCTGCAGCAGCGTTCGGATGCAAGAGTGAGAAGGAATCAGTGGAAGGGAGAGAGGTAAAACAGAGGGAGAGAGGAAGCGAATGTAAAGGTAAGGAATCATCTCCCCTGATGAAGTGGGTGGAAGGGTTATGGCTGGAACATACACTCCCTCCACTATTCTACCTCTTACATTATATATATAAATTTGTTCCTTCACTTTTGTCTCCGCAGGTATGTCACTGCAGCGGGAAGTCTCTCTGTCACTGTGATGGTGTCAAAGGTCAAAAGGTGAGAATATCTATCCATACACTGCTTCCTGACTGGTTAGACCTCACTGACCCTGGATAAGTTAGTACACACCATCTGTCGCCCTCCAGTGGTCACCTTCTTCCACGACATCCATTATTTTCTGGACCTGGAGTTGAAAGGGCGTCTGACTACACTCTCATTACAGTCTATTGAGGTTCTGATCAGGGTCTAATCAGGGTCTGATGAGGGGGCAATTAGGGTCTAATTATGGTTTGATTTGGCTCTAATGAGGGTCTGACGGGGTCGAATTAGCTACTGATGAGGGTCTGATAACGGTCTAACGAGGCTCTCTTGAGATTAATTTATTTTGACAACACGAGCTCTGAATAGGGCTGCGGTAAAGTCGGACGTCTTTGAGTCTAAGGTATGTCGGTGCCGGAGACCCCCCAGGTGTGAGCTCTGTATTTCAGGTGTGTTCAACAGGAGAACAAAGACCGGTTCCCCTCTGCTGAACATCAAACGTCCATTTGTGCCTTCGCGAGCCTGAAGGTACCTGGACCCCGGCCAGGACTCATACTCACCTGTTTACCTGACGTCAATTGAGTTTCCTTTCTTCTGCGTGGTGGCAGCTGAACTGACCCAGGATCTGGGTTCACCTGCTCATCAGCTGATCCTACTCAGCTCTACCTATGTCCCCCCCCCCTCAGGGAGAATCTGGTTACTTTGGATACGACGGACTTCCCGGAGTGATCGGTTACCCCGGTAACGAGGGCAACCAGGGCCCACCCGGGGACAAGGTAGCTAGCTAAGATTATTATAGCTGTTATGATCTTGCCTTTTAACCGTCTCTATTTTGAAAAAACACTAGTCATTTTTTGCCATGATTGATGATGTCTGGCTGATGGAGATATCGTGTTTCATGACTTCAGCTCAGCAAACAAACAGATTCTTCCAAAGTTGAAGATCATACAGGTTAACTCATTAACTAACTTTTATTAATTTCACTACATCAAATAAAGCTATTTTATATTGTTATACTCTGTAGATTACTTTCAGTCATAATCAAGACTGGAAATATGAGCACATAACACCCCTTTCTACAGTCTCTACACTGTCTACTCATTCCAGATTGACTACTCACGCATAAACACACAAATGGCCACCTGACGGCAGCACAGTCACTAACTCTTTTTAAACTGACATAAATACTTACTCATTCAGGAAGGCGCTTTTTTTACTCTGTGTTAAAAATGTTTCCGCTATGTTTTTACTAGCGTTTACTTTATTTGAACTATGTTTTGCTGGCTCTGTCGCACAGAGATATGTTGAGGAAGATTGTGTTTGAAATAAAATGCATTATTATTATATAAAGATGATGTTATTCCATCTTGTTTAATACAAACCTTATTTTATAAAAAAAACACAGCTTCACGTACAGTCAGATGAATATTATTACTATAATTACTATTCATTTAATTTTTGTTTTTGTTTTTTTCTCTCTCAGGGTGATCTGGGATCAGCTGGAGGTTCAGGACTGAAAGGCTCACGGGTACAAACAACTGATACTTTCTTTTTATTAACATTAACATTTTATTGTAGATAAATAGAGATGAGACACCTATGCTGTTCAGGGTCATATTGATCCGCTCACTCAAAATCAAGCCAAATGAGTAAAGTAAAGTAAACGTATAGTGTTAAGTCTCTGAAATGAACATGATTCTATGCCTGAGCTCAGTTAGTAAAATAAAAACTTTCTTTTTCCTTCAGGGTCTTCCAGGAAGACCTGGTTTTCCAGGACCTCCAGGACTGCCGGTAAGACAGAGAATAACCGACGCGCAGAGAACTCATGTGACTTTGGTCATTGTTGAACATTCACCATGTTTATCGTCAGGGACTCCCCGGACACGAAGGACACATCGGTCTACCAGGACTCCGAGGATGCAATGGGACAAAGGTAGAAAAAGAGCCCCACAACAATTTAAATATGCAGATAAGGCGTGTAGATAAAGAAGGGAATGGGACCTGGACTTCAGCTCCTCAGAGTAGGTTTGTTGTAGATTTTATCTTATGTAGAATACGATAAAATCTACAACTAAAACTATTACAACATGAAAGTTGATAAGTTCCAGTGTGTGAACCCTTCTTGGGAGGATCTACCTGAGCCACAGGTCATACAAACACTGACTATTGGTTGGTGTCCTCCAGGGGGACATGGGTTACCCTGGGTTTTCCGGGGTTCCGGGATACGCCGGCCTACAGGTGAGTCTTTCCTAAGTTCTTATTCTCCGCAGACTAAGCTAGGCTAACAAGCCCTGGGATGCCAAACTCTAACTGAGCTTGTGTGTTTCAGGGTCAACAAGGACCACGAGGGGCAAAGGTAAAAATCTGTCCATCTTCACACTATCAGGTTAAAACCAAACATGTTACTCAGTAGTTTGCTGCTATTAAAAGTTTATCCTTGAACCACACATGCTAACCTCAGTTAGAGAGCTAACGGCTAACACTCGGAAGTTCAGGCGTCAAAGTTATTGTTGATTACAGGAATGTATTCTTGTCTTACGTTTGTCAAGAACAACATTCATTTAGTAAGTTTCTGACCTCATGGTTTTGATGGAAGAGAGATGATTTAATTAGCAAAAAACAGCTGAATTCAAACTGGAGAGTTTATCGTCCTTATTTTCTAAAACACAGGAAGAAAAAAACACAGCTCAAACATTTCTTGATTGTTAAAAAACACTCATTACAACAGTTTATGTTTTGTAGGGTGACACCTTTGTCTTCCCGCCCACTCGGGATATTAAAGGAGCAACGGGACCACCAGGACGAGACGGAGAAGACGTCAGTTGCTGTTTTACATTTTATTAACATTGTTACTCAGAAGAACATTTATCCTCGATTTGGATTTTTGGAAAATCATTTGTAGTTTCCTAGCATGCATTTCACCTCAAAACAATTTTTCCTCTATTGTTGTAATGTAAACCAGTCCATAGAATAGGCCATAGGCCACTGCCTGCCATAGTGGAGAATATTGATGGCAGCCTTGTCTCTGATTGGCTGGTGGAGCGTGTGCACTGATAGACTGTTTGCGTTGCAGGGCCTGGGTGGAGATCCAGGTGAACCAGGCCTGTCAGGACCACCAGGATCCGCTGGACTTCCAGTACACTTCACATTTTAAGATATCCAACGTTAATCCAAATATTTGTTACGAATGGCTCAACCACCTAACATCAGCTGTTTATGAACTTGGTGTTTTTTCATTAGGGAACTCCAGGGTTTCCAGGGTTACAAGGAGAGAAGGTTAGCTGTAATATGTTTTTTTCTGATGCTCAGTATTGATGCAGCAATTCCATTTAACTTAGGACCTGTCTTCAGGTTTGTTCAGTAACAAACTTCTGGTTTGATCACAACATTTGAAAACAACTTAGTACCTTATTGGCAGAAGATGCAAAAGTAACCCCTTTGGGGACTTTGGGGTCGCTTTAATTAAAACATATTAATATTCAACTAATCTCTGCCAGATGTCTTTAGGCCTGATTTTCTGCCTTATGCTGTGATTTTGTTTCAGGGACAGGAGGGTCCCAGTCCGGTGATACCAGGTCCCAGTGGACAGAAGGTGAGCTAAATGGTTGCAGTATTATGATAATGCTAAAGCTAACTCGGGTTATGAATTACAAATAAAATAGACACAATTAGGCCTCAAGTGTTTTTGATCTATGTCCCAACATCTTCATCAGCCTCACCTTGGTTTCAGGGGGATCGCGGACCACCAGGGATCCCTGGACAGAAAGGAATCAAACTGTATGCCGAAGGACCGAAAGAACTGAAGGTCTGTCTCATTGTCTGTCTCTCTCTAATGCCTCAACGGCCTGTTTTTACTAATGTATTTGGTGTCGTATTTCAGGGGGAACCAGGTGACGTTGGACTGAAAGGTTGTCAAGGATTTCCTGTAAGTCCAAGCTGTCTCTAAGTCTGACAACCAAATTCTATATGTGTCTCGTCCACCCATGCTTAATGGTTGTGACTGACTTTAGTGTTATCATCAGTCAGGCTGATGTGTGCGCCACATGTGGTGGTTTTCTCCACCAGGGCGTGCCGGGGACACTAGGGGTTAAAGGAGAAAAAGGAGGCCGAGGCGATCCTGGCTCACTAGTAAGAGAGAGACCCAAGTACTGAACTATCATAATATGGATCTATATTCAGAATTCATTTGAGCTAATCAATAACACTTATAAACAAGCAATAATGGATTGATATCTGTCAATTATATTTTTGTTATACCCTGTGTTGTGCTTGTGACCTTAACGTCATTGATTCAACATTAAGGGGCTTGGTGTTTGTGTTGTAGGGTAAACCTGGAAAGGATGGAGTCTTTGGAGAGCTGGGACAACAGGTAACAAGCTAAGCTAATAGGAACGCTAATCAACTGTATGCACCAAGATACAATACAATAGGACACGCTACATGTGATACGACACAAATCAATACAGTATAACACAATACAATACGGTACGATAACGATACTGACACGGTGTGGCTTCTTCCCCTGTTTTATTATGTGGTTTCTCGTGTCCGTTGTGTATTTTACCCGTGAGTGATGGTCTGCCGTGTCCCTGATTGTTTCCTCCTGTGTCCATCATCTGCGCCGCCCCAATGTGTTTACACAAGGTGTGGCCCTTGTCTACTTGTAAGTTCATTGTCGATGTTGGTGTCATGAGAGTTTTTGGGCTGTCTTGGTTTCTGTTTTGTGATATTTCGTTTGAATAAAATAGTTTTTGTTTTTGAAACCTGTGAGCGTGAGTCGTGGTCCCTGGCTGACGACCGTGACTGATACTCTACGGTACGATACAATGCGGTACGATAGAAGGGTATGCTTTAGGGCGGGTTACATGCTGATTGACAGATCTCTACCAGAGACGTAGACAGCGTCTCTACCTCCTCCTCAGTCAAGATACACAACGACCAAATCCTAACCCTGTGTAGGAAGTCTACCGCCTACTTTGAAGGAGGAAGGTCGTGTTTTGCTCGGCACGGCTCAGGCAGATATATGTCAATTCATCAAATATGATTTATCTTTTACCCAGTTACCTATTTGGTAATTATTGTTGGTTGAGTTAGTTGATGTTTTACTACATTAAAAAGTCTGCATTAAGGTTTTTTTTATTTTTTTACTGGGCCGAGGCACTTCTTCTGCTCCACATATCTGTAAGAAAGTCCCGGAAAGCTGCAGGTCTGCAGATTGAAGCCCTTCATGATTGCTGCTGCCTTTAATTGACCGTTTTTGTCGGAATTGTTAAAGACATTCTTAAATTACATTACCGTACATACCCTTTTAAAAAAAAAATCCTTTTACTGTTTTCCTTTATGTTTCAATGTTCTTAACTGTTTATGAATCTCCTTGCTTTATGATGTTTTTAATAGTTTTATGTGAAGCACTTGGAATTGCCTTGTTGTTGAAATATGCTATAGAAATAAAATTGCCTTGTCTAATGATGACTGATCACTAATTGAATCTAACTCTATCTGTGTATCTGCAGGGAGACCCCGGGGATCGCGGGTACCTTGGTCCTCCTGGTATTGAAGGAGCAACAGTGAGTATTGAATGTAAAAGTATTTAACACTTATACTTAATACTGCGTCGGTGTTGATAGTGTTTTGATATTTGCAGGGAGAGAAAGGTGAACGTGGTTCTCCAGGTTTTCCAGGAGAGGTAAGTCAGAAATTAGGATTTTTGAAACCTAACCATGCAACTAACCAAGAAACTTCTTTCAAAATAATATCCTGATAAAATCAGAGAATGCACACCGACAAACAGTGAAGCGGTGTGGTTGGACATGACATCCGCTGTTCTATAACAAAGTAAATGATGAACAATAATGCCTCATCTGGTTAACTTATCGACTGATGATGTGAAAAGAGATGAAGCCTTCATTCATTGGTTATGAAACAGTAAACAGTATTGTAGCGTCGGGGATGTAGTGGCTCACGCAGCACACGAAGGAGAATGGACGTTTAGGCAGGAATCATTTTATTTGTTAACAGCAAAAACAGTTAGCAGACACCCCCAGGCGTTCGGTACACTCTCACATTACTCACAGACAACAACAACACAGAACTCTTCTAGCTATCTTGACTAGCCCCCCCAAAACACAGGAACACCCTCCCCTCATCTCCCACAATCACTGGCCCTGCCTTATTCCCCCTGATTGGCCAGCGTGAGGGGAATGACGTGACGGCATCGTCCCAGGAGCATTGGCTGCGGGGTGAGCAGGTGGAGCACCGCGTGGTGACGTTCCTCATGCCCCGGTTGGCAGTGGGGAGGCGAGGTAGCTGCACCCGGTACACAACCTCACCCACCCTCTCCAACACTGTGCAGGGACCCGCCCATAGACTGTCAAGCTCTCCGGCACAGAAAGGCTATCCTCCTTCCCTCATGTCGTAGCTGTGTTTTTGTCTCACACCAGCACTCTGTTGCTGCTTCTGGGCAAAAACATGGGCAGATTCGAGGCGGTCTTGCAGCCTCCTGGCATACTCTGGGGATTCAGGAGCGTCCAAAAGCCATTTCTGACTGGGATCTAGCATGAGCAGGGCGGGAGAACAGGAAGAGGTCTCTTGAACTGCAGATCGACATGCAATTAGCACCAACAGCAAATGCCTGTCCCAGTGGCCCGTGGTGCAATGGAATCTTTCCACCAGCCCGTCACTCTGGGGGCACAGGGGGGAGGTTTTGTGCATGCCTAGACATTTGCACATTCAATTCAATTTCAATTTCAATTCCAATTTCAATTCAATTCATTTTATTTTGTATAGCCCAAAATCGCAAATTACAAATTTGCCTCAGAGGGCTTTACAGTCTGTACACATATGGCATCCTCTGGTGGCACATGGTGGCAAACATCCGCAACTCGAAGTTCCTTTCCTGGTCGCTGTGTATGGTCTCCGGCACGGCAAAACGGCTGAATATGCCACCCACCAGGGCCTCTACGACTGTGTCTTGGTCTGGTATAGCCTACGCTTCTGGACATTTTGTGAAATAGTCTATGGTGTTGAGCACATACCGGTTCCCTCCGTCGGCTACATCCACGGCCACCTTTTCCATTTGGGCCCCCACGGGGGACTGCTGCAGCGGGGCGTAGGAGCGACACCAGTAGAAGCCTTGGCAAAGACGCCGCAGTGTTCTGGAAACTCCAAAATGTCCAGACTGTGCAGCTCCATGCATGGCTTTCAGAACCAAAATCTGCAGACCTTGGGAACCACCATCTGCCACCTTTCCTCCCCTGTTGCTGGCTCCTTCCATGCCCACTGAAGCACTTCCTGCTCGCGGGTCTCTCTCCGTTCGCAGTACTGGCACCCTTCTGTGGCACACGGTCGTGGGAGCGCATTGGCATTAGTGTGGCGTTTCCTGGCCCGGTGCACCACGTTGAAGTCGAAAGCCTGGAGCTCCTCCAACCTGGCTACCTGCACCTCTGCCTCCTACAAACCTCCTGTAGTACGAGGTCAGGCAAGAAAACTGTTTCTGGCCGGTGGGGGTGGGCCATTCTGCGACCACCTACACCTTTTCTCGCATGGTGACAATGCCTTCGCCACCTACCCGGTGCCCCAAAAAAGACACCTCCCTCTGCACGAAGTGGCACTTCTCTGGGTGCCGCTTCAGGCTTGCCGCTCTTATTTTTTTCCAGGACCAACCACAGCGACGCAAGGCTTGCTTGAATGATCCACAATGTCGTCCAGGTAGACCAGGCACTGCTGAAAGGGGACTGATAATATCTGCTGCGGAGGTCCAAGGAAGGTCCAAGGTCCAAGGAAGAGAACAAAAAGAAGACCCCAAGACCAAGTCTAGGGACTCGTCAATGCGGGTAGTGAATATGAATCCTTCTTGGTCACCCCATTTACCGGCCTGTAATCCGTACAGAGTTGCCAGCGGCATGTCTTCTTCAGGACCTTGTCATGGTCTGCTGCCCAGGGGCTGTCAGCTGGATGACACCCGCCTGCAGCATGCTGGTGAACGCGTCATCATAAGCCTGTTGGCGAGCCAGCAGAAGGCGGCATGGGCAGCACTTAATAGGACGCACGTCCTCTGTGTCAATCTCATGCTGCACTAGGTCAGTTAGGTCAGACTCTCCGGTAACTGTGCGCAGTCACACTGACTGATCCACCGATGGGGTCAAGCCGAGTCCAGTCTGTGATCATATCTGCTCTCACCAGAGTTACTTTTTACCCTGTGTCCACTAGCGCCAAACAGGGCACCCCTTACACAGTAACAGAGACATAGCACGAGTTCCCAGTGCGCCCAACTGCAACGACAGGCTCCATGCTCACGTTGTCATCCGCTTCTGGGGGAAGCGGAGGTGGTCTCTCCATATGGTAGTCTCCAGCCGCTGCACCACACACATTCTCTCTCCACGGCCATCTCTGCAACGACTGTGGGTGCTGCAGCTGGACCTAGACCCGCGGAGACAATTGACCCGATGAACCGCCTCTGGAAGGCCCCTACCAGCGCTAGGTAACACCATCTGTCCTCCGCGCTCAACAGTAGCTGGCATGACAGCCTGTCCCTTGTGGGACACAATGCCAGCTGTAGTGCCTTAGTCTTTATGGACCATTACCCTGCATGTGACAGTAATTTAAATTGAGCTAGGAAAGCTTCCCAAGGCGCCCTCCCGTCGTATTTCTGTGTTTTCACCACCTGGACTGCACACGATTGATGGGCGCTGCCATTGTAGTTTAACGCTACATCCCCCGGAGAAACAGTGGGAAACTCATGCCGGCGTCTCTAGCCATCCTCTCTAGCCTACTCTCTCAGACAAGCCCTCACATCCCGCGTAGCTCCGGCAAAACTTTTGGCCATGTCTGTTGACCACCCGCCAGCTCCCTCTTCCTCCGCTTCTCCCTTTTCTTCCTTTGCCGTAACGTTGACGTTAGTCTCGTAGACACGATCCATGCCCACAGCAGGCTAACCGGCTAGCTCTCCACAGGCTTCAGCAATCTGTCTGTTCAAAGTCACTTCTGACACCACTATGAGTTTACAGACTTCCTGTTAAATGTGAGTGTTTGTGTGTTATCAGTTGCTTTTCAGACACCATTACCTGAAGGGCCAGCGCGGTGTCCCCGGACCCAGAGGACCCGAAGGAGTCCAGGGAGAACAAGGTGGTACAAAGAAGGGGTTAAAAACACACAATTGTAGTCAAATATGAATAATTCTAAGTAATGGTCTAATTCTTAGTCATGGTCTATATTCTAGTTTTCATTGTTACAGGTGGAAACTATCAAAACCCCCACATTTGAGTTGTATGATATTCATACCTATTTATGATTAAAAATGTCTCTTATCAACAAAGCAGAAGCAATGTTCAGGGTAAATTAATTATAAATATCAAATGAATTGTTTGAGTTTGAGTACCTCAGTGATCTTGTGAGATTAAGTCCTGGTTGTGGACCAGCTCTTTACCCCCCCAGGACTACTGCAGGGGTCCTCCGAGTCTTCCCAACTAGTCTACATCTGCTTTGTGGACATGGGGAAGGCATTCCACCTGAAGGCTACTGCACGAAAAAGGGGATTAAGGGATATTCAGATTATCCTGGATGAATTTAGCTTTGACTTGGTTGCACGAAAGCAAGTTGAATTAAACCCATCCAAGTAACCATGGCGATTTATTCTTGGCAGCTAGCCTGCTCCAGACCAGGGTAACAGCCGGGATAAGATTAATCCTGGAGTCACATGTGTTATATCAGCTGCCGCTCTGATCTGAAAAATACGTGTTTAACAGTTATTCCGTTGTCTTCTGAATGTGTTCTGGTTCATTTACATTTACATTCATTACTTTACATTACATTACATTACATGTCATTTAGCGGACGCTTTTATCCAAAGCGACGTACAATAAGTGCATTCAACCATAGGGTACAAACTCAGGAGAACAAGAAACAAGAAAGTGTAATTTCCTCAAATAAGCCAATTTACAATTTGCTGTAGATGGGTGACGTTACAAGTACAATTTAAGTGCTACAATTTGTTAGTCTTTAGTCGAGGTAGAGTCTGAAGAGGTGTGTCTTTAGTTTGCGGCGGAAGATGTGAATTACTTGTATACAAATATCTGTTTTATGGATATGTTTGGAATAACGACTGACGGCAAATTACGAAGACCCTTTTGATTCAGTGCGAGAGCATTCTGTCTTTTTTTTTCAATGTGATCTGGTGGTCATGCGATCAGACAGCATGAGCTCACGCGGCTAATGCCACCTCCTTCAGACAGTAACATTCATTTTCTCTCCTCTTTTTAGGGTTCATTGGTTTTCCTGGACTCCAGGGTGAGCCAGGTACTGTCCTCTCTCTCTCACTTCCTGTTATTTATTAATGATTGAGAGCAGCCAATAAGCTATCATCAGACAGTGTTTAGTTTCAACTATCAGACACAATTGGTTATAGTGATGATAGAACTGTGATGTCACATTGAAGACTCCTCTCATTCTCTGGAGGTGTGGCCTCAACTAGTCCACCGGGCCCCCAGGGGCCTCCGGGCTTAGCCGGACCCAAAGGAGACCCAGGGGGGCCGGGGCCCCTCGTCTTTGGGCCCCTAGGAGAAGTCGGAGCACTTGGAGCTGGTGGAGCTGAAGGAGAACCGGGAGAACCGGGAATACCAGGTGATGGAGAAAATAAGCGTTTCTATGTTTCTGTGATAACATCATGACATCCAAAATATCAACTTTATCATCCAAGATTAGATAACCGATAAGATAAGATATTTCTTCTATTGCCGCAGCAGGAAAAGGTACAAGATTACAGCAGAAAAGGGGTTGAAGTGCACACAGACATAGTAAAACACAACAGTTATACATGGCAGTAATAAGAACAGGAATAAAAGAAGAACTAGAAAAGTCCGCAGTAATTTTAAGAGTGTGGCCTAGATGGCCCGCAGGTGCCTGTGCATGAAACGGCCAAGCAGGCAAGTGAAGACCAGCCACGAAGGCTAGCTAGCAAACTAAAGACATGACCCATTTTACATGACCCATTTTTTAAGCTACTTGTCGGCAGTTGGGTCCTGTTATTACTAGTGCAATGCTAACGTTAGCTAGCGCCATGTTAGCGTCATGCTAGTGCCCTCTCCCCTCCCAGCGTTGGCCGTATCATTGCCCCACCCCCCAACGTAACGTCCACACATTGCCCCCCCCCCCCCCATGTCGGCCGTATTGTCCCCCCCTCGATTTTCTCTGGCTGTTTTTGCCACTTCAAGAATCAGGAAACATTTATTGCCAAAATCTGTCAAACATACAAGGAATTTGTCTTGGCGGTTGGTGCGTTGTCTAGCAGTTAGGTCCTGTTATTACTAGTGCAATGCTAGCTAGCGCCATGTTAGCATCATGTAAGTGCCCCGCGCCATGCGGCCCCTCCGCTGCCGGCCGTATTATCCCCTGTTAGGGTTTTAAGTAGAAGTGAATGTCTAGTCATAGAATTTGTAGTACGTGTAATAATGTAGCCTTCCGAAACCCTAACACCCCCTATTCCCCGCCCGTCAGCTAGACTTGCATTACAAAAGAAAAACTGGTGGGAAATAATTCCCTTTTAAACGACTCATTGTTTTCTGATATAATTCCCTCTCTACTCGTCAGATTTTGTGCCGGGAGGGGTCGGTCGTCCAGGAGCTAAAGGTGTGAAAGGTCCGTTGGGTTTCCCAGGAGCTAGAGGAGAGGAAGGACCGGCAGGTGAGAGTTAAAGGAAGATCACATGAATGTATGAAATATGATGTTGCCTTCTGAATCAGATCTTGTTCTGATGGCGTGTCCACTCCTCTCTTGTTTCCTGGCTTCTCATGTCCTTCTTTCTGCTCTTATCTCCTGTCCTTGTTTTTCTTGCTTCTCTCCCGTTTTCTGTCCTACACTTCTCCTTGATGTTGAAATGGATCTATTCTTGGCCAGGTGAGAAGGGACAGGTGTGTCCCGATATCCAAGGACCTGCAGGTAAGCCAGGAAGGCGAGGTGAAGACGGTGCACCAGGTAAGAGCAGAACCTGACTCAGCGGCCTAATCACCTTTTACAATATTAATTGATATTATCTTAACAATATAATTATACAAAACATTTGTTTTCTGTTGTTATTTATACCCAAAGATATAAATATGAAGATAATAAGCAGAGCTCTCATCCAGCATCAGATTCAGTGTTTTGTCTACCCTGTAGACATCTCTGTGATGTCATTCTGTTTTCAGGATCGGTTGGTTCTCCAGGAGCCAAAGGTCAAACAGGGTACAACGGTGTTCAAGGACCAAAGGGTCAACAGGTTAGCCCAAAGATCTGATAATCTGTAAAATGTTTCCATACGACACCAACTATTGCATCAACATGTCTGCTCTTCAATCCGCTCTCTTTGTTCCCCCCTTTCATTCTTCCTTGTCTCCTTCCCTCTCTTGACTAGTAACTAACACATGTCTGCTTCGCTTGGTTCTGTGTTTAGGGCCTCATTGGGAACAAGGGCCTCCAGGGACCACAGGGACCCATCGGTGACCCTGGCATCATGCAGAGGGTCGGTGTGAAGGGAGAGGAGGGAGACCGGGGGGAGTCAGGACCTCCGGGTCCAGACGGGAGAGATGGGTCTCCGGGATTTACCGGACGAAAAGGTGCTCTGGGACAGAAAGGGAACCCTGTGAGTATCAGAGAGACAGCGGGTTGGTTAGTTTGTACGTCCTGACTCCACATCAATCTGAGTGTGTTTGAGGAAAAATAAGGAGGCGGCAAACAGGTCCTGGATCAGCTGTTGTTCCCTTCTCTTGTTTAAAATGCATCTTCAGCTCCACCCTCTCCCTGAGCTCACAGTTGTGTCTTGTTAAAACTCTCCCCCTTTCGGCGCCACCTTTCTGAACACTCCAGACCTTCTCTCTGTTCAATGTTCAAAAGATGCTGATATTTTCTGTATCGCTGCTTTAAGGGCCCTCTGGGGCAAAAAGGCAACATGGGGCGTACTGGTGACACGGGTCCCAGAGGACTAATGGGTCAGCTGGGGCCGTCGGGACCGCTCGGAATTGGGGACCCAGGACCTGTGGGGTCTAAAGGCAACGTAGGGGTGCTAGGACCTCGAGGAGATCCTGGGAATCCAGGTGAGACCGTGGCAGGCGTCGAACACAGGCCCATCCTTACTGGACAAAATCTTTTCAAAGTTTTCAAAAAATAGTTTGTGTCCGAACACACGCCGGTTAGGACCAATATGATTGCCGTGGCGAGTTCCTGCCGGCGGTTAGCGTGGATGCCCAAAGCATCCTTAGCATCATTAGTTCTTTCACAATTGGAGAATATCTGTATTCTTTGAAGTAAGAGAAAATAATGTTTTCTATCTTGTTCCGACTGGCTTTGGTAAGAGTTTGATTGACAGATGGTGTATCCAATCAACTGCCATGGTTCGAGTTAAACTCCATCATTTCTTTCAGGGGAAAAAGGTTCTCCGAGGGAAATCATGACCTCTCCAGGAGACCCAGGACCGAAAGGAGAGAAAGGTTTACCTGGAATCCCTGGAGCCAAAGGTGAGACGGATCCTTCTACTGTCTTCTTCTAATCCACTTTTTTTTGGTAAAATTCAGGTTTACAACCAACACTATAAAATCCAACCCTTTAACCCTACAACTCACCTGTCACTGGTCTCTCTTGGTTTTAGGTGTGACAGGAAGTGTAGGTGCTCCAGGATTCGTTGGCCCAATGGGAGAGAAGGGAGATGATGGGTTCTCTGTCGAGGGGCCTCTAGGTTTTCCAGGGTTCAAAGGTTAGGGTTGGATAAAACAGCCGGCTAGGGATTCATTGAAGATGATAAATATCAGTAACAATTCAGTAACAATTCTATGTTTTGTCCCAGGACTCAAGGGCCCCCCCGGAACTCCAGGTGTACCAAACTTTGGTATTAAGGGACGTGCAGGGCCATCGGGCCCCCCAGGGATCCCGGGCCCGAAGGTAAAGTGGACTCCGCATTAAGAAATTAAAGGTTCAAATCTTTACATTACATTACATGTTATTTAGCGGACGCTTTTATCCAAAGCGACGTACAATAAGTGCATTCAACTATAGGGTACAAGGAGAACAAGAAACAAGAAAGTGAGATTTTCCTCAAATAAGCCATTTACAATTTGCTATAGATGCTAATCTTGTTAGTAGATCTCGTCCTGTCTTTGTCCAATTATATATCAACAATATCATTTGAATTCAATTTTTTTCAAAAGTTATTATTACTATTATTATGAATGTTATTATCACTATACCATTTATTACAACAGTAATCATAATAATTACACTTAATATCATTAGAATTATTTTTTATTTTCAATTACGATCATTGTTAATAAATATGATCAAAATTATAATGATAACAATCAAAGTTACAATTATTTGTTCTGTTATTAGAATTATTGTTATTATTCAGCATTTTATTCTGTGGCCGTATGTTTTTCAATGTCAGTTCTCTAACTTCCTTAATGAGACACAATTGTCTACAGAATAAACAGAAATATGTAATTAGAATTAGTATTCTTCAGCTGAAGGTATCGACATTAATAAGATGACTACCTGTTCGCTTGCAGGATGTGAACCATCATGTTCCTAATTCCTGCTCCGATTTGTTTCGTGTGGGTCTCTTCGCACACAGGGGAACATATACAGGGGTATCTGTTTTCCAGGTCAGCAGGGTCAGTTGGGCCCCCAGGGGGAAGACGGCTCCGTGGGTCCCCAAGGAGATCCCGGACCCGAAGGATCAGACGGAGTTCCGGGACCTGTGGGACAAGTTGGATATCCTGGACCCAAAGGTACGTTGCTCAAGATCCAGATCAAGACGCACCCAAGGTTCTAAAATACCTTCTGTGAACTGAGAATGTCTCTCAGGACATAGTGGCCTGAATGGTTTACCTGGTCCGGGTGGTCCTGTTGGACGGTGTTTTCCTGGAGCTCCCGGACCCGATGGAGAGGAGGGACAGACGGGTATCTTCGGATTTACAGGTAGTGTCTCTATACGGAATCTTATATCCACTTTTTCTGCACTTTCTCTTTGTGCCATTTAGAGACTAAAACCCAAATGAGAAAACTCGCCTTTCTGTCCCTCACACACGTACATTGTCTTGCAGGGATGCGGGGTCTAAAGGGCGACAGGGGGGACCCTGGCCGGCCTGGCTTTGGGGCCCCGGGGCCTCAGGGGTCTTATGGAGTGCCCGGCTTTGATGGGACTCCAGGTCCAGTAGGGGTAATTGGACTGAAGGGCCTGAGGGGGACCAATGGGGAACCGGGAAGTACAGGTAAGGAGGCGTGGCACACCTGCTCCTCCTCCTGATGAATTGAACCAGAGAGCTGCGAGACCAACATTCCTAAACATTTGTGTTTAGGCACCAGAGGAGACCTGGGTCCCCCGGGGGCCCTCGGGAGTCCGGGGGATGATGGGAGACCAGGAGAGCCCGGAAGAGACGGAGCAAAAGGTTTCAATCAATCAATCAATCAATTGATGAGTTTGATCAGACTGTAACTGTCTGTGACATGTCTGTCCATCAGGTCAAACAGGTGCAGACGGGTCTGGTGGTTCCCAAGGGCCTCAGGGGCCCCCGGGGGACCGAGGAGAACCCGGACCAAAAGGAGTCCGGACAGCCGTTGATATCTATGGAGAGCCTGGAGAACCTGGAGCCCCTGGTACTGTTCTATATCAATGCATTAGCACTCTAGTCCCTGACCTGGTGCTACTATAAACAACAGGTTAGCTTAGCATAAAGACGGGAAACAAGCCTGGCTCAGTCCAAAGGTTGTTGATTAACTAACCCTAGAAACCATTTCACCTTCTGATAAAGGTAAAATTACACGTTCTTGTTTCTTGCTCCTTTGAGTTTGTATCCCTATGGTTGAATGCACTTATTGTAAGTTGCTTTGTTACTGTAATGTAATGTGTATGTGTAAAGGTGTGTCTCACTCTACCTGTCTGCTCCCTCTCTAACTCATTCCCGTGTCATCTTCAGGGTCCACCGGTGTCACCGGTAGCAAAGGAGAAAGCGGCCTCACGGGGCCACAGGGTCTCGATGGCAGAACCGGCAGACCTGGTGACGGCGGGCCACAAGGTGACCACCGCTAACCGAACAAACCGTCAATTGCATCTGCCTTTCCCAAAAGATACCAAAAGTCCTAATTATATTCATGGATGTTTGTGTCTCTAAGGACCACCCGGAGACACAGGCAGAGGTGGATGGAGAGGTCCTCCTGGTCCTTGTGGACTCAATGGTAACCAGGGAGACATGGGGATGCCAGGTAACCAAACATGACCTTTCTCTGCAGAGGTCAATTTATTTGTTGACAGGCTTCAGTGGGTTTATTCTAATCAAACTGCTTAAGAATTACCTGCTAATGAAGTATTCATTCAAAGACTATATTAAACACACAAAGGCTTAATACACTTAAAGTTACGCTGAAGCTTTTGAATGGACAACTTTAAGTGGAGGTTTTTCTGACCAGGTTTTAAGGGTGAGAAAGGTTGCACTGGGCCTTGTGGGAAACCCGGACCAGATGGAATACCAGGCCCAGCAGGACTCAAAGGTTCTAAAGGAGAATCGAGTCCTTCCGGACCCGGGTCTAAAGGGCCTCCGGGAGCGAAGGTTCCACACACGCACACAGACACACAACCGTGACTAACTAATATATAGATTCTGTCTCCATTGGTTCAGATGTGTTAGTTAAATGGAGATGCAGCTAACATGATTAGTTTGTTAGAATAGATGTTTTATTATTCAATGTATGTCTTGTATTCTTATATATCCTGTGATAACCTTCTATGTTTGTCTATTGTTTTTGTATCCTCCATATTTATGATGTTGTAGATTTGAAAACTCATTAAAGACTAATTTAAGCAAGAATGTTGGGTCCTTCTTTCAGGGAAATCCAGGATGTTCAGGAGGACCAGGTACTAAGGGTGAACCCGGCGATGTTGGAGACTTGGGTCCCTCCGGAGCCTGTGGCCCATGTGGCCCCAAAGGAGCCCTCGGAGCCCCAGGATGCAGAGGTGTGATTCAGGGCACTTTATGCATCATTTGCAGAGTTGGAAGTGGCAGTAGCTTCTGTGCTATACATGTATGCGTCTTTTTCTGCATGTCCTTATCAGGTTCTCCTGGGACTCAAGGTGAAAAGGGTTGCGACGGTCCTCCCGGGATAAATGTCCTCCCAGGACCTGCTGGCCTAACAGGTACTTAAACCAGCAGTATTCATACATCTACAACTATTACTTCAATGTCTTTTTCTCGTTTGGTTTATTGGGAATCTAATTTTCAGGTACAAAGGGGGCTCCTGGAGTTCCTGGTCCAGCTGGTTCCAGAGGAAACCAGGGACAGGACGGGATACCAGGACCTCCTGGAGAAAAGGGAGCAATGGGTGGTAGGCCAATTTTGTTCTGATTGGATATGAGTGTTTGTGGTTCAGTTTCAGTTCTTAATCCAATCTTTGGGGGGTTTGATGGGCTTGGTTTGGTTTTTATGTCATCATTATTGTTAATGCTTCTGTGGATGGTGGTTCTACCTGATGGAGGTTCTACCTGATGGAGGTTCTACCTGATGGTGGTTCTACCTGATGGTGGTTCTATCTGATGGTGGTTGTCTCTGCAGTAGTCCTGCCGTACACCTGACTTACTACTCGCAATATTTGAATCATTTCTGTTGTAGGAATTGCATGTATTGTACATCTTTTGCGTTGGTCATTCTGTACAAACGACATCCATTGTAGTCTGTCCATCAGGAGACGGATACTCCCCCAATGTTTTTCCTGTGCTGATGTGAGCGTTTCGGGACAGAAGATGTCGTATGTGTACAGACTGTAAAAGCCTCTGAGGCAAATTTGTAATTTGCAATTTTGGGCTCTACAAAATAAAATGAATTCAATTGAATTGATCACCCCAGGTTCCAGAGCCGGGCCCCGGGGCGCAGATGGGAAAACTGGTTCACCTGGTGAGTCCTCATGAGTGACATTTAGATTTAGGCCGAATTAAAGAAGAGGAAGTAAAACAAACCCTCCTCCTCCGGTCTCCTCAGGGTACCCCGGAGAGCCGGGTTCTCCCGGTGCTTGTGGTCCACCTGGTCCGAACGGTCCCGGAGGAAACCCAGGTTGTTATGGTTCTCCTGGACCTCCTGGTCCTTCTGGTCCCGTTGGCAAGGAGGGAGTCTGCATAGAGGGAAGCAAAGGCAACAACGGAATCCCAGGACAACGAGGACCAAAAGGTGACGGGACACGTTGAGATAATAAATTAACAATCTTAAGTTCCAAAATGTAGCGGCTCTTCAGCGAAGCTTTATGGTCTACTAGAGACCGCCTTAAAGCATCCCCTGCTTTATGGTCTGTTTGACTCCAAATCAGGGGTATTCAACTAAAATGTGAAGAGGTCCAGTTAGAGAAACGTTCTAGAAGCAGCGGTCCGGAAGATCATAATGTGACTACGAGTGTGATAGAGGATGTGATTAAATAGAGGAATAGAGTTGTATCAACATTTGCAATAAATCAATACACGACTAACAAATTAATTCAGTACAATTCTAAAAGTCTTTTAACAATATTTATTGTCACGTAACAAAGAACTGAACATATTTGTGTGACTGCAAATATAATTAATGTTCGCTTAACCAAATACAAATACAGAAAATATAAAATAACGGGAAGAAAAGCTTGAATTTCCCCTTTTCTGCTTCACATTTGGACTTGACAGTCTCAGCAAATTATAAATAATAAATTTACACAGTTTAATAGAATATATATATATATCCACTCTTTTTTGGTGAGTGGGAGAAATAAGATCTATTTTTCCCTGCAGGATGTTAAACCTGGTCTTAGTGCATCAGGGCCGATCTCCTCTCACGTGGAGGAGCTCATTGTGCCTCACGATGGCGTTTTAACGGGTTCTGAGCTCATGACACACTGGTTCAGTGCTGCAGTGGGAAGTATGAATAGAAACCAGTCCGTCCATTGAGGATTAAATGCTCGACTTTCGCTGTCCACTTGTTCCTCATGTGTCTCACCCGTCTCTTTCCGTCTCACTCGTCTTTTTCTCAAATGTCGCTGTCTTTCTTTTCTTCCTACAGTCTTTTTACTTGTAATTTGCCGCTGCGTCTCTCGTCTGTCTGCAGTATTAAGACGATATCATCATCCTGCTGGAATGCAAAGACCCGATTGGTCGAGTAGCATCACGTGCGATGGTTTAACTCGAATGCTATTAGTCTGCGCTTTAAGCCACGGCCGTAAAGACGAGTAAAGCTGCGCCGGTCGAAAAGTGCGCCGTCAGGTTAAAACCACAACCGTCTTTTTTAGCTTTTGGTCCGGATGGGACGGCTTCTGGGTCCGGATCCGGAGTGCTGTCCGCCACCTCAGCTCTAAATGGACAATTTACTAAATGAACATCATGCAGTATTGAAGAATACTTGAATCTAGAGACTGTTTACTGAGGGAATAAATGAAGAAGAAGTAGAGTCATTTTCTCATAGACGTCTATGGGAGCAGAGGAGTCGCCCCCTGCTGGTCAGTAGAAAGAAAGCAGGTTTCTCTTTCACACCTTCGGTTTAAGTCAGTAGATCATGGCTTCAACTGTTTCCTCTATAATGAGCATGTCTCTCTCACCGTAGGTCAGTCAGGCCTTAAGGGCCCTCCTGGTTCTCCAGGTCCTGGTTTTAAAGGAGAGAAGGGATCTAAAGGAGCAACAGGTTTCCAAGGACCACCTGGTTACCCTGGTGAACAGGGACCTCCAGGCAAACCGGTAGAGAACCACAGAAATATATTGCACAACTACAGCACAATCATATGAACTTGAACCTGGGAATCCAACTCATCCTAAACTGCCATCTAGTTTGAGCTCTCTAAGTAAAAGTGTCCTCTAAATAGCCTTTGGCTGTGATATCGGAAACAATTGAGTAGAGTATTTAAAACATTTGTTGTGGTTGAAAGGGTGAAGATAGACCACCAGGGCCTCGAGGACCAGTAGGCCAGATGGGACCCACTGGTGTCACTGGACCCGTTGGTAAGAACCTCAGAGAGATCACCAGTATTTTAACCTCTTTTTCCTTGTGATTAGTCATTATCATTGGATCTTTGGGTTTCTTTTGCTCCTCTCGTGTGTTTCAGGTATCAAGGGGGAGGCGGGACAGGCAGGTTTCGTTGGCTCTCAGGGTCCTCCAGGGCCACCTGGGAGGAGAGGTACCACAGTACTATTCCACAAATCTGCTCCTAATACTAACACAATTGTGTCCGGCCTCTGTAGCGGGTACTGTGTGTTGGTTAGACTACCAAATGTATTGGTGAATATTGTAGTACTGAATACTGCCCTCTGCAGGCCAGAAGGGAGAGGATGTGCCGCTGGTGCCGGGAGACCAAGGCCCAGCTGGACCGCCGGGGCTCAAAGGAGAAAAGGGACCCCCGGGGGCCCGAGGGATTCCTGGAGGTCCAGGTGAGTCCTAAATAATCCTTTATGCTCAACCTTCAGAGATTTTCCAGGTCCAAACAGATTTCGTTAGAAATCTGTCTTTGGTGCCTGCAGGTCTGAAGGGCGTTAGAGGGTCGGCTGGTAGGAGAGGACCGGGGGGGCGTCCCGGAGTGATGGGGGATCAGGGCGACCAAGGGGTTGACGGGTTAAAGGGTAAGAACTGCTTTGGAGGACACTTCTGGAAACGTATATGTCCTCTCAATGTATCAAATAGAAACTCCGTCTTCAGACCCCTTCTTCAATCAGAACCCAACTCTGTGTCACTAGGTGTCCCAGGTCCGAAAGGTTCGCTTGGTGCTAAAGGTGCTCCGGGCCGACCGGGTCCTTGTGGCAACCCACCGGATACCAACGGCTTCATGTTCACAAGACACAGCCAGAATCTCCTTGTCCCAGAATGCCCGGCAGGATCTGCCGAGCTGTACAGTGGATACTCGCTGCTCTTCATCAATGGGAACAACAGGGCGCACGGACAAGACCTGGGTAACTAAGTAGAGTAACTAAGGGCCTAGCTAACTAAGGACCTGGGTAACTATGTCCAGTAACTAAGGACCTGGGTAACTAAGCGCTCCTCCCTTTCCTCCCTCTCCAGGTTCACTCGGTAGTTGTCTACCTCGTTTCACAACCATGCCCTTCCTGTTCTGTAACACCGACAGCACCTGCCGCTACGCTTCCCGTAACGACTACTCCTATTGGCTGTCCACCGACCAGCCGCTGCCAAGCAGCGTGCCGCTAATCTCCGGGGACTCACTGAGGAATTACATCAGCCGGTAACTCGCACACGTGTGTCCTTAACCATGTGTCACAGTCTTCACTTTTATTTTGTAAACCACAAAACACTTTACTTTCTGTCTTTGTATAGTTTTTTTGCCTGCTTTTTTCCCACACCTGTGTTCTATTGTCTCCCTCACCAGTTGTCCCACCTCCTAGTGTTTAGTCCTTTAAGGTCCTCTGGAACCTTTGCAGATAATTCCTCTATGTGAGTTCTGTTTTTTCCGGCTTCTCGTGTTAAAGGTGTTCCGTGTGCGAGGCCAGAGCCAACGTGATAGCAGTCCACAGCCAGACAAGCCTGGTCCCAGACTGCCCCTCGGGCTGGGACGCCCTCTGGTTTGGGTACTCCTTTGTCATGGTGAGCAAAGACTCCAAGCAAACCCGTCAATTTCAAATATTTAATAAAAAAACCTACAGGAGCTGGTAGAACGACCTGCGATACCTGGTGACAACAGAGTTGTATTTATATGAATTGTTTTTATGAATTGTTTTCCTTGGTCACTAGGAGACAGGGGTGGGGGCCGAGGGGTCAGGTCAGCCTCTGGCGTCGCCCGGATCCTGTCTGGAGAACTTCCGTAAGATTCCTTTCATCGAGTGTCACGGCAGAGGAACCTGCAACTACTACACAGACTCCTACAGCTACTGGCTGGCTGCCCTCAACCCGGCAGACATGTTCAGGTACATCTGTAGTTACGGGTACATGAAGAAAAATGACATGTGCAGGTACACCTGGAGGGACAGGTACATGAAGAAATACAACATGGGGGGGGGGGGGGGGGTAGTTGTCGCGCGCTCTGTGTTCGCTGGTCGTGCACGGTAAAAGAAAAACGCCTGGTGACGCGTAGATTACAAAAGAAGTCAGTTCTCAATGTGAAAAAAAACATGCTGTATAGGCTATTTATGATGACGTAGGTAGTACATGAGTGTTCCTTTAACATGTTGTCAGTGTAATTGACAGGCTGCTTAACTGGTTAACTCTTAAATTCAACATATTTGTTCAGGCAGTGAGAGGACAGGCAATGATGCCGAGAGCACAGGGAGAGGAGAAACACCAGGTCCAATAGAGAGAGAAGCACAGAGGAGACATGAACTCTGGGGTTCATGGCTCCTCTATGCAAGGCAGGACCTGACGTAGAGGACAAGGAGGCCCTCTGGGCACTACTGTGAAAAGGAGACTCCGTATGTAGATAGTTCTTAATCTGCAATTGTCTTGTTGTGTTGTGTTGACATACTTTTCTTCACTGTTTTCTTAGATTTAATAAACTACAAACTGTATATGACTTTTACTGATAACATAATGCTATATAGCCAGGACAGCCTTACAGAGTCGTGACGCTTTGTGTTGCGTTGCGTCGCATCGCGTCGAGGTCTGTATGATCACAAAATTCAGAGTTTACCCACCTCTAATTTTACCACTACAGCACTGCCAGTAGGGACAGGTAAAGGTACATGAAGAAATACAACATGTACAGCTACACCTGTAGGGACAGGTAAAGGTACATGAAGAAATACAACATGTGCAGCTACACCTGTAGGGACAGGTAAAGGTACATGAAGAAATACAACATGTGCAGCTACACCTGTAGGGACAGGTAAAGGTACATGAAGAAATACAACATGTACAGCTACACCTGTAGGGACAGGTAAAGGTACAGGTAAACACCCTAACGTACACAACAATCACGTTCAGGTGCACAACTGTTTACCTCCTTGTACACACCAGCAGGGGGCAGCCTTTGTCAACCTGTCAACAGGTGTATGATGAGATGAACCAAAATGAACACTGAACTAGGAGATTGTAACATACATAAACAATTATTCTAAATAGCGTTTGTATATAAATGAATATATTTAATAAACGACTTCTCTCTCCTCAGTAAACCGACGCCTCAGACTGACTCAGGAGACTTTCCAGCTCGTTTGATCAGCCGATGTCGAGTCTGTATGAAGCAGCTGTGAAGTGATACTACCGCTAATACAACATGAACTGTGTTCACCTGGTCCGAACCAGTGTTCCGACCACTGAAAGCGCTTTAACACTACATCATTCACCCATTCACACGCCGATGACAGGAGCAACACACACAGTGACACCTGCCCATCAGTCACTAACATTCACACACTGTAGTCGCAGCTACAGGAGCCATGTTGGGTTTAGTGTCTTGCTCAAGGACACATTGACATGCAGGTTAGCCAGGCTGGGAATCGAACCACCAACCCTCTGATTGGAGAACGGCCGTGCCCCCCCACCCCCAGCCGCCCGCTGCCTGATACAGCTGCTGTAAATACCACTACAACTGAAGCACACAGAAGAAGAAGCTGCAGTTCCTCGTATAGGCCCTAGAGGGAGCTGCAGGAAAAACAGAAATAAAAGTTACATGTTTATATTTTCTGCAGCTCTCTGATAGGATGATTCACAAAGCAAAGGACTCTGGGTGTTGTAGCTTTCTTCTATCGCTAAGTTGTTTGTCTCATATTATTTTGGAAACGTAGATTATAAACACTAAATAGCGAGAGGTTATTTAGTGTTTTAGTAAAAACTTGTCTCCTGAGGTTGCTAACTATATACGTTTTGTGAATATGATCCTTGTTGAGTTTTAATAAAACTTGTTTCAAACAAGGCTGTTTTGTTGTTAATTCATAAAATCACACCTCAGAATGAAGTTCATGCAAACATTGTGGTAAACATGATGTCATCGTCATGTCATATCGGCTTCGTCGAGGTGACCAGACTTGTGTACAAATTTCTGAATCTTTTTTTAATGTGTTAACATTGTTGCTCGTCAGTTAGCATTCTGACTTCTACAGAAATGAATTGCATATTGAAAATATAGGAAAAACCTCATCATTCTGACAAGCTGGGCCAACATCTTAACACTATTTATTTTTATTGTCATCACAATCCAGTTATGTTCGCTATGGGGTTTAAACCAATCAGGAGCCATGAAAAACATCACATGAATAAAGGTCATCCTCCATCTCACAAACCTTTTAATTTGCAGAGGTGTCAATGTCACGCCCTAATTGTGTTCACCTGTTTTTCCCCTGTCTCCTCCCACACCAGGTGTTCCCTGTTTGTCAATTATCCCTTGGGCATATAACCTGTGTCTTCTCCCTGTTCTTGTTGCCAGTTCGTCTTACTTATCAGGTCTTACCAGTGTTGTATCCTCGTAGTTCGCAGTTGATTCTAGAGATCCCCCGTGTACTGACCCCTACCTGCCTCCAACAATGACGCTGCCTGCCACCTCTGTACCTCCGACCTCCTGTGTACCCAACTCACCACGGCCCCCATCCTGATCCAACCCGACCCCTCTCGCCAGTTTGTGGTGGAAATGGACGCCTCGGAAGTGGGCGTGGGAGCCATTCTGTCCCAGCGTTCAGCCCATCGACCAGAAACTGCATCCCTGCGCCATTCTCTCCCACAGACTCAGTCCAGCGGAAAGGAACTATGACGTCGGCAACAGGGAGTTGTTGGCCGTCAAAATGGCATTGGAGGAATTGAGGAACTGGTTAGAAGGCTCGGAGCTGCCGTTTTTGGTTTGGACCGACCATAAGAACCTTGAGTACCTTCGCAGCGCTAAAAGACTCAACTCCAGGAAGGCCAGGTGGGCTCTGCTATTCAGCCATTTTAATTTTCTTCTTTCATATCGCCCTGGCTCCAAGAACGCGAAACCGGATGCCCTCTCTCGAGTCTTCAGCCCTGCTACCAGCCCTCCGGATCCCGGGCCCATCCTTCCCACTTCCTGCCTGGCTACATCCCTGGTCTGGAGAATAGAAGCTGAGGTCCGCAAGGCACAGCGGTCGAGCCAGGTCCCTAAGAATGTCCCTACAGGCTGCCTGTTTGTTCCAGACCCCATGCAGTCTCAAGTTCTGAAGTGGGGCCATTCCTCCAACCTCTCGTGTCATCGCGGGGCTCGCCGGACCCTTGCCTTCATCCGTAGACGGTTTTGGTGGCCCACCATGGGGGTGGACGTGCCCGCTTATGTCTCCGCCTGCACGGTGTGTGCCCAAAGTAAGACCTTGCGGCAAGCTCCTGCCGGCCTCCTTCAACCGTTGCCTACGACACACCGCCCGTGGTCCCACCTGTCACTGGACTTTGTGACCGGTCTTCCTCCTTCCGATAGCAACACCGTCATCCTCACTGTCATGTACCGGTTTTCCAAGGCAGCCCACTTTATCCCCTTACCCAAGCTCCCCTCTGCCAAGGAGACGGCCCAACTCATGATACAACACGTCTTCCGGATCCATGGACTTCCCACTGACATGGTGTCGGATCGGGGTCCCCAGTTCGCATCCCAGTTCTGGAAGGCGTTCTGCGCCCTCATCGGGTTGTCAGCCAGCCTGTCCTCCGGATTCCACCCAGTCTAATGGTCAGTCGGAGCGGGCCAACCAGGACCTGGAGACTACCCTGCGGTGCCTAGTATCTTCCAATCCCACCACTTGGAGTCCACAGCTGGTCTGGGCGGAATATGCCCGTAACACCCTTCCATCATCTGCTATGGGCATCTCCCCCTTCGAGTGCTCCCTCGGCTACCAACCTCCCCTTTTTCCGGTCCAGGAAGCGGAAGTGGGGGTGCCCTCAGCCCAAATGTTCGTCCGCCGCTGTCGTCGGACTTGGAGGAAGGCCCGGATTGCTCTTCTCCGGACGGCATCCAGGTATCGACGACAGGCAGACCGCCGTTGGACCCCTGCTCCTCGCTACCGTAGGGGGCAATGAGTGTGGTTGTCCACTCGGGATCTGCCTCTCCGTGTGGAGTCCCGGAAACTGTCTTCCCGGTTCATTGGCCCATTTACCATCTCCAGGGTCATCAGTCCTTCTGCTGTCCGTTTGGTCCTTTCTCGTACCCTTAGAGTACATCCCACCTTCCATGTCTCCCGTATTAAACCTGTGTCCCTTTGTCGCCTCCTTCCCCCCCCCCACCTCCTCGGCCGCCTCCCCGGATGGTCGACGGGGGTCCAGTCTCTACAGTGCGGCGTCTCCTGAGGGTCCGACCGCGTGGCAGGGGTTTCCAGTACCTGGTTGACTGGGAGGGCTACGGACCGGAGGAGCGTTGCTGGGTTCCTTCCAGGGACATCTTGGACCCCTCCCTCATCGCCGACTTTCTGCAGAACTTAACCAGACAAAACTAGTGACTGCTAAAGGACACGAGTCAGAGGACACACACACATGTTGTTCCCATCGATCAGGTTTACATCTTCATGGGGGGAGGAGGGGGGCACCCCTGTTCTAATGGTGGGAAACACTGAACTGGCAGCGGTCGGTTATTAAAATATTGGCCAAATTACCCGTTTTTCAGGCTTTATGAGGAAATACAGAATGTGTCTTCATTCCTAAAGCCGCATTAAGACACACTTGAGTTTATTTAAGACGCTGTGTTGTGCCACATTCTCAATAAAGTTGGAAAAAAACATTTATAAATATGGATGTTTAAACAGCTGGAAACTTTAAATCGTTAAATAAAATCATTCATGTAAAACTGGAGGTTCAGTTGTTTTATTACTAATTCTCTCTTTTTCATAATTCGTAATGTTCTTTGCTTTTATATCTTCTGTTCTCTTCAAGAGGAACCAGGAGAACATGTATCACCTAACTTCTGTTTTTCAGTCACTTCTTTCCTTTCTTTTCGTTTTCGTAAACACGACTTATGGCAGAATAAATATACACGCTGTAAAAAGAAACTCATTGACAAGTTGTACAGTCTATTTTTAAATAGAGAATGAATCAATGTCAGCTTTGATGTTCCTTTGATGAGATGTAGACATCTGAATAATGGACAGTATTCGTGTCCACAAAGGACATCACATTCTAAGAAATTCTGTATTAAGATAAAATGAAATTATATTTACAGAGAAATGATACAGACGAACATCAGTAAAACACAGACCTCCTGTAAAGCCTCATTTACATGTTGGTGAGTCAGACACACTGAATGCATCACGGGGGGGGGGGGGGCGTGATGTCATCACTTGCCCATCATGTCCCCTCTTAATTTGTGTGTGTCCATGCCGGCGGCTCCTCGGCAACCGCTGCTGGCGGTTAACGCGTTTCCGCGGCAACTGTCTGATTTGTCTTGTCTATCTGCGTTCTGAGAAAGAGACCAAGTAGAAGACGAGGACGAGGCAGAGCGAGACGGCCTCTTGTTGTCCAAGACGTAGAAGAAGAAGTGGCTTTAGGGACACACAGATCATTTATGACCAATGAATCCACGTTTACTCAAAGATTCGTACATTCGTATTCTTTTATCATCTCAACGCCGCGAGGACACCGAGGACAACGAGGACGACGAGGACGACGAGGACAACGAGGAGCCGCGGCGCTAAAGATGAAGACGAAGAGTTTGTTCAGTGCGACGCATAATTACAAGCTCTCAAGTATTTACAGAAAATGATTTAGTTTGATCAGATCCTTTTTACAAATAAGTATCAACTTATCAACATGAAACGTCACAGACGGCTGAGGAGCTCTTCAATCTCCTCCTGTAGCATTCGGAGCTAAAGCCATTAAAGTAACACAGAGGTTCATGAACTAAACATAAATAAGAAGTTTATTGGTCTTAACTGAGTAGTTTCATGCTTTTAACCACTAACGGAGGTTTTGTGGCTTCAAATGAGAATCCGATCTCAACATAAAGCCATTAAATGTCTTCCATTAGATTCATCAGCTCTTTCCTTCCTGCTGATCTCACACTTAACATCAACGCGGCCTCGGTGGAAACTAATGATTCACTCATTCGATATCAGCAAGTCAATATCAACTGTCTGCATTATATTCTGCTTTTTACCAGTTTAGAATCAATCAGAAGCTGAACTTGTTCCTCACAACGAATTGTGGGAAATAATAAATAATAAATGTTTTCCTTTCTCTTGTGAGAGTAACATGTGATTTGACCTTTTGGCCCCGTACTAAAGGTCAGTTTAGTACTAATTGATGTTTTTTTACATTACTTTATTACAGGTCATTTAGCTGATGCTTTTATCCAAAGCGACTTACAATTAGGTGTCTTGCTCAGAGACACTGGGGCAGCTGGGACTCGAACCACCAGCACGCCGTCTCTGCCCGACGCCACGACGACCCTCTTCTCATCAGCGCGTCGTGTGTTTAGTGTCATGAGGATGACGTGAGAGGTTTCGTGCTTCTGCTCTCAGCGAACATTACGGCTAATAAAGTGCTGAGTGGGCGACTCGCTGCCTCTTTGCTTAATGGAGATAGCAGCGAGCGCTAATGAAGTCTGCTAATTCCCCCCCGGACATTCCTGGGTGGTGTTTGTGGAGCCGCTGATAGTCTGATTCTTTTATTCTTCTCCACCACTAATGGAGGTTTGTTTGAATAATACGTACCTTTGTCGCCGAGCAGCTGCCAATCAAAAAGAACCATGTGACCTACGGGGGACGAGCCTCGGGCTTCAAAAGAGAAGCAGCTCGGAGGACGAGGAACCAGCGATCAGAACCGGCACCACAGTCCAGCAAGAGAAAGCAGACCAGCAGACGGTGGGAGCTTCCGCTTTCCTCCTCGCTCCTCTTCTCTGCTCTTTTTCTTCTCCTAGATCTTCTTCTTCTGCTTTCAGGTATGCAGTACACTCGTTGTCCCGCCATTTTGGTCCTCGTGGGGTTGGTCTTGTGCGGCCCCGGCGTGTCCTCACAGCGCAACAGAGACCAGGACCAGGACCAGTACCAGAACCAGGACCTGGACCCGCGTCCCCACCTCCTGCTGCAGCGCGCTCGTGGTGCCGGGCTCCTGTCGCAGGTGAGACGGACTCCTCATTGTCAGGAGGAAGAGCTGAACAACTAAACATGAAGACAAACTACTCGATCCGTGTTCCTCACGGAGTGAGATGATCCATGATGCTAAGGAGCCTCAATGCTTCCTTACTTTAGCACCACTGGACCGTCCTTTACCAAAGGAGAGGAGATTTTAAATAGAGACGTGTCATTGGTCCGTAAACACAGATCATGTGACTAACCGCTAGCATCACTCGTTTATTCCTCTGAACCGGGTTGTTTGTGCGTCTGCACGACTCACAATAACAACACATGAAGCAGGAGACGCTTCTTTGTAGCCGCTGCAGACTGACGTCCCTGACAGGCGTCTCCGTCCATCACAACGACGCAGCTCCTCTCCTAAGTCCTCATGAAGCCTCCTAACCATCTGTCCTTGACCCCGTGACCTTTTCCGCAGAGAAATAGTGGTTAGGAATTGACGTTACACGGTAGTTCTTTTGACAATTTGAATCCAGCCCGTTTAGGAAAAAGAGCAGTTACTTGAGTCACCAAAATAAAGGTAGTGAAAGGACGAGACAGTTTTGTATAGAGAGCTAAAGAGGATGAATACTGACGCTAAGGATGCAAACTCCCTCTCAAAACATATTGATATGTAAGCTCTTCACGATGCTAGTATGTATATATATATACACATATATATATATATATATATATATATATATATGTGAATATCTTCATTGTGAATGTTTTACTGAGACTAACGCTGATCCGTATCCTGGTGTTTCAGGACTGGAGTAAGCGTGCAGTGGAGGACCTGCTGGCTCAGATGTCTCTGCCGGAGGCTGACTCACAGCTGGGGGCCGAGGTGGTTTCCGCGGCAACAGGCGGGAGGCTGCACCTGGAGCGGTCCGTTGACCCCCCCAACAACCTGCCGGCCCGTGAGCGCAAGGCCGGCTGCAAGAACTTCTATTGGAAGGGCTTCACTTCCTGCTAGAGCCCTGCCAGGTCTGACTGCTCTTTCAGCTCCACCCACCTATCTGACTGTCACTAAGCCCCGCCCCGGTGTTTGAGTGACACTTTAAGCCCCACCCATGTAACCTTGCATTCTGTATCTCACCTGACCCTGTTGTCTTTTCTTCCATGACAGTTGGCACACGATCACCTGACCCCCGACTGAGCGCCTGGTCGTCCAATCAGCAGCAGTCTAGCTGCGGTGTACCTAAGTAATTAATGTAATTATCAATTAAAACGATAAATCAGTGAAGTCTGTGGCTCTGCCTCCTATGTGTCCAAAGCAGCTGTGAATCAGATGATAAAGTGACATCATCATGAGAGAAAACGTGCTGATCCACGACCTTAATAGAGTTTAAATTCAATATTTCAATATTTTCTGTGATTTCCAACAAATAAGTAATATATATATATATATATATATATATATATATATATATATATATATATATATATATATATATATATATATATATGAAACAAAAAGGGAAACCTTTGCGACGCCTGTCGATGTTACTGAGCACTGAGATGCTGCGGAGCGACTGGACCTTCAGTGTTTGAACAGAGAGTCTGATGAACCTTTAATGGAGATCAGAGAGAGCAAATGTTGGCTTAACTCGTTACACGTGTGTGTGTGTGTGTGTGTGTGTGTGTGTGTGTGTGTGTGTCTTAAATACTTAACCAGAACTAAAAGCACATTACTGAGACGACGTGTTAATGATATTTGCTTTTCCTTCCGATGTAAACTGAATGCTGGTCCCACCTACATTTAACATCCAAGCCACGGTATTGGTCACTAACACAGTCCCACGTTGATTGACAGGTTCATGCAGACAGCATTGAAAAAGAAGTTATATATATATAATATATAATAATTATGGATCCATGCAGGGGATTGAAAGCTCTCAGGTTTATGTTTAATCAACAGAATTGATTTGCAACATATTTCTCAGGGATCATCGAGAGGAAGGGAAGATGAGAGAGATGTCTGGAGTTAGTAACACCTCTGGAGCGACAGCAGGTTTAATTACAAGCAGCTTATTGGTAATCGAATCCAAGAGACAGGTGGAAGATTTAAACTTCTAAGTTAAAGTCAGTTCCAAGGTTCCTACATCGGAGGACGGGTCGGCGCTGGTTGAAGGCAGGAGACCATCAATCTTCTCATTGAAGAAGTTCATGGAGTCGTTACTGCTGAGGTCCAAAGGAGTCCACGTCTGAAGAGAAACCTGGGGTTGTTTTATCTTTCTCTATTAATGATGCCAAACTAGCCTGGATCCGTCTGATTGGGTGGAACGCCATTGTTAGGGATTTAAGCCAGTCATGGAATTATAATACGTGTAATAATGTTTAGTGTTAGAATTATAGTTTGTGTGTTATTAGATATTAGTTATTACATTAACATGTTAGATGAAGTGAATGCAACATGAATCAAACACACGTTATAGTCATTTAAATCATATAAACACCGCACACATTAACATTCTGTCACAATGTGATGTTAAAACCTGGGGACGGATGCTAGTTTCCGTCCTTTATGGATTTCTACCAATTTTATCCCCAAAGAGGGTTTTTTGGGAGTTTGTTCTCCTGTCAGGTAGTAAATGAACAACTTAATGTGAGGCAGCCGACTGAGGCAAAGGTCTTGAGAATTGGACCACATGAAGTGTCTTAGATCTTATGATGACGTGTGATGAACGGGGATCATTAATGATGTGTTGTGATGAAGGTGTACTAGTTATAAGATGAAGACAAACTGTGTACGCTTTGTGATATTCACTCATTGAAGCTAAATGTCTCTACATTGAGTGTGTTGGAATGTGAGGGACAGATGGACAGAGAAGGTCTCAGGTTACAGCTTCACACCTCGACGTGAAGGAGACAGTCCAGGAGGAGACACTCTGAAGGAGAAGCCAATGACATTCAAACGCACCCAAGAAGACACCTCAAGAGTTTTCAAAGGACCAAAGCGGGGAAAAGACTGGTAGAATTCTCCTGCAGCCGCTTTGATGAGTCGCTTTAGACTTGCTCAGAGGATTCTCTATTTCACGAAATATTTTACTGTTCGCTTTGTATTTCACTTTGTAATCGTGTTCCTTATAACGTTGTTTAGTTATTAAATACTCTTTTGATTCGTGGTTTCCGGCCGGGACGAGACCAAAGGAGTGAGGCCTCCCTGGAGAGGAACGCCATAACCGTTCAAGTTTCCTCAGTCTGCTTTAGGTTTCGGGTTTGAGGGTTATACCACGGAGCAGACTTCCTTCTTGTTCCTCCAGAGGAGCATCGACAAGATGATCCATCTGGGACGGACTGAAGTCCTCACAGCAGTCTTCTGGTATCTTGAGACAGGACCCTGAGGAATGGCTTCTTTAAACGAGGCTACAGCGGTACGTCGACTGTAGGAACCCTTGTCAGGAGGAGGAGATCAGACCGGTTATCAGACAATAATCCGACAGGAGAGGGTTCTGTGGACAGATTGTAAGATGTTCAGTCCCAATCCCACACACAAGAACCAAGTCGAGGGTGTGTTTGTTTTACACTGTGACAGAAACCAACTGAATCTAACAATGAGGGAAACAAAGTACCACGTCTGTCCCTGTCGACATCCACACGAATGTTCAAATCACCCACAACAATGACGTTCTGGTCCGTTTTAAGGACCAAACTCGTTAGGAACTGTGAAAATTCAGAAAGAAATTCTGAATAAGGACCTGGGTCCTGTACACTATTACAAAGAGACCCGGCTGGATTATTCACCAGGTCGGTTGCGAAGGACGGAGAACTAGGCTTTAGAATAAAAAGTAATAATCCAGTTCAGAGCATTCGTGGAGATTAATCAGTGATCTGAAGAAGGAAAGGAGCCCAGAAGAGAGGAGGCAAGGAGAGAGGAGGCGGTCAAGGAGACAAAGGATACCTTTGTACTTACTTACAGTACTTACTTCTACCAGTGTATTTGTACTTGTAGTATTGTTACTACATTCTGCAGGTAGCAGCATGCAGACTGCAGGTAAGGGGCGGAGCCACTGCTCAGGTGAGGCAGGTTTCGATGATGTTGCCGTTAGCTGGTAGCTAACGGAAAGCTCCTCCGCTCTCTTCACTGGTACCAGCGGCAGTGGAGAGCGTCCATTGGTTCAGGCCGTCACACGGCTGTGGGCCGTCACCGCGTTAACCGCGTCCGACAGGTGTCGTCTTCCGTTAGCCAGCTGACGGACGACGTCCCGCCTCCAACCGCTTCCTGCTCAGAAAGCCCCCACAATGCGTTTGACTCCAGGCAGCACCGTCACACGAGGATCCATCGAAAACAAAGTCTGAGTTTCCTCTAAAGCGGCTTGATGAAACGGACCCCTGGTGAGCTGGTGACCTGCAGTCTGTCAACATCAGCAAAGACCAGACGACCTGAGGTCTCTACAGGGTCCTTACGTATTACAGGTCGCTTCTTCAGGGTTAATTCAAGACTAGTTAGTTTCTTCATGAATATTAAATATTATAGTTTGTTTCTATACGATTATTAAGGACTAGACTTTGTTTCTGCATGAATTCATAACAGTAATAAGTGTGTTGCTCTCAGCGTGGTGACTGATTAGTATTATTAGTGTTCACACTGTAGCAGCAGGAAACTGTTCCACTGAAGCTCCATCTGTTAAACTCCCACAGATTCCTCATATTATGGAACATCAGGAGCTCCACAGGGTTCACATGAGCGCACGTATGAAGAGTCGGTAAGTCACATTTATGACTCTGATGAATATTCACACAGTCGACTCTCTCAAATTTCCCTTTCAAATGGTTCTCACAAGAACTGTACAACGTTCTGCTGTCCAGACGTAGACATGAAACGTGGAGAGGTCCAGTTAGAGAACATTTCTTCAAGCAAAGGTCCGGAACATCATAATGTGACTACGAGTGTGATTAAATAGAGGAATAGATGCATTTAATCAATACACAACTAACACACACAACTAATTCAGTATGATTCTATGATTCTTTTGACAATATTTATTGTCACCTAACAAAGAACTGAACATATATGTGTGACTGCAAATATAAATAATGTTCGTATATGCTGAGCAGAAACCAGTTTGTCCATTGAGGATTAAATGCTCTACTTTCGCTGTCCACTTGTCTCTTTTAGCAGCATTTCTTCCTCATTCTCACCCGTTTCTTTCTCTCGCTTTCTCCGTCTCAAATGTCGCTGTCTTTCTTTTCTTCCTACAGTCTTTTTATTTGTAATTTTCCGCTGTCTCTCTTGTCTGTCTGCAGTATTAAGACGAGTAGCATCACATGCGATGGTTTGACTCGAATGCTGTTGGTCTGCGCTTCAAGCCACGACCGTCAAAAAGTGCGCTGTCACATTAAAATCACCATCGTCTTTTTTTAGCTGTTGGTCCGGATGGGGCGGCTTCTGAGTCCTGCTGACCCCTCCTGCTATCATCATCATCATCATCATCATCATCATCATCATCCTTATTATTATTATTATTTAAAATATGAATCATATTACTATTACTGTCATCATAAACCATCATTACCCTCTCCTAAAGTCTTTGTGTTCTCCCGCCCACAGGCTTCTGTGGATTGTGGTTCTATGTGATGGTGGTTCTATGTGATGGTGGTTCTATGTGATGGTGGTTCTAACTGATGGTGGTTCTATGTGATGGTGGTTCTATCTGATGGTGGTTCTATCTGATGGTGGTCCTGCTGTACACCTGCTTACTACTCTCAAGTTTTCAAACAAAGTCGGACCAGAGTCTGATTTGTTGGCATGAGGACTTTGTGTGTTGGTGTTAGAGTGTGTGTGTGTGTGTGTGTGTGTGTGTGTGTGGCAGGAGGTAAATTGTTGGTGACAAACAGACCGGCAGGCATCACAATGACGTCAGTCACCAGTTCTATCAGGTCTATCTGACCTACCAGGGTCTATCCGGTCTACCAGTTCTATCAGGTCTATCTGACCTACCAGGGTCTATCCGGTCTACCAGTTCTATCAGGTCTATCTGACCTACCAGGGTCTATCCGGTCTACCAGTTCTATCAGGTCTATCTGACCTACCAGGGTCTATCCGGTCTACCAGTTCTATCAGGTCTATCTGACCTACCAGGGTCTATCCGGTCTACCAGTTCTATCAGGTCTATCTGACCTACCAGGGTCTATCCGGTCTACCAGTTCTATCAGGTCTATCTGACCTACCAGGGTCTATCCGGTCTACCAGTTCTATCAGGTCTACTAGGACCACCAGGTCTACTAGGTTGAATATTAATAAATGACTGATGAATGAACAGACATTCATCGATTACTTATAAATTGATAAGTCAACAGATTCTGATATGTAGGTATTGATCGATCACTAATAGAGTGACAGGTGATTGTTAAGTCAAAGGACCCGTCGGAGCTCTCAGCGTCCCTCTGGGGGGCCCCGAGCCCTCCGCCAAGAAATGGACAGAAGCAACAGGAAAAACAAAGTGTTTAAATGGATCATTTCACTAAAGCGGGAGGCGGGGGAGTCATCATCATCACCATCAGCATTACTCCCCCCTCCCCCCACACCGGGACACTGACGTCAGCCAACTGTATAAGAGCCGCTCTGACGGGACAGACCCAGAAGATCCTCCGACCCGCGGAAAGACAGGTGATGAACATGGTCTCCTCGCGCCTCCGCTGCCTCCTCCTGCTCCTCCTCTCCCTCACCGCCTCCATCAGCTGCTCCTCCACCGCTCAGAGGGACGGCAAACTCCACCTGCTGCTCCACCGGACCCCGCTGCTGAGTTCCAAACAGGTCAGAGCGCCAAGACACGGAGGGACAGGGACAGCGAGAGAGACAGACCCAGAGGGGAGAGAGACAGACAGACAGAGACAACGAGAGAGACAGACCCAGAGGGGAGAGAGACAGACAGACAGAGACAGCGAGAGAGACAGAGCCAGAGGGGAGAGACAGACAGACAGAGACAGTGAGAGAGACAGAGCCAGAGGGGAGAGACAGACAGAGACAGCGAGAGAGACAGAGCCAGAGGGGAGAGACAGACAGAGACAGCGAGAGAGACAGACCCAGAGGGGAGAAACAGACCGAGACAGCGAGAGAGACAGACCCAGAGGGGAGAGGCAGACAGAGACAGCGAGAGAGACAGACCCAGAGGGGACAGAGACAGACAGAGACAGCGAGAGAGACAGACCCAGAGGGGAGAGGCAGACAGAGACAGCGAGAGAGACAGAGCCAGAGGGGACAGAGACAGACAGAGACAGCGAGAGAGACAGACCCAGAGGGGAGAGGCAGACAGAGACAGCGAGAGAGACAGAGCCAGAGGGGACAGAGACAGACAGACAATCTTTTTGAAACTTTGATAAATCATTTATCGAGTCGTCATTTATGATAATACAAAAATATGACTTCACGTTGATGCTCTTTATACATATTAATAATCAATCATTTCAAACTAGTTCAGGCTCTTGATTTTATATTTATTATTATTAAGCTAAAATGAAAGTGATTGATTTGGTTTCCGCTTTATTTGACACACTATCAAATATGAGCAATGATAAACTATCAAAGAGGCAAAAAGGCTATTAGATATACTTTATCAATAATAACACCTGAAATGACTTTTGACTCAATAATTCAGTATTTTGATTCGTTTTTATTAATTGTGAAGAAATCGTCTTGTGATTAATTTGATTTTGTTATGTGTTAAACAACGTCATAATGTTATTTTTATTAAAATGATTCTTTTATAAATTTTTTGTCTCTTTATCAACGTAAATTCTAACTGAACATTCTTGATCAGCTGAATATAAAATAAAACATGAGTAAAGAAATTCAGTTTACAGAGAAATCATTAATTACTGATATATTAATTAATTATCTTTTTTTCCGCCTTTGAAGGTTCGAAACAAATTGAAATAAATTGAATAAATGTGAGTTGATTTTGTTTGTTTGATTCTTTGAGAAATAAAAATGATTTAGTAATCTTGATCTTTAAGTCACATTATGAAACGTAATTTATACTTTCATGAAATCTTTTTTAACACCATGTTTTTGAATTTGAGGACATTTTATTAGTTCTATTAGTTCTTTGATCTGGAGCTTCTTCACTGATATCAAACATTCACATAAACATTATTTAATTATCTAACAGCTTCACCTCTTCATATTCATACTTTATCAACTTCAAACGTTTGTATTTTAAACTTTTTCCATGGTTTCTTTTAAAAAGTGAGATGCAGATGTGTTTCCGAAGATATATAGAGACACAAAAGAGGTTTCTGAGTAGTTTTAGTCATTTGAAGAAACATAACAATACTAAATATATATATATTTCATTGTGTTCATTGACATTCACATTCACATTCATTGTGTTTTATATATATATAAAACACATCTATATATATATAAAACACATTTATATATATATAAAACACATTTATATATATATAAAACACATTTATATATATATAAAACACATTTATATATGTATAAAACACAATTAAAACGTTCAATAATTCCTTCCGAAGAACTTCCCAGTTTTTAGTAACATCTGGTCTGTGTGCCTCAGGACATGTCTCGAGCCTCGCTGGTGGAGCTACTCCTGTCAGACCTCCTCCAGGTGCAGAACGAGGCCCTGGAGGAAGAGAACCTCGCTCCGGCTGGAGGAGAACCCGAAGAGGTCCACTTGGACCTGGAGCGGGCCGCCGACGCCGGGCCGCTGCTCGGTCCCCGGGAGAGGAAGGCCGGCTGCAAGAACTTCTTCTGGAAGACCTTCACCTCCTGCTGAGCGCCGCCTCGTCCTCTTGTACAGAAGCTGAGTGGATCCGACTCTTTTCTGATTCTGTCTGAATCTAACGTTGAAATTATTTTTCATTGTCTGTTTGAATAAAATCAGTTTGAGACAAATGACGACTGGTATCTGCTGACGAGGAGGTGAAGATCTCTTCCATCAGGTTCTCCTCCTGAAGGATCAGCCCACTGGGTTCAACTATCAACTCTATCAACTTTATCGAAATAAGTAAACGTATTCAAATATAAAATGTATAAACAGTGATGACGGAAGAGTAAATGTGAGAAAGGTGCTACAACTTTTCACCTCCCACACGTGGACGAGTTACTACATGTTGTGGGAGGAGCCACTACCTTCAGGGGGAGGGGTTACCACATCAAAGGGAAGAACTTCCCTGGTTTTTACCTTCAGGGCGAG